AGTCTATGATAAAACTTGATTTTATTTCACAACGAAAATAAAGAATGTACAGAGAGCGTGAAGGAATAAAGGCAAATGGAAAAGTCAGGTACGATATCTTTTTAATATCTTCACAAGAATGGCAGTTGGTCTTGCAAACAATTTCCCCCCATCACTGAAAGATCATGGTTCCCAATGAAGTACTGTTAGTTATATACATTGTTCCAGTGTTCTGAAATGCAGAAGAAAAAGTATATTATATATAATTTTAATAAGGAAAAAATCATGATCTCATTAAACCTTTGAGAACCCTTAGTTCAATAAGGGAGAGCGTAAGATTTGTAATTTAAAAAAGTGACTGGTCTGATCCTATAGAGAAGCAAAATTACTCTTAAGAGCTTAAACATTTCGTATAATGGTCATTTTGTCTCTTACAGGAGAAATAAATAGAAGTTGTAGATAGCAATGACCCTCTTATCATTAATACAACCATAAATCCTGATTTTTGCCATACTTATACAATGTACAGTGCTATGGTAACATGTAGAAATATTCTCTGCTATTCTCTTGTTTAACTGTCATTACTCATAGTTTCTGTAATTTCATGCTTATTTTTTTTTAATTACTTTATCAAATATATGAAGCCTGAGGAAAGGCTATAACAATTCTTCATTTGTAGATTTAAAGTTATAATTTGTTTGATTGTGTTTTACATAACATCGACACAGTATAGGTCATATTGTCACATTCCATCTTTACTGTTGGAGGAAGACCTCAGGTGCCTTCCAGGCATTATTTCAGGCACAAACAGACACCTAAGTAGAACCACCACATTCCAAAAGGTACATGTAGCTGGATAGCTTTCTCACATGAAAGAAGTCCCTGTCAGGATTTGAACCCATAACAGTCAGGGTCAAGTGGTGTTTGTTATAGTGAAAAAAAAGTTATAAAAGTGTAACAGAATAAACATATATAAAACACAACTACTGTACTTAGATTTAGAATGACTTGAACATTACAAACTGCATTTATTTTGTCTACTCCAAATATTTGACTGATACAAAAGATACATGTAATATTGTGATAATATTGTGATACATTGTCAGCAGTGATACACAACTTTAGTAGACCATTTTCTGGTTAGTTATACAGAAAAGATGGTTTATAGGTAGACTAACCACTTAGATATGTCAAAAAATGTGTTAAATTGGCATCAAATACATACAAACTAATGAATTAATAACTCTTTATAATTTTACTTACCTAATTTATATTTCCTTCAACTCATCTGGTAAATCTAGTTTGGGGTGTTTATTTTCAAAGTGCTGCTTATAAGTCTTAGGGTCTGGCATTTGTGACTGGCAAAAAAAAGTAATCCATATAATTATATTTAATAATCAATGACTTAATGTCTTGCCAAAAAAGTAAAATCCTAAGTATTTATACATAAGTAATCAACATTTGTTACAAGAAAAAAACTTTAACTTTTAAAGGCTGCCTTGGCAGTATGTTGGCTTTTTTATTATTATATTTTGCCTTGGCAGTATGTTGGTTTTTTTATTTACGTTTTCATTGGTTGGTATTAGCACAACCAAGGCAACAAAAAAAACAATAAAAGATTTTCTCTTTTTTTTCTTTAAAAGGGACTTCACTGAGGTTTAAAAGCCTAAAAACATAACATTTGAATTTCTTACATGCATGAGCTGGGGCACTTTAAAACAAAAATATATGCAAAGATAGTTAAGAAATATACTTTGAAATAAATTGAAAATCGTATTTTCATGCTTTTCTTAGCCTGTTTTGCGTGAAAAGCGTTTAAACGCCTTTCATTTTATGTAATTTTTTTTACAATTTTAATAATTATTCTGGAAAAACGAAGTGCGCGAATGATCTGAAATTTTGCACAGATATTAGTGGTCTATACCTACTTCAAAAGGTCTACATATTTATCTGAAAAAAATATTTTCATTCCCATCATGTCAAAAAACCTTAGTGGAGCCCCTTTAATATTAATAGTAATTATTATTATTACATTTCTGTTTCCATTTAATTATAATTATAGTAACAAATTTAAATTATGGAAAAGAATAAAAAAAACATTTCTCAAAATATTACATTAAAGTCTAAATACCAATATTAAACTAAAACAAGAATACATGTTACACAGGGTGTCCGTTTGACCCTTGAAATGACTCTTAAACCCTTAAAATTTCAAAAAGGCCTGATCTGACCCTCAGGATTTTAACTGGAGGGTCAAATTTTGTTAAAATCATGGGGATTTGGCCTTGTAGTCGGTAAACTTAGTCAAAATGACCCTCAGGGTTTTATGGCTATTGAACACCCTGATTATTCATGATGTATAAGTCAGTACCTTGCATGCTGTGCAGACAAATTTCAGACCGGCTTGTGCTGCTTTCTTTTGATCATGGCTCTGAGACTTCTTCAACTTCTCCTGCTTCTCCTTGTTCTTCTGTTGTGATTGAATTTTCTGATGACCACGAGCCATTTTGATGCAACCAACCTATGAAATATAACATGTAAAATATTGAAGATATTGAATGTGTGTAGGTTCAATACTTAATTTTTAATTCATGAACAAGTTGAATAAAATTATATTATGCTGGCCTATGGTGAACATGATATTATTTTATTCAACAAATAAATTATATTTTAATTTAGTAATGAACCGAATAATATTCTATTTATCACAAACCCAAAATAAAGATTGTTTAAAGTGCAAAAGAGTCATTTTTCATTGACACCCCTATAGTGTAATGCTAACAGTTACCATGCCTATAGATCTATATTACAATACTGTTAAAGTGACCGTATTCTCATTCTTTTGCTGTCAATTAGTAATATCTTTCAAAAAGATAGACTATGTCTGTTAATTATAAATATAAGTGGCGGCTGGTCAAGTAATTAACTTTTGGGACTAGTTATCCTGACAGTGGGGCAAGTCATTGTTTCCTTGAACCAAATCGGCCCCTATGCAAAAATCAGCCCCTAGACGTTTCGGCCCTTTTCCGCGAGACGTTTCGGACCTTCTTTATTACAGTTTTATGTATTTAAGTATTAAAGGAATTTTTAAACTTAAAATCGTTAAAAATTGTAGTAAACTGATTGATTGATGGCACACAAACAATTAAGACACTTTAATCCTCAATTAATAATCCATTACAGATCTATCGATCTCTTAATTTAACTATTTAGATAAATGCTTTTTTTTCAAGGTGTAACAATATATAAAGACACTTAATCCTTAATTTATAAGACAGTTGACAAACTGCAAAAACTTTTTGAGTAACAAAGTTAATAACAATTATACCCCCAAAATCATTATTTAACTATTGAGATATAAGTTGTTGTTGGTTTCATGTATTGTTCTGTGTCTTGCTTTTTAATCATTTAAATTAAAAAAAATGCTTGTTGATAAAAAACAGATACAAATCTGTTTCAGTGTTTGTGTACTTTATTTTGTTTAATAAGTTTATGTTCTGTTCTGTTTGTTAAGATTACTACTATTTTAGCCTCATTCAAATACAAAATAATAATTTAATTATTGAATTTATTCAATAATTCTCTCATTCCTTTTATTTATTCATTTATTGAATTGCTATTAAAATTCTCGTATAAACACATAAGGTAAGACTTATTCTTAACAAAATATAGGGCTGATTTGGTTAAAGGCCGAAACGTCTTGGGTAATTTGGGGCCGATACGCCTTGGGGCCGAAATGACTCGAAAACCTTTACACTCATTGATCAGTACTGATCGGTTCCAGGTACGATTAAGAGTGTTTATAAGCTAATAGCTTCTTGCACAATCAATCTAAAATAAATTCTGTATAAACCAATTATAAAGATAATGGTAATTGTAGGCCTATTAATTTTGTAATGAAAAAAAGCTTTAATATAATAGATCAATTAATAAAATATGAAAACAACCAAAATTATAAAATACTGCTTTACTTTTGGAAATTGTTAGTTAAATGAAAGATATTGCTAGTAAAAATATACAAGCAAAAATTTTTCAGGCAAAAAAACTTGAATCAGAACTCTGTCGGCTAGCGACTGCATATCCGAAAAATACTCCAGTTCATTAAATTCCAAACGGAAACATTCAATAAATTTACGAGATCCTAAATGAATAATTCAATACACTAACTTATTTAAATGAAATGAAAGAATTCAAACCTTTTAAATATTTAAGAGAGACAAAGAAAAGCAGTTTTAAACATTCACCAGAAACTGTGATCAAGCGGAAGTTGTGTAAATGGACGTAGCCTCGTTCTGAATTCAAGATGTCAGCGCCCATGGTCACGAACATCGCAATAAAGTTAGCTTTTTAGTTTTTACATCGACATTTTAAATGTGTTAAAGGTATATTCCATGGATCATCATCGGCTTCTGTTTATCGATTCATTGCCTGTTTTCATTTTTTCATTGTCTTTTTTTCTTATTTTTATGCGTGCAAACTGTGAGGGCCTTTCGTACTCAGAATAACTCGGGCCAGTAAATGAATTTTAATTATTGCAAGCCTGTCAAAATCAGCCGCCATATGATCTGGGCGTCAAAATGTGCTCTTGTCAGAGAGGGCTAAATCTGCACAATCCAAATTTGGTGCAAGATTTTTTTCCTTTTTTTTGTTTTGTTGATTTTAGCAGAATGTAGATTTGAAAGAATTTTAAATTTATATTTATTTTCACAGACACTTGGGGTTATGTGCGTGGCTTCCCTTCTTGATCGGCACTTGTATACACTGTGTATATTTTAATCATGCAAACCGTACGTCAAAATATTTTTGCATATTATTACGACCTGGTCACTTGTAATAAAAATTTGTTTTCAGCTATTTTTAAATGTTTAAAAAAGTCCATAAATATATCATTATTTCATAAAGATAACAACGTTTGCTTTCCTTTGATGTGAGACGACTGGAATGAGTTTCGGCACTGTTTTGCGCTTTCATTTATGCCGAGAACCAAACTCCCCGCAGCGGTTACTTCCCCTAATCAGTAAAAAAACAAATCAAGAAGACTGATGGAAAGGGCCGAGAAGTTGCGATTGAATTTCTTTTTCCCAGCGATTTTTCCGCTATAATTTACTGGAAATATTCCAGTCGTCATGAATTCGTAAAGAAGCATGTGACATGGATAGGAAAATGTAATTAAATGTGCAAAGCTTGGAAGAAAGGTATGATCGGATAATAGCATGCATTTTTTTATTAAAAGAATATATGCATTGACTGATTTACACCAGAAATAAATGGCATGCGATAACATAAATACTTGAAAAATATGTAGGTCAGTTGTGTTAACATTTTGAAGCAAGGTATCTTCAGGAAATTGAAGTGTTGGTAAAAAATTGACATTTTTAAAACGTTGTGAAATTCTATTCAAACTTGTTCACGTGTTAGACACTTAACCGTCTCATACTAATATACTTAGCAAAAATTTAAAACTAATTCTTGTAATAAATAATACTTTCAGTTTTTTATATTCAGGGGCGGAGAAGAGTGGGGTCTATACTCCAAGTGTCTGTGTTTATTTTCTCCTTAATATATAGTTTTGATCTTGTCAATAGAATATACAGGGGTCAAAGGCACACCACTTTACATTGTATAGATTTTAATGGCTATAATTATACTGTATGATAGCCATGACAGGGTTTAATATTAGTGTAATTTTTAATGACTGAAACAAGCATAACTCCTAGTCAAAATATATTGACATGCCAAAGCTTGATTCTGAGATATTTTCGTTCTGGAGCAGAATTGTACAGACACAAACATAGCAAAATATCTCGTCACTCAGTACAATTAAGTTGGACTAGCATAACTCCATAACAACACTTTATTACATGTATACAAATTAGTTGGATATCATTATGTGTGTAAACAAATTAACGTCTCACATGTAATTTTATCCTTTCTGGAAATAGCAATCAGCGTGGTGCTGATAATTAATGGACAATTTTGTGTTGGAATACCCCACATTAATGGGGTCTACCTCTTAAATTTCTTTGTTGTTTTTTACACCTCACATAGGTCATAAAGGCAGAGATTAATACAGTTGGTTAAAGTAATACACTTGCCAATTTTTGTTGCAAGAATTAAAAATGATTGCCAATTTTATAAAAAATATTGTAAATGGCGACCAACAGCGTGAGCCCTGCAAATATTTATCACTGCTATAACCTATACAATTCAATATATTATCATTGATAGAGCTTATAGATTCGTCAAATAGTACAAAATCATTCTGGCATAAACTTAAAGGTATGTGTAATAAGAAAGCACATAGTTCAAACTCGATTACTTAAAACGAATGGAAAAATCATTTTGAATCTTTATTTAATGTTATTAACTATGAAAATTTTGAAGAGATTGATTCAATTCTACCAGAGCATATAGATAATGATATAGAGTTTTCAATTTTTATATCGGAAATTACAGACGAAGAAATCTTAAGGGCTGTAAAAGAACTTAAAAGAGGAACTTCGGGGGGTGAAGATGATATTATTCCAGAATTTTTTATTAACGGTATTGATTTATTGATTCCTTTAGTTAATAAGATATTTAATAGATTATACAATAATGGTGATTTTCCGGAATCATGGAGTAAGGCAATTATTGTTACTATACATAAAAAAGGAAATATAAATTCCACTGATAATTATAGAGGTATTTCTCTTTTAAATATATTTAGCAAGATTTATACTAGTATTTTGACACGGAGACTAACTTTTTATGTTAATATCTTTAATAAAATTAGTGAACCACAAGCTGGATTCCGAGAAGGTTACTCGACAATTGATAATGTTTATGTACTTCAAGCAGTTATTGACAAACAGTTATCAAAGCCAGGTGGTAAACTCTATGTAGCATTTATTGATTTTATGAAATGTTTCGATTTGATAAATAGACATAATATTTGGCAAGCTTTAAAACAAGCCGGTGTAAAAGGTAAATTATATAATGCAATATTTGGTATGTATCGGTCGGTGCAGGCTTGTGTTAGAACTGATGAAGGGCTAACTGAATATTTCAGCTGTCCCATAGGTCTAAAACAAGGTTGCATGGCTTCGCCAATTCTATTTTTAGTTTTTATTGATGAATTAATTAAACGAATTGAAAATAGTGGAATCAGAGGTATCCAGCTGTTCCCAGATACAACTGAGTTATCATCTTTATTATTTGCAGATGATTTGGCCTTAGCTGCAGATACTGTTGTTAGCCTTCAGAAGTTATTAAATTTGGTAAAAAATTTCTGTGATGAAAAAAATGTAAAAGTTAATCCTGTAAAATCAAAAGTAATGGTTTTTAAGAAAGGTGGGAAATTAGCGAAAGGGGAGAAATGGTTTTATGATAATCAAATTCTTGAAGTTGTAAGCAATTTTAGTTATGTAGGTGTAACATTAACACAACAGTTGTCCTTAAACAGAATGGCTAGTGAACAAGCGTCTAAAGCAAAAAGAGTACTTATTTCTATACTTACGCAATTATATGACTACGGACAGTTACCCCCAAAAGTATTTTTTAATATTTTTGACACAAAAATTAGTCCTATTTTACTTTATGGATCAGAAATATGGGGTATACACAAGTTAGTACAGCCAGAGTTAGTGCATAACTATGCATGTAAAAGATATTTATGTGTGAAAGAAAAAACAATTAATGCAGGTGTCCTAGGTGACTGTGGGAGATTTCCTATGTTTATAAATTCTGCTAAAAGAGCTGTAAGATATTGGTGTAAAATACTTAAAATGGGTGAACACAGATTAGTTAAAAAATGCTATTTTATGCAGTTGTTTTTGGATAGTACGGGGCAAACTAATTGGTGTACTGGTATTCGTAATTTATTATGTAAAAATGGTTTTGGCTACATTTGGTATAATCAAACAGTCAATAATGAAGACTATTTCATAAATTCTTTTGTACAAAAATTAAAGGACCAATATCTACAAGAATGGCAAACAATTATAAATGATAGTTCTAAATTGTATGCGTATAGACAGTTTAAATGCAATATCGAACATGAATATTACTTAACAGTAGTGACAATTAGAAAATTCAGAAATGCTCTTGCCAAACTTCGGTTGTCCTCCCATGATTTAGAAATTGAAAAAGGTAGATACCAGAATATTTTAAGAGAACAAAGGATATGTAAATTATGTCACGAAGCAATTGGAAATGAATATCATTTTGTTTTAGTTTGTAAAAAATTGTCTTTGATTAGAGAAAAATACATTAACAAAAAATTCTTTAATAATCCTAATAATCATAAATTTAATGTTCTGATGTGCTCTCGCTCTGATAATGTTATAACAAATTTAGCTATGTATGCATATTATGCATTCAAAGAGAGAAATGATATATTAAGTAATACAGATACTGACAGTTAGAAATCATTAGGATATACTTACTATATTGTTGAGATCACATTCTTGAAATCATTATCTATGTTATAACACAGATACTTAAATTTGAAATTATTATTATAAAATATTTGAGAATATGCTTATAATATCATGAATGTTACTTTTAGGTATTGTTTAGTTTGTTGTTTTCAATTTTGAATACGTTTGTACAGTGATGAGATATATGGATTTACTTTTCATTTCGGGCTATGATGAACAAAGCTTAAGACTGATCAAAACACTATTGCCTTTTATGTTAAGGCTATAGTATGTTTTCCTTATTTTGCAATGAATAGCCATAAGTGAAGATCTTATGTTTTGTTTTTCGTTAAGATCGACACGCATTTTGGTAAATTATTCAACAATAGTTCTGTGTGTTTCAATATAAACATTATTAGGAATTACATTGATCTGTACTGACACCAGTCAAGAAATTATATGTAAATGTATATATTGTTGTAATGGGCCGGTGGCCAATATCAATAAATAAATTGTCATTGTCATTGTCATTGATACTTTTTTTTGATATATCAAAAAAACAAAATTTTATAAGTGAAATAAAAATTTTCTATAAGTGACAGCTGTTATAGAAGGTTAGTGCGGTGGCAATGATAGCAATATGCTTCAATATGCTTTAATTAAAAGTTTTTCCACAAAGGTTTTTTTCAGGGGTGTGGAAATATGAATTTTTGCCTCTTGCCCTTGGACAAATTGGGCAAATAAATTTTCTTTGTCAGTAGCTTAACTTTACATGCAATTTTGAAAATACCAAATATTGGCCATAGGCTTTTAACCGATGCATAAAGACCAGACATGATTTCTGCAGTTTTAGGAAACAATCTACAAATTTTATAAGCAGTGACAGGCTTTTGTCCAAGTTATAACCCTTTTGGTGCTTATAATATTAATTTAATCTGAATATAAATTTAAGCTTATGATCATTCTTTTTTGTTTCACTACAATTTAGGTGAACGTTTTTTCTGTTCGGACACTTACTGATTCTTTTGGTTATTCGTGGCTAAGAAAAGCAAGATCTAATAACAAATCAATGTGTGCCATTGTAAAAATTTGAACCAAAACAACTTTCCAATTGTAACTGAATATGAATGTTAAAATATACTTTAAGTGATTGCCTCTAAATGATCTGCATGTATCAAGATGCTTGCTGTCTGATGACCTTCCTACAAGAGTTCACCCATGGGGTGAAATTATTGATATACATGTATATGAAAAGGTGTATTTACTCATAGTTAACTAAAATTCATAACTTCCTAAAATAAATGCTCCCCATTGATATGAGGTAGAAATGCAGTATTCTATTTTTGTCTACAATGTACTTACTCAGATTTTCACTTGTTAGCAAAATCTACGTGTCAGCAGGCATAAAGTCCCAGAGTAAGGCAATTCTGTTAAAGGATTTCCACAACCCTGAATAGTTTATTTGTTTTTCAGGCTAATGGGATCTATTATCAGACCAAATCTTTTGTTTAAACCTTGCAAATTATGTCAGTCAATACGTAAGGCCTCTGGATCTACTAGACGTCATGAAGCTCGAGAAAGACGTAAGAAAGAGGTGATTCAACTGAAAAGTGAGAAAGGTACGCCAGCTGAACGTGTTTATGTATGGGGTCATGCTGCTGCAGGTGCTTTAGGTGAGTAAAATTGTCCAAAAAAAACCCATTCAAAATTTCATAATGCCAGCTTCTCAACTGGAAGAAATGTCACTGGCACTACAAGAAAGTATTACAACAAAATCAAAGTGTATTTAAAAGTATTGCCTTTAATTACTGTATTATATTAACTTTGTATATGAAGTTACATTGTATTGACATTATGACATTACTGTCACAGTTGGGGGGGGGAGGGAATGCATGTCTTTCTTTTAATTTTGTATACATGTATGAAGTTACATTGTATTGACATTATGACATTATTTTTTTTATCAAATTAAGAAAAAAATTGCTATTTGACTTTCATAAATTGTGTCAATTTCACATTTTTAGTTCACTGTCACAGTTAGGGGGTGGGGGTGGAGAAAGGCATGTCTTTCTTTTAGATTCTCCTTGCATTACAGTAACTGTTGTGTACATGGAAATGCTACATACTGCTCAACAAATAAAAGACATAAAAATATAACATGAATGGATGTTGTTCTATATATTTTCAGGTGTAAGATCATATTTACGTCCAGAACGCAGTAGTCAGAGTCCTGTAAAAATACAACATAGACCTGCTAGACTGAGATTTATGGATGAAAATGATATACAGGTAAGATCAAGACAATTTAGTTAGGCAAAAAAAAAATACTGTTAATAGTTTCTGGCCCAATATAAAAAGCTATAGGGTAGGTAGGAATTTCTTTTTTTTTATGACTTTACATATACATTAATTTTGTATATACAATTATACATTGCAAAGATAATATTTTGAAAAAGTAGAAAAAGTAGAAAAGCAAGTTATTTCATAAATTAGGTAAGCAGTCAAGAAAGAGGGTAGAAGGGAGACCAGTGAAACAAAGCTATTTTTCATTGACTTTTCAAGATATGGCCAAAGTAAAAGAAGTTTGTTTGACAGGGAAATTAGGTCATTAACTACTCAGGAGTTTGTTTCATAGGGAAATTAAGTCATTAATGCTAGAGATTTTTTTCACTAGGTAATTGGGGCATTATAGCTTAGCGAGTGTGTCTAATAGGGAAATCAAGTCATTAAATGTTAGAGTTTGTTTCATAGGGAAATCAGGGCATTGAATCTTTGTGTTTATTGTGTTTAATAGGGAAACTAAGTCCTGTAATGTTAGAAAGATTGTTTCACAGGGAAATTAGAACATTAAATTGTAGGGATTGTGTTTCATAGGTAAAATCAAGTTATTAAATGCTTAGGAGTTTCTTTTATAGGAAAATTTGTGCATTAAATTGTATGGAGTGTGTTTCATAGCGAATGCTAAGGAGTTTGTGAAAAAGGAAATCAGAAAATTAAATTTTACGGAGTGTTTTTCATAGCAAAATTAAGTCTTTAAAGGGATACTCAGGCAAATATATGACAACAATATCAAAATTATCTAATGTACTCAAATCACCCTAAAATGACATTTGTTTAAGTCCCAACATGAATTTCTGTATAAATTCTATATACATGTATATTTGGTTTAAAGCATTAATAAATCTATATATGTTGAACGAAATTTAAACACCGGCAGAATCACTGAGTATTTAAAAAAACATGTCATGTGACATGAACAAACCCTGAAAGTTTCAATGACAGAATATGTGGATATTGTATGTTTAAAATAAATCTAAGTCATCCATTTGACATGTTCTTTAACATTTCGAGAGTTTACTATAACAACAATTGTGAAATCTTAAAGTGTGTCAACTTAGGAAACCATCATTTTATTCTTTATGAAGAGAAAAAGTTTTGTACCTGTGACTGCCTAATGTATTCATTTTGAGGACATTTACAGAATAATGAATGAAAAGTCAAAAAACGAAGAAATGAAAATTTGCCTGTGTCTCCCTTTAAATATCAAGGAGTTTGTTTCATAGGAATGTTATGAAAAAAATTTATTGTTTAATAGGTTTACAATGTGGCATGTGGATATGGCTTCACTCTGTTTGCTGCAAAGAGAAGAAGACGACACATGGTTCTTGCCACTGGAATAAACACAGACTCTCAGTTAGGCTATCATGAGTTCCCTAAAAATACAGGTATGGGAAAGTAATAATTACTGCCAAATCATTATTATTCATGGGGCACTAATTTTCTATGAAATTATTGGTTTCCACAAAATAACTTTTGAATGATTTCAATGATTGTGTTTAAATTTGGCATGAAAAATATGGACCAGTCAATTTAGGAAATGATACACAAGTACTACTTTATCACATAAGTAAGTTTATGAATATCAGTATCGGACAGAATGTTATTAGTTATAAATCTGTATTTTCCAGGACGTGTATTGGATTATATAATTGAGCCAGTGCCGGTAGAAATACCAGGGATATCACAGGACAACCATAGATCTGTACTACAGGTATCAGCCGGCCGGGCCCACAGTGTCTTTCTTACTGAAGCTGGAGGTTTGTGTATAGATACTACATGTGTTTACATTAAACTTTATCTATATTGGAGAAATTCATTGGTGCAAGATTACTGACACATGCTGAAAGGTTCTATTTATCAGCTGTGGGATGAAATATTTTTCCAAATTGTATAAATAACAAAAGAATCAAGTGGCAGGTTTGATAGATAAGACTTGTATTTTTACCTTCTTCCTTAGAAAAGGTCTTCTATGCATTCCAGATTTACAGTTCTTTTTATTTCTGTAGAGTTAGGGATGCGTGATTTAGGTCACCAACTTAAAATCACTTGGTCCTAGCAACTTGTTGTCACTGATATTCATAAAGTTAATATGTTTTCTTCATTATATACATGTATATATTTGTATCGTTACAGTGTTCTCACAAGGTAACAATGCATATGGGCAATGTGGTAGACCTTCAGTGGAAGGTGAAAGCTTTCAGTAAGTTTTGCTGTTTTAGTTTTCTTTCCCAAAATATTACACCCGGGGCAGATGTTTCCTTAAATTTGTACATAATATATGTATAATAGTGCCATCTGATTTAGTGATCATTTGCAGGACAGAAAGATAAGTCATAAATTTTTTCCGAGATAAACAATTTTATGGTCGGTCACTTGGTCTTTCAAAAAAATGGCAAATAAAAGTTATTTAAGGCCATAAATTGTTCAAAAACATGCTTCATCATTTCATTATTTGACATATTAGGGAAATCTCTAATCTGTCCAGTTACTTTTGGATGAACAGTGAACTTAAGTTCTAAACAAATTTGAAAAAGAATAGCATAGACATAAGGATAATTAATGCTTAAACGAAAGTGGGTCAGATAGGTTTATATCCATCCAGACAAATTATTCAGTTTTACAAATCATTGGGGGAAAAAGTTGTTTTACAAAGCTTTATTTTCATTTGCTTTAAGGCTATTTAACATTATGCCCCAGAACTGCTTTTTATTTGTATTTCTCAAAAGATTTTTTTTATTTTTGATGTTTTGAATTTGTTTCCAAAACGTAACTCATTGGCAAATTACCAGAATCATTTTTGCTACTGTTGCCTTTGAACAACTAGTACTATTGTAGTTATTAAGGATTTTGAATGGAAGACAAAATATATTTGTACTACCTTGTTTATATTTGACTTCTTTTATAACAAATAATTTCACATTCAGTGTTACTTTCTTCAGATCATAAACATCTAACATGCTCTAAAACCTTACATGTTATAAAATACATGTGTGTCTTTTCTAAAGAAGGCAAATTTTATTTGTTTCTGAGGCATTTTGTGCCTTTAAGGATAACTTTAACAAAGATCAAATATATTTTTGAGTTGTTTCATAATGTTTTCTAAATTCCAATAACATTCCTTAAGGCCTCAACAGACGGTAGGATTTTGAAGTACAACACCAATTAAAACTGAGATGTACAGACAAATTTTAATGTGTGAAGGCTACTATTTCTTGATTTCGGAAACCTTAAGTCTAGATGTAAGGGATAGGACATGTTCTATTTTGAAAATCTTGTCGTACGGATTTTTTCAGACCTCCCACGATGACAAGTAACAGATAAGCAAATTACCTCCTGATAAAGGGTGTAATGAATGAAATTCCAGAACAATTAGGGCTTAAAGGTAAACATAGTAGTAAGATGGGGTAAAAATGATGTTGAAAAACTCTTCAGGAGACCCAAAGTTGTGTTATGTTCGAATCCCAAATTATTCCGAAAATGATTGTCACGGTATTGAGTTGTTCTCTAATAACATGAATAAGGGGAGGGGAGGTAGTTTGTAGGCGGCTGGATAGCTTGGTCAGTAGAGCCGCAGTACGGTATTCCGAGGGTCCCAGGTTTGAGTCTCGGTCAGGCTTCACATTAAAAAATATATATATATAATTTTTTTTTAAATGGAGGTGTTTCAATCATTACTCATGGCAAAAAAAAGTATTTAGTGAGTAAAGTATGTTAAAGGATCAATGTAAAGGGACCTTTTTTAATGGAAACCTCAGATGATTCTTACAGTGTAGAATTACCGTCTGAATGCAAGTGTTGTATAGCTTTGAAAATTGTACATCTTATCTCTAATTAGTGCGGTACATCTAAATCCTACCGTCTGTTGAGGCCTTTACTGAAACTATATCATGAGAAATCTTTTATATACCAATGATCACTTTGGGTTAAAATTCCAGTTAGTTTATATTAATTTATTTTAGTTGGGTTGTGTGTTGGAAGCTAAAAGCTTAATATTGAAACTCTCTCAAATCTGTTTCTGGAACCAAACAGTACTATGCAATGAGTTTTAAATTTTTTGCTCATGGAAACAACGGCTTGCCAGGGTTTGAAACCACGGAGCCAGCAATCCTTAGATTACTAGTCCAACACATTAAACATGCCAAAATCCGCCAGTTGAGTTTTAGATTTTTCATGTGTGGAAGTATTCTGGCTGGCTTACAGAAGGTTGGTGGTGATTCTACTGAAGGTGTGATCTTGTATCCTGTACATGTATATACACAGAGACGTACCTAAAGTGACTTCCTCTGACAATAAAATGCCTTTCTGCGCAAGAAAACGATTTCCTCTTTGATCTTAAATTAATAAACTTGACTGGACCACAAAAAACACATTGTCAGAGTGCCCCCTATATAATAAAAACCCAACTCCTTCAAAAAGTTAAATTTATATATCATAGTTCTCTATTATTTACAGCAAAGTTTTCAACATACAAAGAGTGGAGGGACTTCCAGACAATGTTAGCAAGGTATTTTTATAAGGGTTATTTTATCATTGATTAAGTCAGCAGTGATTAGGTTTTTCCCCCTAAAATGGAGGCTAAATAAATGCGTGCTTCAAATTAACAAAAATGTTCAAAATTCTTCAATGGATCTTAAAACTTATTCAAAATATGTGAAAATTTCATTTCAATCAGCTTAAAGTTATATTGGTACATACAAAATGTATTAATATGAGTGGGAGGCATATATCAAACTTGCAGGCAGGGAAAGGGTTAACCCTTGTTAGGGCGACTATACAAAGTATATGGAGAGCTGTCCTACTCGCCCCGGCGTCGGCGGTGGCGTCCTCGTCCAGATTTCAGATTAAAGTTTTGGTGCAGTAAAATATTTTTCACTATAACTTTGTCATTTCTTAAGGTATCAACTTCAAACTTCAAATATATGTTCCTTATCATCAACCACATCTTATGTGACAAGGTTCATAACTCTAGTGCCAATATTTTTAGACTTATCTCCACTTGAACTTAGAATTTTCCTTAAAATACTATTTTTTACGGTAACTCTTTATTTATTAAGGGATAAACTTCATACTTCAAATACATGTTCCTTAACATCAACCAGATTTTATGTGACAAGGTTCGTAACTCTAGCACCGACATTTTTGGGTTTATCTCCCCTTGAACTTAGAATTTTCCTGAAAAAATACTTTTTTTTACTGTTACTTCTTTATTTTCTAAGGGATCAACTTCATACTTCAAATATATCTACCTTATCTCCATCCACATCTTATGTGACAAGGTTCATAACTCTAGCACTAATATTTTCAGATTAATCTCCCCTTGAACTTAGAATTTTCCTTAAAAAATTCTATTTTTTACTGTTACTTCTTTATTTCTTAAGGGATCAATTTCATACTTCAAATATATGTACCTTATCATCATCATCCACATCTTAAGTGACAAGGTTCATTACTCTAGCACTAATATTTCAAGAATTATCTCCCCATAAACTAAGATTTTTTTACTAGAAAAATGTTATTTTTTACTATGACTTTTTTGGTTTTAAAGGTATCTACCTCAAACTTCAAATACTTATTCCTTATCATCAATTACATTTCATGTGACAATGTTCATAACTCTTGAAGCAATATTTACAGATTTATCTCTCTTTGAACTTAGGATTTTCTTTAAGAAATATTATAACTTCTTTACTTTTTAGCTCGACTATTCGATAAGAATAAGTAGAGCTATTGCAGTCACCCGAGCGTCGGCGTCGGCGTAACCACTTATGTTAAAGTTTTTGTAATAGTTCAAATATTTTCAAAGTCCATTGACATATGGCTTTGAAACTTTGCACACTTGTTCACCATCATGACCCCAACCTGTAGACAGGAGGAGGTAACTCTATCAAGCATTTTGACAGAATTATGCCCCTTTTTCGACTTAGAATTTACGTTAAAGTTTTTGTAATAGTTCAAATATTTTCAAAGTCCATTGACATATGGCTTTGAAACTTTGCACACTTGTTCAACATCATGACCCCAACCTGTAAACAGGAGGAGGTAACTCTATCAAGCATTTTGACAGAATTATGCCCCTTTTTCGACTTAGAATTTACGTTAAAGTTTTTGTAATAGTTCAAATATTTTCAAAGTCCATTGACATATGGCTTTGAAACTTTGCACACTTGTTCACCATCATGACCCCAACCTGGAAACAGGTGGAGGTAACTCTATCAAGCATTTTGACAGAATTATGCCCCTTTTTCGACTTAGAATTTACGTTAAAGTTTTTGTAATAGTTCAAATATTTTCAAAGTCCATTGACATATGGCTTTGAAACTTTGCACACTTGTTCACCATCATGACCCCAACCTATAAACAGGAGGAGGTAACTCTATTAAGCATTTTGACAGAATTATGCCCCTTTTTCGACTTAGAATTTACGTTAAAGTTTTTGTAATAGTTCAAATATTTTCAAAGTCCATTGACATATGGCTTTGAAACTTTGCATACTTGTTCACCATCATGGCCCCAACCTGTAAACAGGAGGAGGTAACACTATCAAGCATTTTGACAGAATTATGCCCCTTTTTCGACTTAGAATTTACGTTAAAGTTTTTTGTAATAGTTCAAATATTTTCAAAGTCCATTGACATATGGCTTTGAAACTTTGCACACTTGTTCACCATCATGACCCCAACCTGGAAACAGGTGGAGGTAACTCTATCAAGCATTTTGACAGAATTATGCCCCTTTTTCGACTTAGAATTTACGTTAAAGTTTTTGTAATAGTTCAAATATTTTCAAAGTCCATTGACATATGGCTTTGAAACTTTGCACACTTGTTCACCATCATGACCCCAACCTGTAAACAGGAGGAGGTAACTCTATCAAGCATTTTTTTTACTATCAAGCACTAAGAATAGTCGAGCGTTGCTGTCCTACCGACAGCTCTTGTTAAGGTATCTACTTCAAACTTCAAATATATATTCTTATCATTACACACATGTTGTGTGACAAGGTTCATAACTCTAGCGAGACTATTTCTAGAATTATTCCCCTTGATCTTGGAATTTATGTTAACAATGTTATTTTTTTACTATAACTTAAAACATAATTATACATAATTGATTTTTCTTTCATAGTTTTGTCCTCCTTACTGCGTCCAGTATTTTATTAGTCGAGCTTCGCTGTCTCCTGTGACAGCTCTTGTTACATTGATTGTTATTCAGGTTGTATGTGGACAGGACCATACTCTTTTTCTGACAAAAGATGGTAAAGTTTATTCCTGTGGTCTTGGTGCAGATGGGCAGTTAGGTAAGTACACATGGGGAATATTTGTATGTAATCATTTTTTTTAATCAAGCTTTGTATGATAATTGTTCAAAACCCATATAATAAACCCGGCAGAAGAAAGCTCTGAGATCTTCAGATTAACAGATTAGTAGAAGTTTTTGCATGTTGTCAATGCTATTACTTAAAGATGTTTCTGTGAGTACTGCAATTTTAAGCTCGACTTTTAAAAGAAAGGTGAGAGCTGTTGTAATCACATAGTCGTCAGTGTTGGCATTGCCGTCACACTTTGGTTTACTTTTTGCTGGCATTTGGTATCTCCAATTTTACTGAACGGAATTGGTTGAAACTTCACACACTTATTTGAGAGCATACTAGGAGGTCACTTTTAAAGGCAGAATTATGGCCCTTTTTGAAAGTTCTACATTGCTCAGGCTCTTGTATTTCTACCTTTCCTACTGACAGCTCGTGTTTTACAAAAGCAAAGATGGAAAGTTTAAACTTGTGCATAGAATTTTCTTAACTTTGCATGATTAAAGAGGATCATGATTGAAACAAATTGATGAAAAAAGTTTTTGTCCTCACCATCCTACTTTTTGAGTTTAATTCAACATTAATGCATATACATGTAGTTCCTTTGATATTTCTTATTATAACAAGAAAATCACACAGATTTTTGTTAAATATAATAAGAGTTTTTAGCTTAGTACTACTTTTGTGATGGCAGTCTGTCTATCAGCGTTCATTGTTGACCGCAATTTCTTTAAACAACATCTCCTCAATCACTTAGCCAGTTTAGACCAAACTTCACAGCATAAACTTGGCTCTTATTTTAGTTTCAAGCTCTATGAAGTCAAGAGCACTGTTTTACTGATAGTTATTGTTAAAAAACTAATATTACCTGAAATCTGTTCATAAAGTCTAGGAAAAAAGAAAGGCAGTGGTCTATTTTGGTAATCATTCTTCAAGAACTATGATAGGGGTGTCCTGGCTGGGTGGTTAAGGTTGTTGACTTAAAACCAATTAACTCTCAATGCTGTTGGTTTAAATTCTGACAGGTACTTTTGGATTCTTTGATATGAGGATGCTATCCATCAAGCATATGGAACATCGGTGGTTCTACTCAGGTTGCTGTTCTTGTCTGAAATAATGGAGGGAAGGTCATCTGAGGTATTCCTTCATCAGTAAAGCTGGAAAATCACCATATGAACTACACTGTGTTGGTGTGACATAAAACTAAACCAAAAAAAGAAATCAAGAACTTTGGTAATTTATTTTCTTTTATCATCTTCACGTTTCAATAACTTAGCCTTAAAATTTACATTGTATTTCAGGATTACAAAGTTTTGAGTCAGTAGGTATCCCACAGCAAGTAAAAGGTGATATTGAGGGTGTAAATATAGTAGATATTGCATCTAGAACAGACTGTGTCCTGGCTGTATCTAACACAGGTGACGTTTTTGGATGGGGAAACTCTGAATACAGTCAGTTGGCAATGGTTACCACTGAAACACAAGTAAATGTTCCAAAATATTTACCATTCAAGGATTGTGGGAAAACAAAGAAAGTGGGTGCTGGGGGATCTGTATGTATCCTGCTAAATGGTGAGTTTTTCAAATGTAGTTTGTAACAAACACTCTACCTATGTTTGCAGACTTTTTTTATCCCACAAGTGAAATGGGTGGGGCTTTTAATATGATTTTCAAAAACTTTCTGTAGTCTAACCAGACTAAGTTGATAAGTGTTAATTTTGAATATAAATTTTATACTTCTATCAATGAAATGGATGAATAACAATTAAAAAATATCATAAATGACTTAAAATATCTGTTCAACAATATTTATAAGTATTAATTCTACATTAATACCATTAGCCTTCTGACAATTTTTTCATCACTTAAGAGAATTACATATAATAAAAACGGAGTTCATTCAGTTAATTTAGAAAGTTGTGATATAAACATTCATGGTGGCTACCAAACTATTGTAGGTAACTGGACCAACAGTGATAACTTTACATTTTGTAATTATTTTGATAAGTAGGCCAATTGTGATAATTAGGTCAATTATGGTGATATCTAAAACAATGATGATATAATTATAGTGTTGATCAAAACAATAATTATTTTGTGGTTACCTGACAAATGTTGACCAATTATGGTAATTAGACAATGGTCTTAGACTACACTTTTAGTGATAATAAGACCATTTGTAATCTACATGTATGGCGTAGGCTTCTTGAAACTTTTTTTACACATTGTTATTAGTATTTTTATGTTTAATCATGATAAATGATGTTTGAAGTATAAGTGTGAAATTACTTCAGATATTTTTTTTTTTGCTGCAGAGAGTGGACATGTTCATGTGTGGGGTTACGGTGTACTAGGAAAGGGACCAAACGTGACTTTACTTAAGACACCAAGTTTACTGCCCCCACCATTATTTGGCTGTAATGAACTGAATCCATATGTTAATGTTAAAGATATAAGCTGTGGAATGAGTCATTTTGGTGCAATAACAAGTAAGTTAACTCAACTGTTATCCCATCTTATTTCTTCATTGAACTGTATTTACTTCTGTCTTAGGGCTGTATTAAGTTCTATAAGTAAAATAGGCGGTATTGAGTTCTGAAATAGGCTGTATTAACTACTGATATAGGCTGTATTAACTACTGATATAGGCTGTATTAACTACTGATATAGGCTTTATTAAGTACTGAAAAAGGTTGTATTAAGTACTGAAATAGGCTGTATTAAGTACTGAAAAAGGTTGTATTAAGTACTGAAATAGGCTGTATTATGTACTGAAATAGGTTGTATGAAGTGCTGAAATAGGCTGTTAGAAGTGCTGAAATAGGGCAGTACTGAGTACTGAAATAGACTGTATTAAGTACTGAAATAGGCGGTACTGAGTACTGAAATAGACTGTATTAAGTACTGAAATAGGCTGTATTAAGTACTGAAATAGGCTGTATTAAGTACTGAAAAAGGTTGTATTAAGTACTGAAATAGGCTGTATTAAGTACTGAAATTGGCTGTATTAAGTACTGAAAAAGATTGTATTAAGTACTAAAATAGGCTGTATTAAGTACTGAAATAGGCTGTATTAAGTACTGAAAAAGATTGTATTAAGTACTGAAATAGGCTGTATTAAGTACTGAAATAGGGCTGTATAAAGTACTGAAAAAGATTGTATTAAGTACTGAAATAGGCTGTATTAAGTACTGAAATTGGCTGTATTAAGTACTGAAAAAGATTGTATTAAGTACTGAAATAGGCTGTATTAAGTACTGAAATTGGCTGTATAAAGTACTGAAAAAGATTGTATTAAGTACTGAAATAGGCTGTATTAAGTACTGAAACTGGGTGTATTAAGTTCTGAAATTGGCTGTATGAAGTACTAAAATAGGCTGTATTAAGTACTGAAATAGGCTGTATGAAGTGCGGAAATAGGCTGTATTAAGTACTGAAAAAGATTGTATTAAGTACTGAAATAGGCTGTATTAAGTACTGATATAGGCTGTATTAAGTACTGATATAGGCTGTATTAAGTACTGAAATAGGCTGTATTAAGTACTGAAAAAGATTGTATTAAGTACTGAAATAGGCTGTATTAAGTACTGAAATTGGCTGTATTAAGTACTGAAAAAGATTGTATTAAGTACTGAAATAGGCTGTATTAAGTACTGAAATTGGCTGTATAAAGTACTGAAAAAGATTGTATTAAGTACTGAAATAGGCTGTATTAAGTACTGAAACTGGGTGTATTAAGTTCTGAAATTGGCTGTATGAAGTACTAAAATAGGCTGTATTAAGTACTGAAATAGGCTGTATGAAGTGCGGAAATAGGCTGTATTAAGTACTGAAAAATATTGTATTAAGTACTGAAATAGGCTGTATTAAGTACTGAAAAAGATTGTATTAAGTACTGAAATAGGCTGTATTAAGTACTTAAACTGGCTGTATTAAGTTCTGAAACTGGCTGTATTAAGTACTGAAATAGGATGTATTAAGTACTGAAATAGGCTGTATGAAGTGCTGAAATAGGAGGTACTGAGTACTGAAATAGACTGTATTAATTACAGAAAAAGTTTGTATTAAGTACTGAAATAGACTGTATTTAGTCCTGAAATTGGCTGTATTAAGTACTGAAACTGGCTATTTCTAGTGTTCATTTACCTTACTTTTTTTGTTTCCCAAAATTTTTCTTGAACTATCCATACCTGGTATTTAATTTTTTGTATTTGTTGCTTGATTTTATAGGTGTTGGAGATCTTTACACATGGGGCAAAGGAAAATATGGTTGTCTAGGAATACATAAAACAGAGGTCCAGTATTTCCCCTTGAAGGTTAGTCAGAGTTATAGTCATTTTGAATTCTATTTCATTCATATAGCCAAATATGTCGGAACTGAAAGTAGTTACCTTTGCCACTAGTATAGAGCTAAGCTGGCATAGCCACAGTCTGGCCAGTATGTAGACATAGTCTGGTTTGTACATAGACACAGTCTGGTTTGTGCATAGACACAGTCTGGTCAACATATAGACACAGTCTGGTCAGTACATAGACACCATCTGGCTAGCACTTAGACACAGTCTGGCCAGCATATAGACACAGTATAGCAAACATATAGATAAAGTCTGGCTAGCATATAGGAACAATCTGGCCAACACATAGACACAATCTGGCAAACATATAGACACAGTATAGCAAACATATAGATAAAGTCTGGCCAGCACATAGACACAGTCTGACCAGCACATAGACACAGTCTGGTCAACATATAGACACAGTATAGCAAACATATAGATAAAGTCTGGCTAGCATATAGACACAGTCTGGCCAGCATATAAACAAAGTCTGGCCTGCAACTAGACACAGTCTTGCCAGCACACAGACAAAATCTTTGCAGGCTTTATAGTTGGCAACTCAGCTTATGTATTTTGGTACTGAATTGCTTTCACTTAGAATGAACTGTTCAAACTAAAGCAGAGTAAGTCAATTTCACAAAGTCTGAATAATAAGGATTTTTTGGAGTCTTTTTTCTTAAGGTCTTAAGGTTTAAATCTCGTACCATCTCAAGGGATATAGATTTGTTTAAGCTTATTGGAATGGCCTCTGTCTGTTTGTCCGTCTGTCTGTTTGTAAGATTTTAATGTATGTTCCAAAACTTTTAAACTGATTTGAAAATTTTAATATAACTTGGTAGAAATGAGATGATGAGCAGATTGCAGCAACCAGATCTCAACCAGCAAAAAACACCAGAAAATATCAGAAACAGTTATAAAGAATATCTTTAATTGATTTAAACTTCAGAGAAGTGTTTTATTTTTATTCTAAGATTTTATTCTTGGTTTCAGGTTGCCATGCCAGCGTTAACACATACTGTGGAATGCGGTGTGGACCACACTGTTGCTCTTTGTAGATCATTTGCTTGACACAAACTTACATTGTATGAAGCATTTCTAGCTTGTCTGTTTTGAACACAAAGTCGAACTATTAGCCATCATGCAAGATGAAGAAAAGATGCATACTTTCATACACACGGTTTTGTCTTGTTTATCATGTAGGCACTTATCATGGTCCACAACAAATTGTGTCCGATCCTACAAAATGCTGAAGAATGTTAAGCAGTTTTTTATTACTTGGATCAGTGCTTTAGACAAGGGTGTACAATATTCCAAATGTAATAGACCTTCAGACAAGTTTTGCTTACCCTTATGAATCATTCCAGAGGATGGTAGACAGTATTGTATAATTATTATATGAACACATTTTACAATAATGTGTATAAGAAATGTAATATAATATTAATGATTAAAATATGATTTGTTGACTACTAGTATTTGTTTGTTTATTTATTGCTGCATTGATGGCAGAAATCTTCATTGTACTGATTACTACAGTCAGGTAATAAACTTGGTTGGTTAATGGTATATTAACATTAGCAAATAGAACAATTTCATTGCTGTGGACTTACTGTCCATAAACTGGGGATAATGTAAGGTTAATTCAAGTTCGTTGCACCATTTCATAAAATATTTTGAGCGGTTGAAATACAAAAACATGTAGCATATTCGTAAAATCCGTGAAAAGGGTTGTTTTCATCACAAATTTGCAAGAAGTAAAGGTGTTATAACCAAAAAAGTCGTCATAGAGAGTAAGGCTGGCCACATACATGTATCAACCCACTGACTTGAGAATGTTACAGACGTCGTCGGAGGTAAAATGCTCCCCTTGTAGACTATGACAAACCAAATTTAACTATCGGGTAACAGGTATCAGTGTTGCTAGGTTTACCACTAGCATTTGCTCAGCACTGTATTATACCATATTCAACATGACTTAGTTTGTATTTTTCGGGGATAGTTATGAGAGTAGGCTAGCGAAAATCTGCAAAATACAATGTGTGTGAAATGTCTTTGTGTGGATTAAGAACAGGTTGAATGGATGCAGACCTTTATTCTGGTTGCTAATATATTCTGAAGCTCATACAGGTATTTTACATTTGGGAGAGAAATGATACAACACCAATATCTTGCCTAGAGATTTATTCAATCGGATTAAGGATATTCTTTAAGGACTTAAAGAAAAAAATAGTGACGTACGTTTATGTAGGTGAAATACTCACGGGAGGAAATTTTACCAAATGACTTATGGATTGTCTAAAGAAATACTTAAGAAACGGGGTAAAAACACGGCCAAACTGTTCCTTGTTTATCTTACTCTTATTCACTGATTTGTAACTCAAGGTTACCTTGGCGAAAATTTTCTTAAACCATGAGGAGTCGTATTTCTACCCAGGTGTCTGTGATTAAGATCACTGTTGCTAAAAAAGAAATTCGGTTTCCGTTTGCTTTAAATAGATTCTTGACACCAAGCTTGGTGTATGGGTAGCTTATATCAAGTCAGCTTGGCATTGCTACCCAGATGTCTGTGATCAAGGTCAAGGTGGCTGTGGCTTAAAATAGAAAATAACTGTCCGCTTTAGCCTATTGACTCTTAAACTTTTCTGGGTTGCTTATTTCAAAAAGCAGCTTGAGATTGCTACCCAGATGTCTGTGATCAAGGTCAATGCCACTGTTGCTATAAATAGAAATTTAGTTTCCACGTAATTACTTCAGTTTGCTGAGACCTATTGTCACCAAATTAAAAAAAATTCTGTTCCATACGTGGGTAGCTTAATTATATCTAGACGCAAATTGGGATTGCTACCTAGTTTCTGTGAACAAGGTCAAGGTCACTGTTGCCTTAAAAGAAATTCAGTTCATGTAATAACTTGAGTTTGCTTTGACCTATTGTCACCAAACTTGTGTGGGTATCTTATCGCATGGCTGTGAGCTTTTCCTTTGTAGCAAAAAAACCATATGATAATAAAAAATGAAATCAATAAAATAAAATAAATATATAAATACAATGAAAAATATAAACAAAGATAATTAATGAAATGAAAAAAGCCCTTTAATCTTAAATCAATCTTGGTAACAGTATACAATCCGCCTCTTATATTGGATGTCTTTTGTATATTTTTTTTTTTTTTTTGCGGCAGCGAAAACAACTTGAAAAACTGCCTTATGATAAATAACTGTAATGTAGCTAACGATTAATTTATTTATTTGTTTCTATACAAAAAAGAAAACATTATGCCATTGCGATAAAACAGTTATAGTATAACTATTACTTATATCTGTAGGGTCAGGAACAAGCCCAATAATTGATTTGTTTCACTTTTGATTTTAAATTGCTGTCTTTTCCATTAAAGCTTAGAAATGTCTGTTCAACATTTATTGAAAAGATCATAAACATATTATGTTGTGCAAAAATAGAACATTTGAGTGCTTTCTTGATACTAATTTCATAATTGATTTTTCTTTCATAGTTTTGTCTTCCTTACTGCGTCCGCAGTCGCAGTATTTAATAAGTCGAGCTGGGACACCTCTTGTTCCTATTGAGGGACCTTATCCACCCCATGGAGGGACCTTTCGTATTACTGATATAGAAAGTTATCAAGTCAAATCACTTTTTAGCTCGACTTTTCTATGAAAAGGGGAGCTATCCTACTCGCCCCGGCGTCGGCGTCGGCGTCACACCTTGGTTAAGTTTTTCGTACCACCCCACTTTATTTCAGAAGTATTACAAGTATGGCTTTGAAACTTACCATACTTGTTCACCATCATAACCTCCATCTACAGACAAGAGTACATAACTCTGTCAAGGTTTTTGACAGAATTATGGCCCTTTTTTGACTTAGAAAGTGTATTGAGCTTGGTTAAGTTTTTTGTACCACCTCACTTTATTTCAAAACCATTGGAGGTATTGCTTTGAAACTGACCATACTTGTTTACCATCACGACCTTCATCAACAGACAAGAGGACATAACTCTGTCAAGGTTTTTGACAGAATTATGCCCTTTTTGACTTAGAAAATACATTGAATATGGGTAAAATCCACTTATTGCCTTAACCCTTTGAGATATTGCTTTGAAACTTTTAATGCTATTTCACATCATTACCCCCATCTGTACGCAAGAGAAGGTAACTCTGTCAAGGATTTGTTTTTAAAAATTAAGGCCTTTTATCGACTTAGAATCTTGGTTAAGTTTTTTAGTACCAGTCCACTTTTTGACTGAACTGTTTGAGATATTAATTTTTTTTCTTTCTTACCAGCCCTCTTTTGACTTAAACATTTCAAACTTTGCTGCAGTGTTCAAGGGTATCACACAATTCAGTAAAATAATTCTTCACTAAATATCTTAATGCTCATGGCCATTGTTCACTTTAAAAATACAGAGATTCTTGTATTGCCTTTTACTGCAAAAACTTTTTTTATTGGCAAGCAATAAAAAAGTCGAGCGCGCTGTCTTACGGACAGCTCTTTTAACATAAAGAAATAAGACACACGTTTGAAAATGATTTTATTTTTGAACAGGAATGACAGAAGAAATAGAATTGAATGTATGAAGATTGTTAAATTTTTTTAACATGTATCTTGATTTGAAAAAAAACTTATGAAAAAGACAAATATGTGTGTGAAGTTCATGTTGTATACATAGATCAATTTCAGTTGACATCCAATGTTTGCTTTTTTGATAAACTTTCTTGAATTTCATTTATATTTCATAACATGTTGATTTGTCCATTGCCTGAATGGGAAAGTAAAACAAAAAAGATAATAATAAGTTAAGATAATAGAAAGTTAGTAAGGGATAATGAATTAACGTTGTTGTCGACGGACTGTAATTCTACACTTCGTAAACGCTTAGGACAAACGCCAACCAGAAAAGGTTGAACGTGTCATTCTGTCGCTTTTCACCTTACACCCAGAGCCCGATACATATCTGATGTAAACGTGGTCACCATGCTTGACATTAACCAAAGCAAACCCTGTCGATGGATGGATGCCACTTGCGTGTCCGGTGACGTCAGAATCGGTCATGATATTTCCCTTCACGACGCCATTCACTCTTAATTCCGACACAAACCAGGTTTTCTTCTCGGCGGCAACAGTCCAGGTGAAAGCGTAGAGTCCCGATTTAGGAACTATATACACACCGGTATGGACACTGTATCTGTTACCAAAATTGACCGGTGCCCTGTCAAATATGATAGTGTTGCCCGTGTGATAACATCGAGTAAGGCTTAGATAGGCGTGGAACGCTTTCTGACGGCCTGAATAAAAACAAATATTTATATTCTATATATTTTGACACTCATTACATGCCCATGATTCATATGCCACGAAATATTAGGGTGACCTAAAAAATGAGAAATTAGTTCAGAGTGGTCAAAAACAGTTTTTCACACAGGACGATAACCAGCACACCATTTCTCAAACATATACATATATGGCATACATTTTAGGTAATTACAGTTTGAATACATTGACTGACATCAATTTATGTTGACCCCACCCGCCAGAAATCACACCTGAAATATACTAAAATCGGTGCAAGATACTCCAGAATTCTCCCGATTCATTTAAAATTATCACTTACAAACAATGCAGTCAATGACATTTTCAAAAATGTCAAATTAACTGTTAGTCATGCGTTTAGACTTTTCACAAAATTCATCCAAAGTTCTTACATGTTTGGCCCCAACTGTCAATTTTGATTTTCAACTTCCATTCGGAGAATCATAAATACATCAAACGCTACCAAAATGCTTAGTTTCATAACAAAAAACCCAAAAATACCTATCATTTCCTACGCAAAAACAAGAAAGAAATACAATGACAGAGGAAACAAAACAGCTTGTCTGTGTTATTAATAAATTTGACCGGGCCATAGTTCGAATTTGTCACCTGCATCTTGCCATCAGTAGAAATGCAGACCAGCTTACCTTTGCCACTTATATAGCTTCACACAGAACACAGTTGGGGAAACGGTTTCCATACGGTTTACTCGGTTATACACGGGTTGACTGGTACGAGTATTGAGCTCCAATCGTGCTTGTGGAGTAGTTGGTACAAGTTAGACTCGAATGTAGCACGATTATGTACATGCACGAATAAAGCACGGATATACTCGGTCAAGCAAGGTTTGAATACGATTTGCATACTAATACATACGATTGTTGTACGGTTCCAAGTACGGTCTGGTACATTGACACGACTTTTACTCGATTTACTCGACGTCCACAGGATTTACATAGGGTCCCGTCGAGTCCATTGTTCGAGTTATGCTCGTATTATCGCACATTCGTGTTTGTTTTGATATAAATTGACCCATTTTGATGTCTTGGCTTAATGTCCCTTCTTGTATTCCTTCTGTGCGTGGGAACCTTTTTTAGATGCATTCTAGTGTGATGCATCAAGTATTCTGGGTAGATCTTGCAGTTGAGGGTGGCAGCAGATAGATGTGGTTTTCGTTGTACAATTCGTGCTGTCGAAGAGGCCGTGTCAGACTGTGAGAGACCTTGTGAGACCCGTACTATATCGTGTCTGCCATGTATGATTCGTACTTGAACCGTTTTGCATGGTCATATGACGATCGTTTGAAACCGTGTGTGCACTTGTGTGAATCATACCGTGATCGTGTAATAGGGTGTTGTATGTAGAACTTGTGTCGGCCTCGAACGATTCCATACGATTTATATACGACCTTGACACGGCTGGGCTCACTCGTTGAGTGAACTTCAAATACGGTTGTATAAACTGTCTCTTACGGTCTTGTTCGTTAGCTTATACGATCATTCACGGGCATGACATCCATGATAGTTTTTTTTAAAGTTAAAAACTTTTAAAAGTCATACTCGGCTTACACGGATACACTCGAATTGCCCGAGTGTAACTCGGATAACGTCACGATTGGTTCGGTTGTATGTACGGTTTACACGGATGGTCAACCGTATACGGCGTGTGTTCTGTGTGAGACGGGCTTTAGCCTTTGCAACCTTTATATATTCACATTCGTACAGTATGACCAGGTTTCAAACTTCGGCTTACATAAATAAATCTTGCCCAAAAATGGTGACGGGAAGTCCTAAAAATTGAAACATGGAAAGTTCTAAAACTTGAAGCCTGTAGAGTCCCAAAATTGAAGCCTTGAAAGTTCATCTATAGAGTTATGGGTTGAATAAACCACTATGTCAGAAGTATTTTCCCGTGAGTTGCATTGTTATGAAAAGAACTTTAGACTGAGTTATTTAAGGTATGATTTCTTCATACTCACAAAAACCAGTCTCCGGAATGGAGGCGTCCTGTGTTTCTCCTTCTCTTTGTGAAAATTCATCCTCCGGTATCTCATTGTCGACTTCTCCAGACAGACCGCCGGTTCCTGTAATCAAGCCCCTGAGAAACGACTCTGAACTCAGGTTCGCATTACTACTCTCTGGAAGTGACGCACCGAGCGTTCCTTGTAACAATAGTAACAAGCAGCAAACAATCTTCAACATTGTGATGTTATTTTATGTCCTGAAACAAAAAGATTAGACAAAATTTTATTTTTCTTAAAGTTGGTTGAGACGGCAATATGTTTTTTATAATGATTTTATGAACAGTTTTCATTTTTTTTTACATTTTATAACCGTTGTTCTAATTACTTGCGGAAGTCTGAAGTATAAACTACAGCAGTTGGGTTTCTTTTTAGTGTTAAAAACAAGTAGTGTCATGATAGACGTCATGTACATTTGTATATAGCACTGAAAACATATTTTTCTGGGTACGGTATGTTAACAAAGCAAGAACGTATCCCAATTCCCATTTTTCTGTTTCCAATTACATTGTAACATTAAATACATTGTAAATATGTACATTCCCTACTCGTCCTTTGGGGTTCTAAATTGTCTATTTGAGGGTTGGTGGGGCATTGATGCTTATTCTTGGCAAATGTAATAAAAAAAATGAAAAAAATAAATAAACAAGAAGTCCTACAGCCTACAGGTATTAAAAAGACAAAGTTTTCCAAATATGTGAGATCTTTCACGGATATTTTGTTAAAAGGAACATCTAAAAGCGAAATATTGAGAAAAAATATAGAAAAGCCAAACAGAAATAAAAGGAAAGATAAGCTTACCTTGTTTTTTGCTTTTGCTGTTACCAGATCAGGAGAAAATATGATTGAAAACGAATGCATACAGAACATTTATATACTAAAATATGGAGATTCCTCCAGGATCTCTTTCAAAAACAATGGGTTTGTTCACAATCGTCTTTACAAATAATACGGAACGTTTTCCTGTATTTTGTTCATGTAACAAGTGGATCACCTAACATCAATTAGCTGTTAACTTTCAACAATTATATTCAAATCATGGCCACTTTTTAACTGTTTCATTCTAATGTCGTGATAAAAACATTCATTGACCCATGCTTGTCACGTGAAAGTAATTAATTGTTTGATGACGTCATGGTGATCATAATTTTATTTGTTATATGAAACTAAAGTTACACTTAAAAACGTATTATGTTATTGTTTTTTCTTGTTCCAATTGTTAAAATGGACAAAGTCCTGATTATGTTTTAAATTATGCGAAACTGAAATTTCAATTTTAAGGCGACACTTCTTTTCCAAGGCCAAAAAATCAACTTTTACGTCTATTTCGGCTTTGCTTTTTCCTAGGGGCAAACATCGGAAACATTTAAAATAATTTTTCCATTGATAAGAGTTAATGTCGAGTCCTCTTGTGTTAGATTGACCTAGCTGACAAAATTGCAGTTAGGCTCGCCCATGTGGTCTCTTTCTGGTGCTGGTGGCAAGGGTAAACAAATTAAAACTAACACGCGGCACATTACGTTTAGTAACTTGTGCGTAAGAGGGCTATTCGGATTCACTTCACCATAGTTTGAGGGATTTTATGAAGTCAAACTCATTGAGATGATGTGTTGTGTGCATGAAAATTAATTGTAGCTTAAATGAAAGAAATGAGTCTGATGGACATTTGCTTGTCAAGGCGGTGTACAATTGTACATGCTTTTCACATAACATGTGTTAGCTCCCCTGGTCACATTTATTAGTCGTTAATTCTGGTTTTCGTACTATATACAATATTGCTCCAAGTTAGCAAGGGATTAAATTATTCTAAATATTAAATAACTGTCTATAATTTAATTTATTGTTATTCCAAAACTTTCAGCGGGACGGTTTACCGGAAACGAAGATAATAATAGAGAAAAAAAAATACATTTGTATCATTAAATTAGATAACCCGACGAGGTTAACGTGGTTTCTGTAGTCTGATAATGCAGAAATACATGTATAGACTGACTAACACAACACACTAATTTATTTTTCTGCCATATTGTTGGAACAGTTTTCGGACATTGACCTCGTAATGTCAAGAAGTAAATTATAATGAACATTGAAAAAAACCTATTGTCAGCAGCGTCTCTCTATTCCTTTACACCAAAGTAAAAACAAACACCAGTTTTATTTAATATTTTTGTATAATTACGCCAAACTGTATTAAGGTTTGGTTTTCGCGCCTTTTGGTTACCTTCTCCAAATCCTTTCAGAGGCGTGTACGTCGCGGAGAAGGCACACGGCAGGTTAAGGTCAAGTCATCTCAAGTACCAAAGATGAATGGTTGACCAGTCGTGACTAACTCTGGAGGGTGGTGCTAACAAGGGTCATTGTTGTTATCGTTTTTAGGAAAGCTGATGTCTTGGTAGAAGTGTCGTCACCTTCAACCACCAACGAGCGAAGGACAGGTTCCCGAAAGTTTTTGCATGAAAAGACGTCCCCGATAGGACTACAACAGTGGACCGGCAAGGATGCTATAATTTTGGACATATGGTTATTCCGGCGCCGAGTATAAACAAACTTTAACTACTTTTGATACAGTTTTTGTCAGACAAGTACGCAGACAGTTTTTTTTCATATTTGCCACTTCCTCCCGCCTTTGTTTTTTCTTTGTGTACTGATTTCTTGTTTAGATATTCTTATGTTAGGTACTTTATTGCATGTTTTAGGTGTATTTGTTTCATTTCGTTATTATTTTCGCTTATAAAGATAACTGTTACTGGTCATTATTTCAATTGTTTCAAAGTTTGCAATTTTGTGTCCGAAACATTAATTAAAGATTGTTAATTAATAAAGGGATTTTCATGAAGATTAGATAGCAATTGTCAAAGACAAATAACTGTTTTTGGTCCTGTTATTTCTAAAAAAGTTATTCAATAGTGCACGATAGTATAGGCCCTAGGGAACTTTTGTGTGTAAAAGAGGTCTATGGTAAATGTTTGATATCATTGGAGGTAGACATGTGGAATCGTGGTACGTGTACAAACAAGATGGCTACATTTTTAATGTCCTCTTAGTCATTTTATCTGATCTAATATTTGATTTTTTAACTAACTTAATCATAGGTGATAAATGTAAACACATCCGCTTTGAGCAATATGAAAATAAGTCTTCATATTTCCGAGATTGTAAGAAAAATTCTCCTAAATACTGCATGGAAAAAAACAGCAAAAATCATGGTATTTAGCTATATAATATTTACCTATTAGTTGAGGCATATTGACTAAGTAACAATGACAAAGGCGCATCTGAAAAAAACATCTTTTTTGTTTGATTAGTTACCGTTGTCTTGATTTCCGTGAGATTTCTGGGTTTAATGAATATTGCAAGTATAGCGCGAGAGATTTGATTAGTAAGTTATTCAGCAAAGATTTACCGGCCACTGAAAATAATGCTTTCAAATTGGTGTAAAATCAGGTAAACAAGCAAAAATGCATTGTCAAATCTCCTATTTATGCAATTTTTCTATTTGGAATTTTCCTCAAAAAGTCCGCTTCAAACTTGAAATTCTGAGAGATGGTGAATAGGACAATTGACCTCACAACTATTACTATTCCTGTTCAAAAAAAGCATTATTTCCAAAGATATTACCGAATTTACATTTCATGTTAATAAAGAGAGGTAATTAGAATTTAATTTTCGATAAAGTCTAAGCCAAATTTTTCAATAAGAAATGAATGCATAGGTTTTAATTATTACTTATAATGCTTATTATGCGAATAAACGTTTGCAGTACATAATTATATATACACATATAAGATTTCACTTAAATGTCGTTACATTCTTAATTACAACATACAGGATCTTGAAGTTTAAACGGAAAAAACACTACCAAACGGAAGGCAAACCATGCATCAAGGATATTTTAAGTAGACCGTTGTGATTTCTGGTTATTTATCAGAAAACAGCCGATGGACTTAATTGTATATCATTCAGGTGAATTACCCATTTCCGTGAATTGTTATATCATTTATATAGATAACAATTGAAGGTCATAAATTTCTTGACTAAACAGGGTTATATTATTCACTTAATAACACATTGTAAGGCAATTAGTACTGTTATTACTCAAGGTCGTTTTCGACAGTTTTGTCTTTCGAATTGCAGAATCATAATAATGAAAACTTGAAATATTAACTGGGTTCATGCAACAGTTTATACAGATAGCCTGTAAAGCGTTCCTAGTTGGTTTTTTTGTGTGTGTTTTTTTTTTTTGCTTTGTGTGTATGTTTTTACTTGTTGTGTGTTTATATGTGTGTGTGTGTGTGTGTGTGTGTGTGGGAGTAGGTTGTAGAGCTCGTTGATTTTCCTTCTACTACAGTTGTTATTTAATCTGGCAAAAGTGAAGTCCATCATTTGCCTGTTAAGTATCTATTATAAAATGCTGTTACTTTCTCACTGAATATGTGAACATATTTTAAGTGTTTAAATATTACTTTTTTATCATACAAGTGTTTTGAACGATTTCTACTACTGCTACTACTAATAATGTTTCTGCAGTAATTGCCACTGCTACTGCTAATGTTTCTGCAGTAATTGCCACTGCTACAACTACACTGCTACTTTTTGAATAGGGAGAAATAAATGAAAATATCAATTAAAATATAATAGTTTATTCACAAAGAACAATGATATGATTAATATTTTCGAGTGCATTGTCGGTGATTTAGATATCAACATGTTCATAAACCCTTAAGACTAAGTTTAACTTTCATTCGCTTGGAATTTTTAGTTTATCTAGAACATTTAATGATTTTCAATATCAAAACCTTTGCTTAAACTTTTAATGCAAATTTTGAAACATTTAATGTTAAGATGAAGATGTTTTAGCTACGATATATTAAGGCACACTTCATATTGGTATGATATAAGGTACATGACGTTTATTTACGCTTTAATGGACAGTAAAAATATTAATATTCGACTGTCAAGGAGAGCAGAAATATAGTAGTCGTTTAATAAATTCAGTATTGAACCTACACTCATTCAGTATCCTTTATTAGTTTCTACAGGGTCTTTCAAGTAGATTGATAGACGCTGGTTTCCATTTCCAATTTTTGCATAGCTCAATACATTCGCCATCCTGAAAATGTCGCGCGCGTTCTAGAGTCGCTTTTTAAGGTGCATCCACTTCCCGAGACGAACCTTATGTACACATGTTGGTTACATGTTACCCGAGTTATAACAAAACCAGTTGCAGGATGAATACCGGAGGCCCGTCCACCAACATCCGAATCAGCCATTACAGTTCCTCTGAGGGCACCGTTGACCCTCAATTCCGCCGAGAACCATGACTTGTGTTCCGCAGCAACTGTCCACGTGAAAACGTAATATCCTGTGTATAGCACAGTGAAGATCCCAGTGTGAACATTATACCTGTTATATGTGTTCACTAGCACTTGGTTGAATTGGATGTTGGCGCCTGTATGGTAACACCTTGAACTGCTCAAATAAACATGAAATGCTGTGCTACTGGCTGTAGAGAAAGATATTTGAAAATAAGATATGTAGCATATTCACATCTGAGGAAACACACGGAAATAGTAAGAAACATGTCATTGCTTACTGGATTTTTAAAAACGCAATTTGAGACTACCTTGCATATTACTTTAACGCCTTTTCCGATCATATTAATGTTAAGAAATAGAAAGTCATAAGCTTGTAATTATACATAAAGTCGCGGCTCAGGTATCAAGAAAGATTCTTGCATATCAGACTATAAGAACCGGTACAGACCGGAATATCTAGCTCGAGGGTAACTGTTTACGGCGGTAACGAGGATCTGTCGAGTTTCAGTTCCCCGAGAGCTAGATATTCCCGTCTGTACCGACAGTCGTTTTTTGATTCTTTTTCTTGTATATTACATGTCAATAATTTTCGGAACAGAAATTATAAAAACTGATATTTTCATTACGCCTCGTTGCAGCCGTGAACACTTACCCCCAGTCTCTACCAACTGAAGATTCTTATATGACGTCATAACTTTGTTAATAATAATTTTAATATATATGGCCAACAAGCACATTAGCCGCGGTGGTATAGTGGTTAGCATACTAGACCGGGAATTCAGAAGCCCGTGGTACAATTCACTGCTGCATGCCGATTTTTCGCTAGTTTTGTCTGTAGATTACATGTTTATGTAACTATTTTAGCGGTTGAAGAAGGATAATACATGTTATTTAAATAAAGGAAGAATGACTTTTTCTTAATATAATTTAATCTACGAAAACTTTAACCGATTAATTGTTAACAAGGTATACGTAGCAATGATTGTAAGGGCTATACAAATAAATACAAACCATAACATCCAAGGGCACCCATGCCAGGTGGAACACCTTCCACTTCCGTTTCATCGTCTTGCACTTCCGTTTCGTCATGCGTGAGTGGATTTTCAGCTTCATTACTTCCGTCCACTGCATTGCGATCTTTGACTTCTACAATCATATTCTTCAAGAAAGCTTGTAGGCTCTGATTGTTGTTAGTTGAGAGTGAAGCAGAAAGTACTGATGGCAACACAACGAACAAGAAACAAAACGAGAATTTCCTCATCTTGAATTGTATGTTACAAGTCTTCAACCTAAAACAAAACTAATCAAGGGAAATTTATATTAGATGAAAACAATATTTTGACTATGAGATATGGAAAAAAGGCGAAACTCGTTTCTTTTTGCGACAAAAATTATAATGTTTTTAATTTCGGATAGAAAAGAAGAAGAAAACACTACTACCATAAAAACTATAACTATGATAGCCATATACTAGTTTTAAAGTACATTGTACATAATTAATATTTAGAGGTAAATACTTGGTTGCTGCTCGGCATTATGCGATAATGGCCCGAAGAGTCCATAATGTCCTTCGGACCTGCGGCCCTCAGGACATTATATATGCACATCTTCGGGACATTATCGCATAATGCCGAGCAGCAACCAAGTATTAACGTCTTTAATACCTATGTCCGAAATACGGCATTTAGACATCGCCGCTAATCTTGGATTTAACTCAATAGGGGGCAGGGGACCTAAAAATGAAAAATTTTGTATTTCAGTGTGACCAGAAACACAATTTCCAAAATATTCCCAAAATCTGTTTCACAGGCCAGATAACCAGTTGCAACAGCATTATTCCAAATGAATAATATACATTACATTGAAGAAAATAATTTAGTTTGAGCAAATTGCTCCTTCAAAAATGACTTGACATGGCAATTTATTCTTTACCCCCACCCCAGCCAAAATACACCTAAAATAACCAATATGGGAAATCTTCCTTGAAGGTGCAGCATAACTCCAAGAAATCCCCCGATTTCCTTTTAAAATATAGTTTAACACCGGCAGTTGCAAGCTATGGATTTTCAAGAAATACAAATAAAGTGTCTGTCATACGTTTAGAATTTTTTACAAAAAATTTATTGAAATTTCTTACTTTTTTGGCGCCAACCTGTCAAACTTGATTTTTAACTTTTTTTTCACCTCCATTTCGGAGAGTCAAGAAATACATACAAAGCTACCAAAATGCTTAGTTTCGGGTAAAAAGCCAAAAATATATCTCATTTCCTACACACAAACAAGAAAGAATTACAATGACAGAGAAATATCAGAAGTTATCAGTACCTTCAAAACACCATGTTTGAGTTATTAAAAAATTTGACCGGGGCCATCATTCGAATATGTCCCCTGCCCCCATACAGGATTGAAGCAGTACCTTTAGACGCTTGCAGAAATCATGATCACAAAATAGACAAATATCGTTTTTTTCGCCGATTTTTACATTTTTCATTCATTATCATACATAAATCCTTGTAAAAAGATGAATTAGACATTTTAAAGTTCATTCCGTTGGGTAAAAAGGCAATATTTTAGCATTTTATTATTCAAGCGCCTTGTCCGAACTTGAAAATATACCAGACAAATCTCACTATACCGACCATCTTAATAAAGATATGGAAACCAAGATGAATCAACAAGTAAGGGTTCACTGGACGCTTCTTTGCATCCCGTTACATTCCGTTGAGGTACGGGACACATTCACTATCTTCATCTTTCATATTATAGTATTGTTTCAAAAAAGTTATGTAATGTGTCGTGTGAACCACGGAAATAGCTAGTCAAACTGTACTTCGGTACTTTGATTTTATTAGCATTCATTTTTTATCGATTAAATGTGATATAGATTCAACTTTCAATGAGAAACTGTTTTCACAAGCTGTTTGAGCCACAACAGCACGAATTTTAACAACATTCCGCAGATGCCTTACATACAACGATAAACCTAAAACAGACACAAAGTTAGCCATTGGCTTATAAATATGTATCTTATGAAGACTTACAATAAAAAGAAAAACTCACAATACTTTCAAGATTATGAATGTTGTCTTCTGCTCGATGATTGCCGTAAATTGCAGCTGAAAATCGCCACATATTTATATACGATTTTGTTTGGCACGTAGGAGAAATCCTACTTATCAAACTGCAACAATGACAGGAAAAATATCATTTCGTACGGCTTATCAGCTCTTGCAAGTTTGCATTTCAATTGCACTTTATTGTCATACAGAAAAACAATTAAATAATACAATTGAACGGACACAAATGTTCTCTTGCGATAATGGGTCGTGATCATCAAATTCCCACTGATTAAACACTTTTCAAGTACTTGTATCATTTGATCATAAAGTCAAGTTGATTTATAGTATTCAGTGATTGATTTGTTGGTAAATATGTTTATCTACAGACGTCACAAGACAATTAACAAAGACATCTACTCGAGACAATTGATAACAATTTATATACCTTGTTGTCTGTGGATACATAATTTACTCCATTCCAAGGACACAACTGTCATGTTTAACGTATCTATAAAGCAGCACGTTTTAGAAGTCTCTCGTAAACCTCAGACTTCCTAGCTAGTAAGAGAGGCAATCGGACCACCTCTACAGTTATTCATAATCATCTCGGTTATGCCGTGCTCCTTACCCGAAGATTAGCGGAAATGGCCGAAAAGTTGCGATTGTTGGAGTAGCTGGGGATCGAACTCAGGATCCTTGCATATGTAGTCCAATAGTGTTACCACAAACAAAGTTCTACGTCCGCTGAATTCAGTTAGTCAATATTATTCAAACAATTTTTTTCGGTCGTAGATATTTACTAAAGTCGCAATGACTTCCGGTAAATTTACGGAGTGTTCGCCATGATTTGCCTGATAATTGCCGGACATAATATCCAAAAATATGATAGTTAATAACGATATTTTTCAGATGATGCCGTTGACTGTGTTGTCATAACTTAGAAACCTTCCAGAAACCAAATATAATAGGAGTCGGCATACGCAGTGCAAGTTACTCTATAAACAAGCCCAGCAACAGTTTAACACTGTATACTTAGGCCGACTATCTGATTTAAATATACTTCTAGGAAGGGAGAAAACAGTTGATCTCATAAGTTACTATTTTCATACAGAGTTAAAGGGAAATTAACTATCAATAAGTACATTTTTTAACTTAATTTATTACAAAAAATATTGAAATTCGACCTCAGGGGAAGTAAATTTGTCCATTTTATTTGACGCTGCCAAAAAGGCGGCCTTGACTATTGACAATTTACGGGATACTGTGAATAGTTTCGATGGTTTATCGAATATAACTTAGTCGTGTTGCACATATGTTGTTAAAATATCCTAATCCTTTCCTATAAACAAATCAAATGAAAAATGCTAAACAGTAACAGTTTGAATGTAAACAAAGCACGATGAAGAGGTTAATGAATAAACACAAAATAAATAGTGCCGAACTCAATATTAAACATTTCATGTGATTTACCGTGTGCGATAGAATGTCTGGTATTTTTAAAAAGTTTTAAGTTTTTATTTATTTTGCTTTGAGCTATATACGTGGTGGGAGTTATATATACGGTGGGGGTGGGGTGCGTCCGTGGCCGAGTGGTTAAGGTCGTTGACTTCAAACCACTTGACCTTAACCGCTAAGGGTCCGAAACCCGACAGGGACTTTTGGTTCTTTCATGTGAGGAAACTATCCAGCTAAATTACGGAATGTCGGTGGTTCTACTCGGGTGCCTGAAATAGTACACGGAAGGGCACCTGATATATGATGTATTTCTCCACTAGTAAAGCTGGAACGTCGCCTTGACCTATACTGTGTCGGTGTGACGTAAAAACCCAATCAAACAAATATCCGCTGGGACATATATATTCAGTGGGCGTAATGTAGTGCGTTATAATACAATAATAATTTGAATTTAAACAGTTAAATTTTAACTTTTTTTCTTAATATAAGATACATGTATAACCACAGGTCTGTAAGGAATCAGGTATAGAAACTTTATATGCAAGAGCCGGTTGAACCGGGTGATGCTCCCCGAATAGGCTTTGGACACAGAAAAGTATACCTCTTGTAGTTTCAAAGTTTAAAGCTTAATTATTAGGCAAACTTAGGCTATGAAGATTAATGGATCTTTTACACTACCCTTCGGTGAGCATAAAAACTGACAACTGAATTTGTATAAAAATAAAAAACAGTATAAGATCAGACATTTCAAGCCCCCGTCCAAAAGTCATCTGCAACAATTACGTCACGTACAGCACGAGACTGTAAGCAGATTGCAACAGCATACAGAATTTTTACAAGACGTCTATCCAAGGCGTTCAAATGTCCTTCAACTAGAACAGGTGCTACTGGGTCACTTTCTAAAAAGCTTTTCTCATTAGTGAACTGAGTTTCTCATCTCCTAAATATAATTTAATATACTTCAGCAAAGTTGATTTTCGAATAAGACAGCATTGCCTCAGCGGTGCCAAAATAGACAAGGCGTCGTAAGTTTGTCGTCCAAATCTGAAAATGATATAATGGTTATTGAATGAGTTCATTATGAAATTATTGAACGCGTTGAATTATGCGAGCCTCTGGCGATCTTTTTTTGATATTTTATTCAACGAGTTCAATACAATTATTAATTAAGTTAGACGAATATAATATTATTTTTATCACATATCTAAAATAAGAAATATTAACAGTAAATAGTGTTACGCTAACATTTCAGTTTAACGAAAATGACGCCACGTTAAAATATATGCACGGTCGTGCCGTTTTTACGGAGTCGCAAAAGCGGCACGGATATGTGATGAAAAGATTAATGTACGACGTCATATCCAATTCTAGAATGCCTTAACTTAAAACAACACATTAAATGTTTTGATCACTTAAAGAATTTGAAACAGATTTTACACAAGGCCATATTTACATTTCAGTGAAAAAGTCTTGTTTAAGTAACAAGTAAACAGACTTTATTCAAACCCCGTGCCCCATAAAGATTTAAGGATCAGGGTCAAGATATGGATCAAAATTTATGTTTCGGGATTTCTCCATTTCTATTTCTCATAGATAAAATGTTCAATATTAATTTAAAAGTAGAATTAGAATGGCATAAATTAACGAAATTTTAGAACGTAAAAATACAAAAAAAAACAACTCATAGTTACTGTTAAATTTAAATGCACATTTAAACGTTTGTTCCACGTAAAAGTAATCCTTGTTTTGTTCCATTTCTTTATTCATTCCTTTTTGTTTCATTACAGACTCCACTGAGGGTTTTTGCATGGCGATATTGGAAATACCTTTTCATTTATATTCTTTTTGATATAGGTGTAGGTGCAAAATTCACATCAACTTTGATTTTTCCGGAATAATTATTTTTATTGTGGAAAATAACCCAAATCGGGCTAAAAGCACAAAAATATGATTTTCGAATTATTTTTTGAGTATATTTCTTGATTATGTTTTCCAAATCTGTCTATATTAACTATATTAACTATACCCACAGTTGATCTATTTACGAAACTCAAAGTTCACATTTTAGACTATTGGACTTCAGTGGAGTTCATTTATATACAATCAAGGAAAATAAAATCAGGATCATTTGATCCTGCCTGGGTGAGTGAAGGTGTCTTAATTACGTGTGCTCCCAATCAAAATGGTCATAAGTTAAAAACAAAATACATACCCTCTACCGTTATCATACAATATTGGAAATGAATAATTTCCGAACTGCTTGAATGTTGCGATGTTATGTCGATCTTTATTGCCTGTTTGAGTGACAAAACAAAAATATATTAGTTAGTTTGAAGAGAAAAATGGAATCCATAAAGAACGTCAAAACCGACAAAATTGAAAATGTTGCAGGCTCGGTTTGATTGAGCCTGTTCATGGGTGTTACTGGACAGAGTAGATTACGGACAGCTCTAAGCTTCACACTATCGCGCAATGTGTTGCCTGCCATGTATTGTGGGTCCAAATGAACCAACGGTTTTAAAGATTATGCACACATCCAACGTTTTACATGCAACACAAAATGGCAATAAATACTCTAAAATATTTATAAAATTCATAAAGAACACTCTAATCGTGGTCGTTTAGCTACACAGGTTACCTTTTTATATCACGGGTACTAGTAATTTCATTAGGCACTGGTACCCTCTTAAAAAGTACTTGTATTGCACGACATGCTGTCAACAAATAATATTACTAATTTAGACACATTCATACTGGGTACATTGACGCCTAGAACAAAGTAAGACGTCATAGTAGTAACAGAGATGCAGATAACATCAGATGTTATCGTAACTTTAATGTTCATAATGTTTAGTAATAGCTTGAATCACGCTATCATATTAATATAAAGTCTTCAAAATTATAACCTGTCAAAAAGTCGAATGTATGTACGTCAATTATGTCTTGTAGAATCTTCCCGTTGTTGAAAGGACTCCTTTTCCGCACCGAAATACACAAATCGTCATTGGTTTCCCAGTATGCTTTTCGGCGGAGACTAAAAGAACAAACTTCAAGGTGACGAAAAATAATCTTAAAGGTGGGGTAGTCGTAACGATGGTGACTAATTCAGGCATTGGATATGCTACGCTTTTTAGAATAAAAAAATAAAAGGAAATACATAAAGTCCTGTTTTTGGAAGTACTCGGTTGGGAAATTGTTATTTAATGAGCTAAAATAGTTTTGCTTATCTACTATGAAATGTTAGGAATGATTGTGGTACAGTAAATTTTAAATTTAACAATAAAAAAAACCACGTGTGTACAAAATCAGGCTGCTACCCGATTCTGATGAATTGTTCTAAAATCAAGGCAAAACTATTTGTCAGTGTTTTCAATTATACGCCATGACTTATCACCTTTCACTGCCAGAAATCTATATAGCGAAAATAAGAATATTTCTATATTCTAAATGGATGAATTAAAACTTCAGTAAAATTATTGTTTATGCTTTCTCATAGAATTACCTGTACGCTCTCTTCCAAGGCTGTTGCCAAGATTTTCTGCGCGCTATTTTTTCAGAGGGCAGGAAGCTCTGTATGGAAACTTCAATCATGTCCGGATGTCCACAGAACGCATACGCATGATTACAAAATTGTCGGCATTTTCCATAAAAACAAATATTTCCAGCTAATAAAGACATAAATAAGTTAAACTATATGTCAATCTGCTTAATATATTCAATATCTTGAGCCTTTAAATGCTCTTTCGGGTTTTTTTTTTCATTTTTTGATTGTTTGTTTGTTTGTTTTTGACTAGTTCATTATACTTTATTTACAAATATTTCTTTTATTTGTCAGATTTCAATACAGTGCATGCATTTCATTAAATAATACGCATTTGTTTACATTTTGCTACTTTTATGACAAATAATTTCACATTCAGCGCCGCTTTCTTCATGTGTTAACCATCTTTCATGCTCTAAAATCGTATTTAAACCTTATAAAATTCATGTTTACCCTCAGTAAAAATCTTCATTTTGCTACTTTTATGACAAATAATTTCACATTCAGTGCCATTGTCTTCAATTGTTAAACATCTATTTTGCTCTTAAACCGTTATTTAAACGTTAAAAATTTCATGTTAAGTTTTTATTTGTTTGTTTCATTTTACGCCTTTTCCCAACAGTATTTCAGTCATATAGGTGGGTAGTTTCCTTACCATCGATCCTGGAGAGTTACACCAGTACTAGACAACCTTCCTCCGTGCTAAACTCATGTTAAGTTAAGTAGGGAAAATATGTTCGTCTCTGAAACACAGAGTGCCTTGAATATTATTTCTAAGCTAACTGTTTTTTTACTTGACATATACACTAACCTGGTGAGTAGTAGATCGTCTTATTTAATGACTTTGGTGAAATTGGCTTCAGTTCACTGGTTATATTTACCTTTCTTCCTATCGTTGGTGGAACTCGCTGAAAACCTAGTAGTCTGAAATTATACGAATACATGTCTGCATGACTTGTTGGGAGGCCAAAATTGTTGAAATAATTAACACAATGTTGACATGATTACGATAAATGTATGGCCTGCAAAAAATGGAAAAATATAACATATGCGTGTATTTAACAAACATTTTAAAATCATACGTTCGTAATGAACTGACAAATAATCATATCACCTATTGTTCTAGTAGATTGTTCCTACCATTTGTCAAGATCAATCAAGAAAGCAAGAACAAGAAGCGATAAGTCAGGTATGTTAAGTGTATGATGGAAGCTGGCTTGAAACAACTACTAGACTTGTTTGTACTTTCCCATTGAAGAAGGATGCACTTTCCCGTGGGAGTGGGATATACTTTCCCAAACATTTTCACTTTAATAGTGAATATTATAGTACTGCACGCTTGTAACGTCGTTTTTTTCTCTCTGGACAATCGTGACATTTATATAGTTTATTAAAACGTTTTCTCTAACAGAAAGTCTGCCGTATTATGAATCCGTTATAAATAGTCCTGGCATATTAAATGGCCAAATATAAACGGTTGTGTGCAATATAACCATTGTCTAGCGTCTCGGGTTATATTTTCAAACTATCATGTATATAGGGCCATATAACCTGTCACAAATCTTTATAACTAATAAATAAAATAAAATTTAACAGCTTACTTGTCAAGCTGGAAAGCCGCTATTTCGGCTATATGTCTTTCCATGTCGTCAAAAATATAGTGATTTTCACTCGTTTCAACTTCTCTACGATACCTGTAATCCAAGAGTTTTTTTAATTATGAAAATATATGTAGAGTATGTTTGTTTGAATGTGCAAGTGTATAATTATGTAAGAAAAATGCAGACCTCTAATAAATATTTACTTGTAACCTGGGTTCAAATATTTCAATATGATTTGTTTTGTTCTTATCAAAATAAAAATTTTCAAACAGCAAAATTTTGCTGAAATTATGTATCTCTATCCCACTCTCCATAATTTAATTTAAGCCTTTAGACATTATGATACAATTTAAATTACTAAAAGAAAGTAAATGTTAGGAAATTGTTCTAAACTAGGTATGAAAATATTGAAGAAGTGGCAGAAATAAATATTTAAATTTACCATCACATTTGTGATTTGGCTATATCTTGTCACTGCACAATATAGCAATTATCTTTTGCGACCTACAGGACAGTTATTTATGCAGGACTCAGACAGTAATTATAAATGTTCAACTAAACAAGAATGTTTGTTAACAAAACTATTTTATATCGATTTACTAGTTCTTTGGAGTTTTCTATAGAAAATCCATGTGTATCATTCTATAAATTTCGGAATTGCCATTCAGACATCTAGATTTCATGTAGAAAAAGATTAAAATAAACAATAAAAATCCTACTTTTATTCAGTTCTTCCCTGTGAATTTCACACAAAGAAAAGATAAAAATATACTACTAAACTAAAATTGCATTCGACTTAAGCAAGTTTGAATGCAAATATCGCATGATTTATATACGGGTTGCAAGTGAACCAATCGAAATCTCTTGCACCGTACTCCAAATTTAATTATAGACCTTTTAAGTATTCATGTGAAGTATACAGATGTCAAAAAAATGGCTCGCATAGTTTATATTGTCACTTTCTTTATAGATCTTAGGTTAATATAAATAAAAATTCATAAACACAAACTTGTTAAAAAAAACAAACAACAACATGTACTGTCCTACCTCATAGGCTTTGCCAATCCTGTCGCACCATTCTCAAAATGAAAAACCATTTTAAATTGTGTTCCATCCTTCCAGTCGTCCGAAGTTTCTAATAAAAAATGAAAACAATACTTTTTAGCCAGTAAAATGTTGCCTCTTTACAGTTCTTTACGTTCAAATTTTCCCACAACCTTAACGTATTAAACCGGATTATTCATCTTACATTTTGATCTATCTATATATTATAATTCAGATTGCACTTCTTCTTATTTTAGAATTATATGTCGTTCTGTCGAAAATATACGGAATGAAAGTCGAGAATATACGGAATAAAAGTCGAGAATATACGGAATGAAAGTCGTGAATATAAGGAATGAAAGTCGAGAATATACGGAATGAAAGTCCTTTACTTTCAATACGCGATGTTAACCTTGCGAGAACAATAACAAGGCCAAAATTTTAAATAGTGCAATTGCCTTTTTATTGACTTAAAAATTCATTATCTATTTCCTAGTCGGCTTTCTCTGCCAAATGGTTCTAGCTTGTATCATTTTCAACACGATCAATATCAAGTATTATATATACCGGTATGTAAGCGTTTTATAATCTTTTAAAAAGCTTTAAACCTGGGGCTGTACCACATCGTAATACAGTACAAGGGTCGTCTAACGGATGTAGACCATGAACAAGCTTTAATAAAGTATTGTGTAAAGTAAAATGTTGTTCGTTTTGAAATAAAAGCACGCTGTGGTATAAGAAGTAACAGTCTGTCGTTACGTCAAAAATCGCCGTTTCAAGATATCGACCGCAAATGTTTATGAAACACAAGTTACATCATAAGATTTCTCCAAATTATTGTTGTATTATTGTATCTGGATATTTCTGTAATGAGTAGCAGATACGACATGATCAACACACCAGATCAATAGCTGAACAATGTCTAAAGCATAAAAATCACGCTGCATTTGATGTCTTATAGGGTAAATGAACAGCTGTGAGGAGAGTATCAATAGTTATTACTGTTAGTATCATAAATAAGTTCTCGAGATAGTGTAAGTGTGTCAGTTTTTTTATGCATGCAACTTAAAAAATTTCCAGCATTTATCTTGTTTTAGCGTTTTAAGATTTCAACGTAAATCAGGTTTACAGGGCAATGTAACAGTATATCCGTATAGTGAAATTTAAGTTAGTCATGTTGTCAAAAATGTCACTGTCATTTAATGATTGTACATCCGAGACTTCACTCTCAACACTGAAAGCACAGATTTTACAATGAAGTTCATTACATACTTGGGCATTGCGCTTGCTATGTCGGAGGGAATGTAAGAATTGTCCGAAAAATGCTTATGTCAGCATTGCATATATTTACTATTGTATTGAGATACGCGTCCTTACCTTTTTAATAAAAGAGAACTTTACATAAAAGTGAATACAAAGCACGATACGGTAGCTCGTTCCCTACAGGAATATTTTACATATCACTCTCGAGATATAAAACGTTTACCATGTAAATTAACTGTGGGATATTTTTGTAGGCTTTTTCAATGTTTCTCATTAAAAAAAAAGTATGACGACTGTATTACCCATTGATTTGATTGGAAGCTTTGAAAGTTCATCAAGCACGATGTTAAGATTCGGGTCATCTGGATCATAAAGAGAAAATTGTCGAATATTCATGTGCAGTTGTTTCCAGGCTGGTAAATTTTCTTTACTGTAAAAAAAAGATGAAATTTGATTTATATAGACATGTATGAGTATTAAGACATTGGTATACTTTCTTTGATTGACAAATCACATTCAGTATATAGACCGAATAACAGTGGTAGAACTCTTTTAAGTGGTACACAAATGGAGTGAGTGATCTAATTTAGTGATATATCACTTCGACTGATTGTTCAAATCATACAGTGATATAGATGTATCTCTATCAGTGATATACCTCAATAAGTGAAGGCTTTCTCAATGAGTGACACACCGCTTTCAGTAATTTACCTCATCCAATGATATATACTTTATTCAGTGATATACTTTATTGAGTGATATACTTTATTGAGTGATATACTTTATTGAGTGATATACTTTATTCAGTGACAGACTTTATTCAGTGATATACTTTATTCAGTGATATACTTTATTGAGTGATATACTTTACTCAGTGATATACTTGTTCAGTGATATACTTTATTCAGTGATATACTTTTATTCAGTGATATACTTTTATTCAGTGATATACTTTTATTCAGTGATATTTTATTCAGTGATATACTTTATTCAGTGATAGACTTTATTCAGTGATATACTTTATTCAGTGATATACTTTTATTCAGTGATATACTTTTATTCAGTGATATTTTATTCAGTGATATACTTTATTCAGTGATATTTTATTCAGTGATATACTTTATTCAGTGATATACTTTTTTTCAGTGATATACTTTATTCAGTGATATACTTGTTCATTCAGTGATATACTTGTTCATTCAGTGATATACTTGTTCAGTCAGTGATATACTTTATTCAGTGATATACTTAAATTCAGTTATAGACTTTATTCAGTGATATACTTTTATTCAGTGATTATTTCAGTGAAACATTTTATTCAAAGAAAGACATATTCCCCGCATTAGACCTTCTTTAGGGATTCTGTTTTTACTGTATTTCAGGATGTAGCTACAATGCGACCCCACTATTGTCAAAGTTACTGTGTTGAGGTTACCAAGCAACACGAACGCACAACGAAATCGAAGTGTGAAGTTAATTGTGTAGACGATAAGACCCTTTTGTTTAATCACAGTGTGAAGTTTAGTAGATGACGCGAACATGGAAACTCATATTCGGGTAGCTATAAACGTGACATGTATGAAGGTTGCAACAACGAATGACGATGGACCAAACAAAAAATATGATGGTATTGACAATGATTTCAGAAATAGTTAACTGATAAAGTGCAGCCTCGCCTCTTTCTAGGCCATATCAGACTCGCCTGATAAAATTGATATCAAAAGATAGTAGCATGTTATTCTCAAATTTGATTATACCCCAACTTCGAAAACAAAAACAACATAATAAAACAACTTTAAAAATTTGAAGCAATCAATTGATGAATAGGTGTTTAATTGTTTTTGATGATTTATTTCTTTTAGTTTTTTATAGTTAATATCTCTTTTTTATTATTATGGCTGTTATGATGATGTTGATGATGATGATGATGATTATGATTATTATTATTATTATTATTATTATTATTCAAATAATCATTATTATTATTATCATTATTATTATTATTATTATTATTATTATTATTAGATCTATTATTATTAGATCTATTGTTGTTGTTATTATTATTATTATTCTACACATTTTTAATTGATCACGTGCGTGTAAACACTACAGTAGAGAAACTATAACTCAACATGTAACCGATGCTTTTAAAGGTACTGATTCAGATTTCCTTAATACAAGTAACCAGGTAAGTAATCATGCAGGTAAGTAATCATGCAGGTAATTAATCATGCAGGCAAGAACTTGTTTGATCACATATAGCTAAAGCACACATCTAATTAGAAATATCACCAATTATAATCGATATGACGCAAATACATGTCTAATTAGTCGTGGGTGTCATTTTCTTCGATGTAACATATTTTCTTCGATGTAACATATTGTGCGTTGACTTTATAATATAAAAATTTTCTGTTTGCGCATAAAAATCATATTAGAACAACTTCTCACACTATGATGTTAAACTTAGTCTGTATCTGAATAAGTCAATGTATGATGGGTTTTGAAAAAATATTCAGATGAAAATTGTCATTCTATTTCTTAGTTTAAATTAATGATATTAAAGGAACTCCACTGAGGTCTAAAAATCCTAAAACCATAATTTTTTATGTTGTTTTTTTTAATAGATCAGCTGGTGAACAGAACGTTGTGCAAATCATAGTTAAGAAATATACGCAGAAATAATTTGAAAATCGTAAGTTTTTGTGCTACTTCTAGGCTGAATTAGGTGAAAAGCGTCGCAAAGTTTTCCAATTTTGGACTATTTTTTTACAATAAGAATATGATTCTCGAAAAACTGAGTGAGCAAATAATCTGAAATTTTGCACACATGTTAATGGTCTAGACCTACATGAAATGGTGCATTAATCTAAAAAAATATAGTATCGTTATGGCAAACACTTTAGTTGAGTGCCTTTAAAAATTGAGTAGGGTTAATTAATGTTGTACATGTATCTCCAATACAGAAATTTTTATTATCCCCCGCCGAAAAGGCGGCGGGGGATATAGAAATAGTCTCTGTCCGTCCGTCCGTCCGACCTTCCGTCCGTCCGTCCTTCCGTCCGACATTTTTGTCCGGAGCATATCTCTAAAAGTATTTGAGTTATCAACTTGAAACTTCATAGGTGGATAGACCTCATTGAGGAGGAGTGCAGTGCACAAGAATGATAACTCTACCCTGCATAATTTTTGAGTTATTGCCCTTTGTTATTTTTCAAAATTGATTTTTGTCCAGAGCATAACTCCAAAAGCCTATGAGATATCAACATGAAACTTCATAGATGCATAGATCTCACTCAGGAGATGTGCAGTGCACAAGAATGATAACTCTACCTTTCATAATTTTTGAGTTATTGCCCTTAGTTATTTTTCATACTTAATTTTTCACCTGAGTGGAGCATAACTCAAAAGTGTTTGAGTTGTCAACATGAAATGTCATATTTGGATAGATTTTATTGAGGAGGAATGCTGTGCACAAGAATGATAACTCTTCCCTGTACAATTTTTGAGTTATTGCCCTTTGTTCTTTTTCATACTATTTTGTCCGGAGCTTATCTCAAAAAGTATTTGAGGTATCAACTTGAAACTTCATAGGTGGATGGATCTTATTGAGGAAGAGTGCAGTGCACAAGAATGATAACTCTACCCTGTATAATTGTTTAGTTATTGTCCTTTTTTATTTTTCAAAATTAATTTTTGTCCAGAGTATAACTCAAAAGGCCTTTGAGATATCATTATGAAACTTCATAGGTGCATATATTTAACTCATGAGGTGTGCAGTGCACAAGAATGATAACTCTACCTTTTATAATTTTTGAGCTATTGCCCTTTGTTATTTTTCATACTTAATTTTTCAATTCAATTTTTTTCTCAAAAAGTATTTGAGGTATCAACTTGAAACTTCATAGGTGGATAGATTTTACTGAGGAGGGATGCAGCACACAAGAATGATAACCTACCCTGCATTATTTTTCAGTTATTGCTCTTTGTTATTTTCAGCCATCAGTATTCACATAGGTCTCAAATCTGTAATCACTATAGCCATCAGTTTTCATTACCAAAAGACCTCTTAAAATGGAATTATTCTGCTGTACTACATAATTAAACATTCTTCCAATGAGCAAACACATTCGGCGGGGGATGGCCATGTTGACATGGCTCTTGTTTTTATTATTGTTATTATTATTATCATTATTATTTTCTTTTATTTTGTTTATTTATTTATTTTATTTTTTTGACATGATGAGACTTGATTTTGTCTTTCGAGACTTCTATACAATTTGATGACTCGATGTTAACAAGCCTATAACAATAACATGTGTGCACAATTTCACATTATTGCGAGTCATTTAATCATGTCTGTAGTGCAAAATAACTTGAAAATGAAAAGCGTTTGAACGCTTTTAATTCAAATTAGGATTGAAATCGTCATGTATCTATTTTTAATTTCGTTACGAGTACAGTATATTTCTTTATCGTCTTTTTCATATTTTTTTTGCGTTTAAAGGGCCGAAATTTATCGATGTCATATTTCTATTTTTATGGGTGTATTTCCTCGATGGAGAGTCCATTTAAAGTCGGTTGAAGTTTTAACGAAAGTGTGATTAATTTAAATTAAAGAAAATGCAAATGTATTTTACATACACGTGAGACAATATTGTTAATATCATTGTAGATTCTTTTTTGTATGACTGCAAGTTTACAAAATGACCGACCAATTAGCCACTTTTCAGTGTCAACTTTTTTTTTAAACATTTCATATCCTCAGTACAATGTTATTGATTTTATTTTTATATCACAGGCATTTTAAGTGTCCGTAAAAGTCAACTATCAAAGACACATTATTCAATAAAAGATGAAACTATCTACTTACGTTTTGATGTTATCGAATGCAAATAATGTTTTAGCATTTTTCTTAGCTTTACTTCCCAACGTTCTTACCAATTCTGTAAAACTAGTATTCCAAAATGATAATGTGAAGAACTCCTCTGTCTTATTAAGTCTATCAATCATTAGATCCACGTTAACATCTCTTTGTTCCTTTGCTTTATTGCCTAATACAACATTATTTCTCTGAGTCTTTATTTGTGTTAGCAGAGGAACCTGTCTCATGTCCTTATTTTCAGAAGTCGAGTCTGTAACTTCACCAGGTCCATACTGTGTTACAATATATTCGTCATTTATATCGTACTGGTCATCTAAAGACTGGGTCATATTGATGATAATGATAATTAAAATCACCGAACAGCATATCAGAGATAATCTTGTCAATAGTTTTAACTTTCTTAAAGTCATCCTAACACTTCTCCTCAAATTTTGTTATAATAACGTGAATTGGCGTGAGTATCATTTATCAACAAAATTTATTCAGCCTCTCCGCGGAAAAGAAGATAATCTTGAATATATTATCAATTGATAAAGACATTATAGCTTTTAACGAAAGTGCCTGTAAGCAAAATGAGCATTTGCATTCAAAGTAAGTCCTGATTAAAAAGTGTATTGTAGTGTTAACTTGATTCAAGTGTACACAGTAAATGTGAGATGTTGTAACATGTGTTATCATGATGAAAGTTAAAGAAGAAGAAAAAACACGCTGATCATATTGTAAAATGTATCATTTTCATGTAATTATTATTGACATCTGTCACAGATGACTGCCGTATTTACACTAAATAGCTTTCCTCTTATATTCTTTCCTGATTCTGTCTTCAAATAAAGGCATCAATCTCACCATTATCATCATCGTCGTCGTCGTCATCATCATCATCATCATCATCATCACCACCACCATCACTTGATATAATTTGGATGAGTTTTAAAGAAACTTTGTTTGATGTTATATTTAAAGGGTTTCATATTCAAATTATCATCATCATTATTATTATTATTATATTATTATTTGAAATCAGTTTAGATTGGAAAAAACAATGCAAAATAGTGATTTTAGGCAATTTTGAGACGTCCCTCCGTTTCCATGGTAACAGGAGCATGCTGTTACAGAGGCTATGGTCCAGTTAACATTTGTGCCAAGCTTATCAGTATTGAAGCATTTTTCATAGTTTCATAGCAGTTTGAATTTTTAACGGGAGGCTTTTAAATGAAAATTACCCATTTAAACACGTTTTCGCTGAAAATGTCTTTCATTTAGAACTCTATGCTTGTATATATAAATATTTACGTGTGTATCTTTTTAAAAACGGAAACTGGAACAGAACTCAAAAATATATTGCGCAGCATGCGTCATATTCACTACATAATTTATTTATTGTATGTAACCAGCTGGAACTTCCAGTTTCCCAAATGATAAGTTTATTTGATAGTATTGTTTTACCAACATTAAATTATGCTGCAGAGGTGTGGGGACATCACGCTGGTCCGAACATACAAAGTTTTGTAGAAGATTGTTATGTGTGAAACAATCAACCAATGTAGATGTGTTATATGGTGAACTTGGTCGTACACCAATGTCCATTCATAGAAAACTAATATTGATCAAATACTGGTTAAAACTTCTTAAACTAAATGAAAGAACTATATTGTATAAAATTTTTATTATGTTAAAAACAGATGCCGACAATGGTGTAACTTATAGTGGTAAAAACTGGGCATATACTGTTATGACTATTTTAGAGCAGACGAATTTTAGACATATTCTATCAAAGTTGGTATTCCTCAATTAATAACTCGTCTAGATTAGATACATATTGATTATTTAAACATTCATTCAAATTAGAAAACTATTTGGATTTTATCGTTGAACCGAAATTTAGGGTAGCTTTATCCAAATTTCGTTCATCTTCTCATAATTTGGCTATTGAACGTGGACGGCATAGAAATGTACCAAGAAATGAAAGATTGTGTAGTAATTGTAATGCCGGTCTTATAGAAAATGAGTATCATTTTGTATTAATATGTTCTAAATTCCAGGACTTAAGAGCAAAATATATAAAAAGATATTATTATAAGTGGCCAACTAAACAGAAATTTGTTAATCTCATATGTGCAAAATCAAAAGCAATAATTAATAATTTAGCAAAATATATATACTATGCAAACTTGCGAAATAACTAGTCATCTTTAATGCAGATACATATATTATATTATTGTGCTCTTCTGTAAACCATGTCTTTGTATAAAAAAAAATTGTATTGCTATGGAACATGTTGTTTTAATGCAAAAAAAATATTTGTAGTTGTAGTTGTATAGATTATGTCCAAGTGAAAGCATGATAATTAAATCAATTAAAATAAAATATGCATCATAATTATATACTAGCAAGAGTCTAAACTCAAAGAACCCGAAACAAAAAATCAGCTTATATACCCTTTTGTTTACGTAATGTGCAAAAGTGGACTGGCGCGCGACCCACTTGCGAAAACCAGACTGAACGACTCCTTGTGCGACCTGAATACTGCGCCTTAACAATGTTCAAAATGGTGCACAAGTGGTTCATGTATACAGCCTGTTGTGCAATACAAATATAAGTACAAAAATACATAAATAAACATGTTAACATTTGTTCAAATTACAAATTGGCAGTAAATATAATAATAATAATGTACACAATGCAAACATGAATTGTTGAAAAAGCTGTGGGTCCGAAGCATATAAATGCTTTGTTTTTAAGTATTCTAGTCCCACGTAAACACTCAATCAACGATGAGCTTGTTTTTTTTATTTAAAATTGAAATCTGACCTTTTGATTGACTTCTTCTGTAGCCAGTCGTCGCTAAAGAAATCATTCAAAAGGTCAGATTTCAATATTAAATCAAAAACAGTGCAAATTAGTGCAGCATAAACTTGCAAAAAGTAAATATATTTATTTATGCTATACAAGATTGATTCACTTACATAGATTTGTGAAGTTGGCGGCCCAGCGGCCTAGCGGCGTGAAGTTGGCGGCCAACGGCCCAGCGGCTGGCGGCGTGAAGTTGGCGGCCGGGCGGTCCAGCGGCTGGCGGCGTGAAGTTAGCGGCCGGGCGGCCAAGCGGCCAAAAAAATTTAATGTTGCAGAAATGTTATTCAAACAATAAAACGGCATTTAATGAAGTTCTAAAGACATTTCTTATTATTTAAAGGATATATAGAAAGAAAAAAATCACTTTGAGAATTTTTTATTTATTTTACCATGTAAAGCTTGAAAGTCCCCATATGAACTATACTGTGTTGGACCGTTGCAACGGTGCGACGCAAAACCCAACAAAAATCAACGTCAATTGTAATTAAAAACTGTGAACTACAATAATATGATCTTCAAGGTCATTTATGAGTCATTGTCAAACTGAGTTTGATTTTCATTTATCTCTTGACTACATAAGGATTTTTACGCTCAAGTATGAAGACAATTCATTCACTAATAACAAAGTTAAAGACAATAACAGCAAAATTCATAAGTCTGACCTTCAAGGTAAATGTCATGAATGAGTGAATGTTATAATCAATTAGGCCTACTTGATTGTTTGTCCAAATGATTGTAGACAATCCATTTAAAATAACAAAGAACAATTGTAGATGTAAACAAGGTTAGCTTTTAAAAAAGCTAGTAGCGACTCGCTTCGTAATTTTTTTCAAGGGGTGTGTTTAAATGTAAAAATGACAGTTCTGTTAGCTGAAGAGACTTCAGCGAACATCAAAATAAAAGTGAAGTCAACACTGGCCCGGTGCCGATGGCCAGTGTATATAAGTTCAGGCCAGTGTAAATTTAAGAAAATTTTGTTAATTATTTAGTAGAATAAATTCAAAACTGGAATTCGGGCCAGTAAATTCAAAATCTTAAACTCATTGACTGAAAGTGACATATAAAGTTCTCTCAGTTTAACCAAGATGAGTATGAGTATATATGAAGGTACATGTAAACAGATTGAATGAAGAACCTATGTCTATGCACATTTACTATATGGCCTGTTGACCTTGACCACAAAATGTTAGATAGGTAGATTTCATAAAGATGTCTCTTTATACAAAATTAAGTTGTAATACATGTATGTTATTTAGTATTGGAATGAGAGGCACAAGTCCTAAAGTAAACACAAGTGGTCAATCAATTCAGCCAGAAAAGCCGGGATCCTATTAAAAAATATAGGGATCCCAGAAATTGACCAGGCTAAGAAGATGTTTTTTCAGAAAAGCCGGGATCCTATTAAAAAATATAGGAATCCCAGAAATTGACCAGGCTAAGAAGATGTTTTTTCAGATAAGCCGGGATCCTATTAAAACATATAGGGATCCCGGGAATTGACCAGTTCAAGAATATAGTTTTCAGAAATGCCGGGATCGTATTAAAATGTAAATAGATCTCACGGATTGGCCAGTTCAAGTATATAGTTTTCAGAAAAGCTGGGATCGTTTTAAAACATATAGGGATCCCGGGATTTGGCCAATTCAAGAAAATAGTCTTTGATTTTTCCAATTAATTAGGCATATAATTATAAGTATTGTTATTTCCGCATTTTAAGTTTGTTAATAAATAGCTCTAAATATATCTATATTCTAAGTTAAATTAATTTAACGTTCATTATATACAATAAAAAAATTAACGTTTTATGGCCTTTCATTACGACAACAATCAACACAAATATAGTTCATTAGGTTTTTCCTCCATATCTTATACGATCCCGGATCCCGGGCGTCCCGGATCCCGGCCAGTTAATACATACACTAAATACCGGAAAGGATAAAATGACCGGAAAAAAGGAAAAATAAAAAATGCACAGAACCAGATGTACACTTATGTTAATAACACTTATGTTAATAAACCAAACGAAAACTTACTACAGAGAAAACAGGTGAAATCGCTAAATCAGAAGTCAGTGTAAATATGATTTATTGAAAAGAATTCATAAAGACAAACATTTTAATCATCATTATATCTTTGCGCTCAAAACAATACTTGCTGATTTTTAAAAATGGCGTGAAAATTGAAGGTTTTTTGACACTATGTAAGATTAAATTTGATTGGCTAAATAATTTTGGATCCTAGCCCTGATAGATAAATTTTGTAGAAAGCTGGAAGCCAAGCTTCGATTAAGTTTTTGGATAGCTTCGGAGTTTTAGGTTGTTTCTCAGTAAAATCCTACCGTAATACCGGCTCGCCGTGGCGAGCCGGCATCATTTATGAGTCAATGTCAAGTTCAGTCTGGTCCATTTGAGCGTCTTGTCCAAGGATTTTGTGTGTCTAAATAAGAAGACAATTCATAAAGAAATAAAAAAATGATGGCAAATGTTAACGACAGCCTGACTGTACGAATGCTCAATACCCCTCCGAAAAGGTTGGGCTAACAAATGACCTAATTCATAGACATCTAATCAGCTTCCTTACAATATTTACCTAATATCCGATCATTTATTTCACACTTACCAACAACATTCTCACATTATTCTTTCCTGGTTCGTTGTTATGTCTGATGTATCATGCTAAATACAATAAAAAAATGAGCCGCGTCATGACAAAACCAACGTAATGTGTTTGCGACCAGCATGGATTTAGACCAGCCTGCGCATCCACGCAGTCTGATCAGGATCCATGCTGTTTGCTTACAAGCCCTATTACAAGTAGAGAAACTGATAGCGAACAGCATGGATCCTGATCAGACTGCGCGGAGGCGCAGGCTGGTCTGGATCCATGCTGGTCGCAAACCCACTATTTTGGCTTTAATAAAAGCCCTTTTACAACACAAATTTATCTTGAGTTGTTTATTGTTTTACAAGCTACGCAAACTCCCGAATCTATGTAACCGAACCACTTGCCACCCATAAATTACGATATCCGTTGTACTGACAATTATACACAGTAGACAGAATCATTAAGTGACTTTTTAAAAAGTTGGCACAGTTAATCAGAGCGGAGCTGGACAGCGGCATGTCAACCTTTTTCTATCTCTTGAAATGTCTATATTTATACAGTTATATACCGGTAGTGTCAACTCATGTGCAACAAATACTGTTTGTCACTAGTATTCACTATAAATATATTTCTGGTTTAGACCTGGATAAAGCCTACCTTTAACTATATACATGAATCTTGTTTTATGATCGATGTATTCCGAATATCTCATGAAAATTGAAATTGATAAAAAAAAGTATCCCTAAACCTACTTTACAAAGTAAAGAACTCCAATAATAGCCGTATTGAAAAATATGTAGGCTTGCTTGAGCATGTTTATAGACATTAACTACTAAATATTTTAAGTGCTTTACGTTTTAGTGCACCGTGGAGGGTAGCGATGTACCTCTTCCCATACAAAAATATAACTTCAAATACTGTATAAATTTTCTATTTCACTATTTAAACTGATGTCAATTACAGCGTCCAAGGCCATCCTTGTACTTTGTAAATTGCACATAAAAATTTATGAATTTTTGTATATTATTTGCCAAGTCTATCCACAAAAGCGAAATACATATAGGGATAAATGAATAGCTTTACAATCTTGATTAAACATACGGACTTTGATATTGCAGTTATTTTTTCAACGTAACAAAATGTAAACAATGGGGAATGGACATTTTAAGCAGGTAATTATGTTATTATGTAGGTCGTGTTCTAGCAATAAATGCAAGGAAAAAAGCACATTCCCTCAATCATCACATCAATGTTGATTTAATCATTTTTATTGTGAAAAATGACTTAAAATGAAAAGAGTTTTAAACATTTAGAAAAGAGTTTATTACAAACATTTTGTGTACATGATTATGTATTGTCTCATTGTAACAATTATTTAGCTAATCAGCCAATTTTCATACAATTGTAAATCCGTAATAGTCAGCTGTTAATTTCTCGATGGCATGATTGTTCAAGTTCGATAGGTTTTTAAATCACTTGACGTTATCTTTTCCCGGGCAAATCTTGCAAAAATTAGGTATGCAATATTAAACATAATAATTTTAATAGATAACATCTTCTTAAACCTAGAGTTCATTTATTTTAGACTGAAACTCATATCATAATATTAATAATATTGAGAAATAATAAGACAAAACCAAACTAAAATAATGCTCAAAACTTTGCTTTCAGGTTATTAGCCAGTATCAATAACAAATTAAAAGTTTTATGGTTGTATCATGGTATCAAATTGTTCTTTATTCCAGTCCATTCTCGTCTTTACACCTGGTATACCTAACTTATCCGCGTTCTTATATTGCTTATGATCTAGGTATTCCTTTCCAACTTCTTTCCATTTTCCATCCTTTATAAGTTGAGATGTTTTCGGTCCTAGGTCACCTCTATATACAGCATTTACCACTGCCGTCTTCACATTTGATGGTAACTTGTCGTATACATCTTTACCAATCTTTGCTTTAGCTCTTGGCTCATATATATTGTCAATGTCGTGCTGGAATATTAAATTCATATTTGAAATGACAAATTAATTAACATTATTTTCAAAAATGTTGTATCATACCAAACACTGACAATGACTGTCTAAAATATTGATGAGTAATCCACGATAGCTGTTTCGATCGTCTTTCTCCGAGACAACTGACCCCGGACATTTTGTCTAATGGACATATTACTCTAGCCTCTGATTCAGAAATCAAGTTGGAATAGTAGTCAGTCGGTCACGTGCAGAGAAATTGATAATTACTGGTTAGTTATACAGTTAGGCGGATCTGCCGCCAAATATATGACCGAAAATGTATGTGAAAATGGCGTAAAAAGCAGAAAAAACATGGCGTAAAAAGTAGAAAAAAACAAACACATTAAAATGATTAGTTGATAAATGCATATTATACAATTATCGTATTAGTAGCGACGACTTATTAATAACAATACATGGCATTCGGGAATAAATTAACTTACGTTAAACAGAGCTCGTGCTTGATCCTTCGTAATTGTTTGTTCTCCAGATTTTACCTTTTTAAAATCAACACCGGGTACAACTTTATTAAACGTTTTCTCTGCATCTGGGCGGTTCAAATTAAACCCTATACCTGACAACAAGAAATATCTCGATTATTAAATGTCATATAATGTAAATTACGACACTGTTTGATTTATGATAAGCATATATATATATATATATCAATTTAAAATCATTTGACAATTTTGATATCGGGATATTTTGCGTGTACTCTTGAAAAATCGAGTTGACAACTAGCAATTCATTACACGCTGGTTGAAATTTTATCATTTCTGTCGTTTTCAAACATATTTTCAGCAGTTTAATTGTTTGAAATATCAAAGTATATTGAAATGTTAAACTGATGTGTTTTGACATGAAGGGACTGGAAATATGTTTTCGACCAATTTCATATCATTCAATCATTCCGTTTCACCAAACTTTTCATTTCTATTTTATATTTATTGCACAAATTGTCAAAACAATACTTCCCACTCAAATCGTGCTAAAATTCGTGCAATTTAACTCTTAGTATATTTCTTTATGATCTATTGTGGAATCTTAAATTTTAAGTACATCGCTTGATCTATACAAGAATTTCAAAATTTACAATTTAGGCTTAATGTCTTCTGTGGAGATCCTTTAAAAAGTATATCCCTTTAACTTTAACTTACCTATAGTAGTGTCATGAACTTTTTTATTATTTGGCTGAGCATCATATGCTTTTAATCTAACTCCTTCATAATTCTCTATAACTGTCTTCATATCTATAACGATAGATGATCATATGAGCCGCGTCATGACATAACCAACATAATGGGTTTGCGACCAGCATGGATCCAGACCAGCCTGCGCATCCGCGCAGTTTGATCAGGATCCATGCTGTTCGCTTACCAACTCTATTACAAGAAGAGACACTGATAGCGAACAGCATTGATCCTGATCAGACTGCGCGGATGCACAGGCTGGTCTGGATCTATGCTGGTCGCAAACCCATTATGTTGGTTTTGTCGTGACGCGGCTAAAATTATTATATAGTTATAAAACTTTTAATGTAACATTTTTGGAAACATACCGATACATGATTATTTTGCCAAGTCTCTGAAACCATTTTTATAGTCTGAACTAAAAAATCTAAAAGCTTCATATTCGCTTAATTAAGACTCACGTCGAATGTGAAGTCTAAACTATTCAACAATTTTCAGACATTGGAAACTTTGACTATACTGTTAACGTTTATTACAAATAGAGATATAGATATTCTTAAAACTAAAATTTGTTATCTTAGTAATACAATTTACCTGAGATCTCAACTAAGATTAATATTCAGTTTTAAAAGCTATATTGACATTTCTCTAAATTAAGTCTTATGTCAAAGGTAAAGTGTAAACTATTCAATAATTTTAAGAATTTGATATTAGAAACTTTCACTATACTGTTAACGTTACTGATTTCATTACAAGAAGCGATTCAGATACTTGTATACTTGTTGCCATAGTAATACAGTTTACCTGAGGTTTAGTATTTTACTCTACCTGTGCTTGACTGAGTTTCACTTCCCGTTGATTTTGATTTTGGTTTTGATGGTGATGGTTTGTTTGACGGAGGTGGGTTAGAATTGCCTACATAAAAAACATAGTGCATGTATAAGTAAACGATAAAGAATTCAACGTTTTATGTTTTAATTGCACTACTGTACAGTTTCAGGCTTATAGCAATACGAATGTGCACATCATTTGTACCTGATGATTGCTATTAGCATGAAACTGTACAGTAGTGCAAAAACACAAAACATCGATACCTTTATCGTTTATTTATACTTGCTCTGGTTGCCCGTTGAGCACTGTGCCTGTCAGTAGTACATGTAAATATATTTCTAACACGTATAAGGATCAATGTGTCCATTTTACAACATTATCCTGTCAAAAAATGTGATCGTTGTAAAATAGTTGTATGCCACTAATCCTAAATGCAAAATAATTTTTTTTTGCCTTTAATGAGTACTAAAAATTCAACTAAACTACAAACTAGAAGAAACAACCCTTCCAAACGTTTAGAAATTAGCTAAACGCTCGCAAAATCCATTGATAACGCTTGAAAAATGTTAAGTTTATTATATAAAAGTATTTAATTTGTAGAATAGTCACTTGGAATTCGTCGTTTTTCAGAAACTTGTAATTCAGGCAAAAGTTTTGCTAATCCAAAAAGGTTTAGATAGTCTCTAATGTTTTCTATGTGCTATATAAAATCTAAATTATATGATTTACCTGACCACCATCCCGAGGAAGCTAAAGCAAAAAAGTATAGAATTTAAAAAAAGAAAAAAAGGTAAAAAAAAGTTCATGTTCACTTTTATTAGAAAAACTACTACATATCGTCATAGAAATAAATATAAATTCAGTCTGTCGGTTTGCCCGACAACACTTAGATTGAGTTGTTCTTACTTTGTTTTATGTAATGCTCAAACAAGAAATAAATAATAGGACGGGTACAGATTGCCAGTACACAAAAGGTGAACAGGAAAAGTAAAGAATATGTAGCTTTAGATAGCTAGTAAAACAGAGACCACTACACATTTTAACAAAGAAGCCTACGGAAATTAAATAGTTGTACACAAATATATCTGCTAGTGGCTTGAATGATGAAAATTATATTCCAGCTGATGATTGTTATAATGTACAATTATTTCAGCTATTTACACATGTGTGTGCTAGTAACTGAAATAGCTAGTGTACTTATGTGTACACTTGTAACTAAAGTAACGAACAGATATATATTCGAGAGTGAGTGAAATAATGTACAAATGTGTCCACTAGTGACTGAAATTATGTACAGATGTATCCGCTAGTGAATTAAAAATGCACAAATGTGTCCAATTACGACTGAAAAGAAATGTACAGATGCTGCGGTGTTATAATGCAAAAAATCTACATGTATTTGATAGTGCCTGAAATAGGTGTACATATGTGCATTTACAGTGTTTTCTCTCTGTTTGACATGTTGGTATCAAGAAGTTGTAATGGATCTATATTAACTACATGAACTATATAATGATTGTAGAAAAACTACAAGGTAATAACATAACTGTTTTTTTTTAATTCAAGATAAGAACGCATTACCTTTTGGTTTTGTCTCTGTTGGTTTCTTAGGCTCGGGCTTTGGCTTGGCTGTAACAATTATGATATTCTAGCGGTAAATGATGTAAGGTATAAAACAAATATTGATATGGCAATAAAAATGTGACATCGAACATATTCTTAAAATTTATATGTTTATATGTAAGAGAAATGTAATATAAGTTAACAGTTCAGTTCATACTAACAATGTTATGTTAGTCATTTCTTATATTGTATGCATGTATTCTGATTGAGTAAGTTAAGAACAGACTAAAACTAGTTGAATAAATTCAAATACTCACGTTTAGGCTTCGGAACATTTCTGTTTGTGCCTGAAGATAGAAAAAAAAGATAATAGAGTATATAATGATAATCTTAATATTTCCATGGTTACGATTTATTAAACAAAAGATAAAAATACTATGAACTACAGTCAGTGTAGGCAATCGGAATCACCTTGTGAAAAGCCTTATTTTTTGCACTATTTTTTATTGCTTTGGGTTCTTACACGCATATTACTTAATCTAATAATAGCAGGTGACAATTCTTTTCTAAACAGTACAGAATTGTCACACTGCTTACCAAGGTTTTCTTGAAATCTTGACATTAAAGAAAAAATAGAATCATCATGAAAAAAATAAACTGATTATTTCAAAACATTAGACAAACAATAAACAGTAACTACAGAAAAGGTCATTTGAAAACAAATTTTATCTAAACAACTTGTCATTCAAGTAGTTCTGGATCACTCAAAACATATATTTCCTTACAAACAAGTACTAATTTTTATTTGTTTGGGTCGTCAGACCAAACAAATAATGGTAGCAAAATTTCAGACCCTAATGTGCTTATTTGCAAAATCCGAAAGTAGTCCAAAATCCTCGAAGTGGTTACTTCCCCTTACATGTACACTAACGCCGAAAAATTAAGGGGAGATCACTACGTAAAGATTTTCAAATGACATGCGCAATATCTTTCAAGCCTTCTCGGGAAAGAAAAAATAGTTCTCGATTGGTTGAAGATTTCTAATATTGTGTTATGCTTATAGATATACATTCTTATATTAAGCTCCATGATTATTTACATCAGTGTTAAACGTGAACAAAATATATCGAAATTAATAAGGGTTACAAACCCTAATTTAGAATAATGTGGTTTTCTTCAGGCTGATACCTTATAACTTCACCGTGGTCTAGGGGTTTAAACGCTCGCTAAGGAAGCAAGAGGTCTGGAGTTCAAATCCCAGTAAAGGCAACTCATTTTATTTTAATTGTTTAAGCCAAATAAACATTGAATTGAATATCAGTGCTGAAATCAGTCTTATAGCCAATTTACTACAGTTATAACACTGGAAACAGCATTGATGGCACTATACAAAAACAAATTGGTTTATAATCTCACAACCTTCACCTTTCTGACATTCTGAGACCCAAACAAATTCAGCGCCTTCTGTGCTTTGATTAAAGCATGTATCAACTGATTCTTTTGTCTATGGAAACATTATGGACGTATCATTTTGTTTTTATTAATGAATAAAAAGGAAATTAAATAATGTAATTCGGATTGCCTTAGATTCGGATTGCCTACACATACTGTATGTACGAACTGGTATCTTTTAGAGGCCCCTACTGGGTCACCTCATTTATTATACGTTAAGTATACTTAATAATCATATGTATTTTATTATTTGAATAAGATAAGATAAAAATATCGCAAACGCAGATATAGCGTTTTACTTTTTAGAAAAGATCAAAACTTACCCGACCACCAACCGGAACCTTTCTTTCCAGAATCTATAATAACAAACATTTTTGAGATGATTCATTAAGTTATTATTTTTTGTATTCAACTATTTGTTCTGTAACAATCAAATTACAAAAAAAAGAAAAAAACATATTTCATTTTTTCTTTTTATCGTCAGTGTCTGTTAGATGTTTTTTTAATTTATATATGAATTTAAGGGACAAACAACTTTAACTTCTACCTTTAGGCTTAGGAGCTGGTGCTGGTGGTTTAGTCTTAGGTTTGGGTTTAGCTAAAAATAGAAAAAAATACGGATTCAAAACATCATAAGCATCTTTAAAGCTGCATTAAATAAATTTCATAAAAATAAATATAGCTACATTTCGTAAATTAGATATGTTTCTAATCGACTCCCGTTGTTATTTTGGTTTTCAGACATACAAAATTAGTTTTATAAGCCTAAAATCCTACAACCTCATTGTGGCGAAATCAGAAGTACAATTTCTTTTTGCATGATAAGATTATATTTTATGGTTACTGTATCCATACTTAAGTAAAGATCGGTGAACATTTATATCCGACAAACAATGGAATTGTATCCATCAATATCACTTATAAACAATAGATTTACAAATTTCCTAAACAGCTGAATAAATATTAGCTATACACAATGAATTTATAACTTTCCGAAAACAATTGATCAATAGATCTTATCATTATTTGTTTTTTACCTTTCTTTAACAATGCTTATTTGACAATTATTCATTGTTATAAAAGAATATAATTATTTTATTCCGAGCCATAGTAGATACTAGTAATAAATGTTCGCTATCTGTTATAATCTTTGCCATGCCTGTTGAATATGAAACGAATATTTTTGGAATAGATGTGTATACGAACGTCAAGCGTTGACGATATGGTTCACAATAAATTTCAAACTTTCAAAGTCAAGGCCAAAATTGTCACAAAATAGTTTTGCTAGCTAACAAATAATAAAGTATAACTCACGAGAAGGGTTAGATGGTTTAGATGGTCGATTTCTGCTTCCTCCTGTAATGTTAATTATATATATTATTATGTAACATAATATATACAATGTGATAAAGGATTTTGAATACTTCTGAATATTTTTATAGATTTTTATATTTATATAGATATAGATTGAGACATTTGAAATGATTTTTAAAGAATTCTGCACTTTGGATTAAGATCATCGGATGATGTTCATTATCTATAATTATGCAAAGCTCAGCGTCTATACATCATGGTAGATATTTAGTAAATCGTTTCTAGAAGCATATTTTATTAAGTCAATAACGTTTTTTAGGATTAATAAGATAAATTAATTCAGCCAAAAAACGTAAGAGCGGAGTACACCATTATTCACTTCAAGTAAACTGCTTTGGAAATCGCATAAATTTCTTTACATTTCAGTTGCATATTGTGTATAATTATTGGTTCATTTATATTTCATCCTTGCAAAGTATGAGCTTCATAAATATTTACCCCACCATCCTGAACCACGTCTGTTGGAACCTGAAAGAGATAATTCATGAAGTGACATAATTAATGAAATAGGATAATAATGGTATATCACTAGAACATATGACATAATTGTTAAAATAGAACTAATATGATATATCCCTCGAACTGAAATAGAATAAAAATATCCCCCGATCATATGACATTATTGATAAAAATAGGACAAATATATAAAACATCCCTCGAATATATGGCATACATGTAATTGATAAGAACGAAAAATTATGGCATATCCCTTTACTGATAAGATAGAACAACTTCGGTATATCCACCGATAATATGGCATAAAATTATACAATAGAATACGTTTGGTGTATCCCCTGATAATATGACACATTTGATAAAAAAATAACACAACAGGAGCAAACAGGTTCTCAATTATCACCAGAACTTTTGAAAATATGAAAATGATGTAAATATCTGAACTTCGCCTGCCCAAATTTGCCATCATACATCAAAATTAGGCTACTTTATATTTTGAGAATATATAAGCTAGCGATTCTAATATTTTACTCAAAATACTTTGATTTTGAATAATTTCCCCTCTGGTAAAATATTATCTGAATAACTCTGTAACAGATATATCTTATGAAAAACATGACGAGTGATCACAACAACCCCACCTATCGTGTAACAGTTCCTGTCCGGTGAGTAATAGCCCAACAGACGAAGCGTGAAACGGTTTTTATTTCATTCATATGAAATATTAGTTATAATTGTTCCATACTTACAAAACCCTGGTATATTTTTGGTATGGTATCAATGAATATGTTGCAGTGTTGGTACTTATCGTATATATAAATAACACTGAAGTATTTAGAAGTCAACACAGTGCTTAAAAAACAATTACTGGAAAAGTTGTAACAATAAGTTTAAAATTTAAGCCTGGTTTGTGTGTAACCAAAACAAATAGCTTACTTGATTTGTTGCTGCCATTGGAACTACTTTTTGACGTATCCTTTTTTGATGAACTGGAATCACTCCTACCAAACCATGCCAAACCTAAAACACAACCAGTAGATTATTTCCTAAATAAACTTGATTTAGATCAGTTTCAGGTTTCAGTTTTGTCGTACAAAAATGAATGTGAAATTTCATGTAAAAAATTTTCAATTTAGGAAAATGCAAAAAGTTATTTACATGCAATGATTAGAAAAGAGAACGGTGAGGTTTTGCCGAGCTCTTCATTTTTTTCATGCCGAGCCAGATAAATTTAATAAGCGTTTCTTCCTTTAATTTTCAAAAGAAACAGAAATCTGTTAAGAACCTCTCGATTTAATGCCGCACGCAGTAATATGCCAATATCATGTCAATAAGAAATAATACAGAATGTTTTCAGTGAAATGTAAAAGAGACTTTAATATCTAAACAAATCTATTCGTTCAAAGTTTATCAGTCGAATATTTTCAAACTAGTAAGCGGTAAAAATATTCCATTATCTTCATTTTATTTGAATACATGCATGTATTGATGAGGGTGACTGATAAAGTTAAACTTTTCAGTCATGCAATTTATCAACAGGAATAAATATGGTAACATGATAAAATGTAATTTCATTTATATCGCAGCAATGACACAAAGGATAAGTTATAGAACAATTTTGATAATGTTAAATGTACCTTCATATAAAATGTGTAACTTCATTTATTCCACAACAATTATAACATAAAATGTACCTTCATTTATTACACAACAATATATAATATGAAATATACCTTCATTTTTATAACGCAGTAATTATAATACTAAATGTATATCATTTTTACATAACAATTATAATATAAAATTTACCTTCATTTATAACACAGCACAACACAAAAATATGTAAAATCTTGTAAATATTCATTGTTGTCGTCCAAACTTACTCCAGTAATTGAAATTTCAAACTATCGTTATGGTATTTATATATACTTACGTATTTTTGCCCTCTTTCATTGTTCATAAACAAGCCTAGATTTAAGAAACAATTTCGAAATATTTATTATTAAAATGCATCTAAAATTCTACGAAAACATTAAACAAGTGTTTATTTTTGCTGTCATTTAACGAATCAATCTTTTAAATAAAGATTTGAAGTGGATTTTATAATCGTTAATACAATGATTTTTACGTTACGTTTGACAAATAACGTAATTTGCGGTTTTATCGAAGGACGTGATATTATACGCATCGTTTAAGTTTACAACGTTACGCAGCAGTTAACAAATCTTGATACGTGACAAGGTAACATATCAACTTGTACACAAACAAATTGTTATTTAGAAGATTGTATTAATTAATTCGTTGACTAATGTATTTTACTCTTTAATTTTGGTATTCTTTTTAACTGAGTATTAATTCGGGGAATCCATTTCATAATGAATGAAATGTAAGGTTGTAAAGAGATCAGAGTTCAATTGCGCACGTGCTTTGAAATTACTTAGTGCTTAATCAAATGTTTCAATAGGAGATGGTGAAAGCATTGGATCAGACGGACAAAAAAATGGGATTGTGTGTAAATACCGTCACCCTAGACAAACGCAGTCATAATCACATATAATCTGAAGATCTGAACACAAATCTTTTTTTAAAGACATACTCTGCTTAGGGTAAAATACTTGAAATACAGAAATGTGTTGAAATTTCGGAAATTCTTACCGAGTGTATGTTTAATTTTTTGTTGGGGTTTTACGTCGCACCAACACAGTAGAGGTAAAATGACGACTAATCAGTTTTACTGGTGGAGGAATACCTCAGGTGCCCTTCCGCATCATTTCAGGCACAGGCAAGCACCTGGGCTGAACCACCGACGTTTCATAAGCTAGCCAGATAGCTTCCTTACATGAACGAATCCAAAGTCCCTGGCGGGAAAAAGAATGTATAAACTATGTTTGGGAAGAGCTACGTTCCTTAAAACTTAAAAGTTATTAAAAAAAAAACACTAATGCTCGTTTTAGTGACATCTAGGCATATGCATCACACCTATAGTATGTAAGTTCAAAAATGACATACACTTTTGTATCATCATATGTATACCCAAAAGATGTTGTTGTTTTTTTATATATAAAAGACTCTATAGCAATAATCATATTTCATGTCTATAAAAAGAAAATCTTAATTCTGAATCGGGAATAATTTAGTACAATTCCATACAAGAGTTATATGCAATGAATTGTGACCTACGATTATGATCCCATAAACATATATTAGGTTTATGCTAAAGTTTCAAGTCAATTATATTTTGACGATTTGTGTTGCATGCAAAACTTTAACCAAGATTTTTGTAACTTTACAAAGGGGCATTTTAATTCAGTCTAAATCTATGTCAGATTTATTGGTATGAAACAAAAATTTTGTATAAGAGGCCTTCTATCATTACATGATAATTCGACTTAGTCCAGGAACAAATTTAGTTAATATCGTATCCTGTATCCTGATTTGGCACCAACTAAAATTATTAAAATGCACAAAAAGTGAATTAGAGCATGTTTCAAACAAGGTCCCGATACAATGCTAATAATTATTTCATCCGTCGCGGATAATCGAACTTTGTAGAAAATGCTCTCATCATAACGTTTGATACAAGTATTTTAAGGGTTTGTGTAAACTTACAAGTGCAAGATTTTACCATGGATGAAATATCGCAGACTCCCAGCAAACAGCCCAAAATGTCAAGTGATGCTCCATGAATAAGTTTTTGGACAAAGTGAATTAATTGTTTACTTAAATCACTTGTAGTTTCTTGCTGAGGTCTCTTGTAGTTTCAAAGTTACGTCCCGGACATAGTTCACATTGTAAAAATGAAAAAAGTCAATAACTCAAAAAATATGCAAAGCAGAGTTATGGTTTTTATGCTTTGCACTCATACTTAATCTACAAAATTTCTTGTTCGTTCATACCTCTTTTGGTTTCAGAGTTATGTCCCGGACAAAGTTCAAAGTGTCACAATAAACAAAGGGCAAAAATTCAAATATTAGACAAGACAGTGTTACGGTTACTTTTGCATTGCACTTTAACTCAATAAGAAAGTTTCTTGTTGATACCTCTTGTGGTTTCAGAGTTATGTCCCGGACAAAGTTCAAATGTAAAAATAAAAAGGCAATAATTCCAAAATTAGGCAAGACAGATTTACGGTTATTTTGCACTGCACTTCTATGTAATGAGATATATATCTGCCTACAAAGTTTCTTGTTAATAGTAGTTTCAGAGCTATGTCCTGGACAAAGTTCGATGTGTAAAGATGAACAAAAGGGCAGTAATGTTTAAATAAGGCAAGGCAGAGCTACGGTTCTTATGCATTACACTTCTACTCAATAAGATCTATCAACCTACAAAGTTTCTTGTTGAAACCTCTTGTGGTTTCAGAAAAGACGGACGGACATCCGGACGGACATAGCGGCGATTTTATGTTCTTCCTTCGGGGACTTATAATCTATATTTACCCACAGCTTCTGAAACGAATGCTCCATGGTTGCAGCGATGGACCCTTCAAAACAAGATCGATCATATAGCAGTTCAGTTGATTGAAAATTTTAATTTATAATATCTAGGACGGTCAACAAGTCGATCAATAAGTCTTCTTATATGCTTATATGATAATCTTCAAAACTTCACATCTGTCCTGTACAAAACCCGGGGCAGGAGGAGGGGGTGATCTTTTCCATTTCTCACCACCTATAATTGTTGCGATGAACAATTAAATGACAACATGACGACTGTTCACGACTGGCGCATTGTCTCATCATGCTTAGCAATCCGCCATTAAATGGCACATTTAAGTGACATTCTTTACATTTTAAAGCTGTCAAGTTGAGTTGAATTAGTGATATATTTCTAAATATTGACTATTATAATGTTGATTGATCAATAATTGATAATGAAAAGTATGTATTATACAATATAAACAAGAGCTCTGTCGACTATTCTTAGTGCTTGATAGTAAAAGCATTGATAATGTAAAATTTTCTAAGTTAACGAACGAGTAAGTATTTTCTTTAAATCCATGTTATAGTTATAGGCCTTGGAGAGAGTCCTATTATGCTCCCAAAGAAGAGTATAAAATTTCAACTTGTTTCAAAGCCAGATGTCAATAGAATATGAAAATGTGTGAGGTAATATGCAATCTTAATTGTAAGTTCTAAGTTGAAAAAGGGGCATTATTCTGCCAAATGCTAGAAACGAAGCTAGCTGTCTACAGGATGGCGTCATGATGGTAAACAAGTGTGCAAAGTTTCAAAGCCATATGCCAATGGACTTTGAAAATATTTGAGGTGTTACAAAAACTTTAACGTAAATTTTAAGTCGAAAAAGGGGCATAATTCCGTCAAAATGCTTGATATAGTTACCTCCTCCTGACTACAGGTTGGGGTTATGATGGGGAACAAGTGTGCAAAGTGTCAATGGACTTTGAAAATATTTGAGGTATTACAAAACTAAACGTAAATTCTAAGTCGAAAAAGGAGCATATAATTCTGTCAAAGTGCTTGATACAGTTACCTCCTCCTGTCTACAGGTTGGGGTCATGATGGTGAACAAATGTGCAAAGTTTCAAAGCCATATGTCAATGGACTTTGAAAATATTTGAGGTATTACAAAAACTTTAACATAAGTGGTTACGCCGGCACCGATGCCGACGCCCGGGTGACTACAATAGCTCTACTTATTCATATCGAATAGTCGAGCTAAAAACTACATTGATTGTAAAAAAAGAATACCCCACTCTTTTAAATAATTAAGCGTTACCGATACATTCTGAACGGTATTTATAGAAAATATTTCACAGTAAAATGTAAAATGGAACACAATAGGTTGCTTCTTTAAAAAGCCGCATGCGAAAGGTCTTTTGATTTGTTAGTTTGTTTAAATGGCGGGAAAGTAAGAATTTCTGATTGGTCGTATTGCATCTCCGAACAATAGCATACATTTCCGCCAGTCTCCGGATACGCTCTAATTAGGAATAATCAGCTGGCTGTTCCGAAGTTAAAGGAGCAACAAACTTTCGGTACATGGTTTACGAGGATATATAACAGTGTTTGGTGATAGTGTAGCTATTGTGTTTACTGTTACTAATTTTAGAAACATAAAAAAGTAAAATGCTTTTCAGAAAACAATAATCAACTTATACAATTTAAAGGGTTAAAACGGAAAGAACCATTGTTCATAATATAGTGTTCATTGTAGCGTAAATGGTATTTCCCGATTCTTCCTGTAACCGATTTGTTCACCTCGATGTTAATTTTTCGTTTTTCAGTGAAGTCCTATTTCGAAAAGAAGCATGCGCGTTACAACTTTTGTAGACTGGTTCTAATGGTTTTATACTTGAAATGAGATTAATTAACTTCAATTTGACATTAAAAAAATGGATGCCTCCAGTAATCACTCTCAACACTGCGGAGACCTCTCCAATAAAACCTCCATGTAAGACCTTGGTTTTTAAGCCAAGTTATTTGGAAATCCCTTATTCCAAGCCAAATCAACAACCCGGTGTGACTTATTATGACATTGACAATTTTGCTATTTTCTATGTTTTTACTTGTTTGATTGGGAGAGGTTATTTCGTGTTTATAAATGTAAGAAACTTATTTCTTTCAGCTTGTTCTGCTTTAGAATTTCCAAAGGATAAAGAAAATGACACCGCCTGTTACAAGACTGAACAATGTCATTCTCATCAATTAGATACTGAACTCGATGAAAGGCAATATTAAAATTCATATTAATGCCAAAAGGAGAAATAAATTTCTATTCAAAAATGCTTATAAGGTTTATCGGCAATATTGATCATTTCTTGAAATGCGAACGTGACTGGTCGATAAGTTAAAGCTAGGAATTCTGAATAGGCTTTGTTTTACACAATTTAGGCCAGCTAGGTGATATTATTTGTATATTTTGGTATCATCTGTAGTTTTTAAAGTGTTTCATTTGCCTCAAACATCTACACTTACATAACGAATCATAATCTAATGCTTCATACATGTAAGTACTGGTATAAGTCAACTAGTAGATAAAGTTGTAATATTTGAGCGTAGAAATTAAAATTATTTATTTAAATGATGTCTTTAAATAACATTTTTATTGTGATGAGTGTGGATGCGGGTGAGAGGGATTACGTCATACCACACTATAAAGGTCATATGGTGGAGGAATACCTCAGGTGCCTTCTGTACATTATTTCAGACACGAACGTGAACCGACTTTTCGTTACCTAGCTGGATGGCTTCCTCACATGAAAAGTCCAAAGTCCCTAGCGGGATTCGAACACACGGTGATTAGGGGCAAGTGGTTTGAAGCAATAGACTTTAAAGGTTCGCCCTCGGACGCCCTTCCTTAAATCTCATACATTAAATTTAGAACAAACAAACCGGCTATTAAATTTCAGAAAAAAAAATTAACTGGAGTAATTTGGGGAAAATCGTGTTATATAGTTTTTGTCTTTATTTAACATATCGATATACAAATGTTGTCTCGGATAAAAATATTGTCTGATTTTACAAATTTTGTCAGGAATACAAGACATGTATGATGTCCGTAGTACAAGTTTTGAATTGGATTGGATGCCTTGTTTTCATATTCGATGACTGTGTAAGGACTAAGGTTTTGATAATGATAATAATAACAATAACAACAACAATAAAAAGATAATGATAATGAAAAATCTTTACTTCAAGAAATTAACGTATAGAAGTACAAAGTTTGAATAAAAAAGAAAAGAAAATTGAACAATTCATTACAATAATAACAATAATAAAAAAAATAAGAATAACAATTAGAAAACAACAACAACAACAACAACAGTGATACGATATGCGTCAGTGCGTGAGCATGTATGCGTATGCATGCGTATATGCAAGCGTGCGTAAGCATGCGTGGGTGTGCATGTGTGTGATACGAACACTGTCTAATACAAAAGTGTTGACTGGTATACAAATTTCGTCAGGTTTACAAGTGCTGTCTTGAATAAAGTATACTAACGATATTTGGGATTCAACTGGGTTTTTTAATACAAATTCTGTCTTAATAACAATGTGGATATAGGTGTTGTATGCATGTTATTCAGTTGTTATCTGGGATAAAGGTTTTGTCTGGGATACAATTGCTAACTCAAATGTTATTGGACACAAGATGCAACTGGTGAATAAATATATATCGAATATTATATATTGTTGTATGGGATAAAATATTGTCTTGTCTTGAATATTATTGTTTTATCGGATAAAGAATTGTCTAAAATATTATGTTTATATGTGATACAATTGTTGCCTGGCATATTCGTATTGTGAACTTCACAAATGTTTAACATGGTACATACATAATGTATTGGTTATACTTTTTCAAACAATTTAATTCATGTTGAATATAATTGTATTCAACAACAAAAATAGTTTGTCTGTCGCAAACTCAATATTTAGTTTTTGCATCCGTTACGGGACACATATGTTAAAGATTAGCAGTTTCATTACTAGATAAAACATTCAATCCACACATGTTTTAAAAAAGCAAACTACTGTGAAAAACAGATGATAACATAAGAAAAGCTTTTGCTTAAGGACTTTAAAAACACTTTCTTAAAATTCCTTTCACACACTAAAATGAGACGCACTGCGGTCCTAAAGCATGATTTATGTAATAAAAAGTCAGCAAAGGACCACGACGCTATGATACCTAACACATAAAAAACTCCTGAACTTATTCTCGCCGAGACGAATATTCCAATTACAAGTTAATCTAAAATAACACAGACACTTGGGGTTTGGAGTTCAAAACGCCTTTCAAATCCAAATAAAATGCATATTTGTCAATCCAAGCACATGTACTGAACATATATATCAAAAAAACTTAATATAAGCCGTTTTGAAAAAAAAATTCATATTTCAACATCTATAATATTATAGATGTTGATATATGATTTTTTTTTTCAAAACGGCTTATATTAAGTTTTTTGGATATATATGATCAGTACATGTGCTGGGATTGACAAATATGCATTTTATTTGGATTTTAAAGGCGTTTTGAGCCCCAAACCCCAAGTGTCTGTGTAAAATAAGGGCGGTGGCGCTATTTTTTACGTTTGGGACATAATTTATCTTTGTTGAGGTCAACTAGAAAATCATACAGCTCAATGCCACATAAAATGATTTAAATGTGTTTTCCTTTCTAAGGCTATGAAAGTGGTCCCAAAGGACCCTAGAGCTATCAATAATTAAAGTTTGTAGAAAACACTAAGACAATGCCCCAGACAAAATATCAAGGTCCTCGTCATCATTTCCGATTGGTAGCTTTTAATACATTTCCAAAACGATCACAGGTAGAGGCAATATCGTTATTTTCATCATTGAAATTCTTTTGAAATATTTCATTTTTCTAACTATTGCGCTACTCGAAAATCCACATATTTTATGCTATCAAAGAGCTATGGGTTGTAGAGCTTTGTCCTATTTTTGAAAAAATAATATTCATTTTTCGAAATCAGAGTAAACCATTTCCGATGACATTATTAAGTTAGTGGAACAACTTAGAGTATGGCCACTTTATTGAGCACTAAAAGGAACTCAAAAATTGACACCATAGGTCAGATATATGTTTTAAAGGACACCTGTATACGACGTTTCTGTACGGTGTACGCGTTATTATATGAAAACTTCTGACGTAAAATATGGGTATTATTAGTTTTGAAAACTCTTTTTCAGATATGAGAAAACTCTAAATAATCTATAATATAATCCTTATAAAAAATGTTTTCAAATTGATTATTGTGAAGAGACAAATATTAGCATTCAGAAATTGCACAAGCAACATGATTGCTTCTGAAGTATGTATAAAATATTACCCTACACCACCCATTTGAATACTCTTCAGAAAAGAGTGGTCATACCTTTTAAACGTGTCATAAAGTGATATTCTTTCAATGTTTGATAAATGGTTTCATTCAAATTGCATAAACTGTGATATTCTTCATTTTTCAGAGATCTTGTATCTGAGTGACATTGTTCATCATAAGTCTACATAATGTCATAAGGTTTCCAGGATGTTCATAAATTAAATGTTGCTTGCAGTAATCGAACTACATACAGTGAATATTGAAAGGTAAAACTCTAAATTTAACTCAGTGTTGACTGACTAATTCTACGAAGCATGAGACTGAAGAACCCCGCGGTAGATATGAGAATAATCGCAAAGAAGACAATAAAACAAATGGTGTCCAACCGTTCAAGAAACATACCCCAAGTGTATGTGTCTTCGTCAGCATCATCGTCCTCATATATATCGGTATCACTAACTTCCGCAGACTTTACATTGACAACTCCTTCTATTGTATCAATGGTCGGCATGACTTTGTTTCGAGGATGTTTCTTTTTGTTTCTGAGACAACTGATGCTGCACTCTTTATTCCCAATGCTTGACATGAGCTTTGCCTGAATAATTGTATACAGGACAGAGAGGACACTCATAAACAGTAGGACGATAATAAACAAGAGAAAGTAGGAAACCTGGAGAGAGTTATCTGGTAGGGTGTCACTGACAATAGTGACGAAAATACCATACGATAAAAAGATGGTGATAGCAAATGAACCTTTTTCACCAGAGCCAATGGGAACTAAGAATATACAAATGTTCAAAAACGCCAGCATGAGTAATGGCATGATTAGGGTAAAGGTGGCGAAGTTTGCTCTGCGCTGGAGTTTAAACTCGACATCGATGTGGTACGTGTTGTACAGAAGATAGCGTCGTTTGTTCACACTCATTATACTCCAGGCAGAATTTTCTGTGAACTCGTCCAATCTAACATCTTCCGGGTGGTCCAACACTACTGTTGTGATAGTTTCATCTGATACATAATATGTAATTGTACATACTTGCTCGTCAAATGGGTAGTACTGAATATCCACGTGACATACAACGCTGTGAGGAAACAAAGAACAACAATTGAAAGAAATTCTAAGATTATATTAATTACTTACATAAATAACATATATATAATGCCTCGCAATTGCAAATGTGTTGGTACAGGAAAAAAGAAAATAAAAAAACTCCTTGCACATGATGCTCAGTTATTTGTTATGAAATATAGTATAGAATATACTATATTATTGACGTTAGTACATAAGATACAATGCTATGAAAAATAGAAAATAAGTACCACTTTATGAAAGTAAGTAAAAAGACTGTCATGAAGGTAAGTAAATAAAGAGCTATGGTATCAAAGTTAGAAAAACAAGGACTATGTTATGACATATAGAAAAGAAGAGTCTATAGTATAAAAGTTAGTAAATAAAGGACTAGGGTATGAAAGTTAGTAAATTAAGAACTATATACATGTGTATGTAAGCCTTAATTATTATTAATTGCTAACTATTAATTATTGTTGCAATATAACATTGATACAGAAATATCTATCTCAAAGGCATAAAGGTTTATAAACAGTCAATTTACGATTTAAAATATTTCAATAGTAATATAAGGAATAATTGTTGTTTATAATTATTTTACCTGTAGATACCCTCTGGCACCCATTGAACAAATCCATCGGAAGATATTTTAGAAATATCTGTATTAGCACTGCCAACAACACCATCTCCATCAAAAGCCTGACAATTTAACAATTGTAATCATTTAAACAAAGTAGTCGGTAAATTGTGTTTGATATATTAGCCGCGTCATGACAAAACCAACATAGTGGGTTTGCGACCGCTATCAGTTTCTCTACTTGGTATACGGTTTGTAAGCGAATAGCATGGATCCTGATCAGACTGCGCGGAAGCGCAGGCTGGACTGGATTCATGCTGGTCGCAAACGCATTATGTTGGATTTGTCATGGAACGGCTCATATAAACATTGGTGTATAATTGTATCTTTTATAGTAAAGCTCGGACAACTTTTTCTATCTTAACCGATGTTCCTAATCTCGAATTTGATTGGCTTACACACCTCGGGTCATATTTACTAGTATTCAGGCTATATTATCCCGTATATCCCGTCAGCAACTTGTATTAATAAAAAAATAAGGGAACCTGTGGCCTAGTGGTAGCCTGGGTTCCAGTCTGTCGATTTTTTTATGTGCTTCTGTTCGGCAAATCGACAAATACTATCAAAACCAGAGATGTTGTGTTATCTATGACGATCGAGTATGAAATAGCGCGTAAGTTATGAATAAATAAAAAAAATATCAACGCCTGAATCCCAGGCTAGCCTAGTGGTTAAGGTGTCTCCCTCTAAACCCAGCGGTCATGGGTTCGAACACTTACCGGGTCACAACCTGACACCAATACTGGTTGGTTCCAGGAAGTGGACTCGAAAGTGATTAATATAAGTTTCACAATCGAGCCTTTAAATATATATGTTTAAACCAATAAATAATGTATACGTTTCTGAATAGACTTATCTTTCTCTTGTAATTTCCAAAAAGAATACCCCACTTACCTTTAAAATGATAATACTTGGGGTCCATATTTCATACACGGGTATTTTTACGTAGTTAGTTTCTGCATAATTACTCGGGTTCCATGTAATAACTTCATCTTGCCAACGTAGACGGAAATAACCGAGAATAGAAAATTTCTGTTCGGATGTGTCAAACTCTAGAAGACTCTGAGGAACGAAAGTTGAGTTCACGTTGACAGTTTGTGACTGATCAACACGTGGTCTGATTCTCGTGTCATACCTATTTTCACATAATATATAATGATATATATATTTATAATTGATATTTAGGCTATTTATTTACACTATAGAACAATGCTTTTTAGAAAAATATGCCATCACAATCCTATGGGCTTTGTTCTAAAGCAGGAGGTTTTTCAATTACATTTATAAAAACGAATATTAAGAAAATTTTCATTTGCAAGAATTCATGTGCGGCTTTTCTTTATATGTCTATGTCAATTATCAGTATATGTCTAGGTCAATCATCCGTATGTGTCTAGGTCAATCATCCGTATATGTCTAGGTCAATCATCCGTATATGTCTAGGTCAATCATCCGTATATGTCTAGGTCAATCATCCGTATATGTCTAGGTCAATCATCTGTATATGTCTAGGTCAATCATCTGTATATGTCTAGGTCAATCATCTGTATATGTCTAGGTCAATCATCCGTATATGTCTAGGTCAATCATCCGTATATGTCTAGGTCAATCATCTGTATATGTCTAGGTCAATCATCTGTATATGTCTAGGTCAATCATCCGTATATGTCTAGGTCAATCATCTGTATATGTCTAGGTGAATCATCAGTATATGTCTAGGTCAATCATCCGTATGTGTCTAGGTCAATCATCTGTATATGTCTAGGTCAATCATCAGTATATGTCTAGGTCAATCATCAGTATATGTCTAGGTCAATCAACCGTATGTGTCTAGGTCAATCATCTGTATATGTCTAGGTCAATCATCAGTATATGTCTAGGTCAATCATCCGTATATGTCTAGGTCAATCATCCGTATATGTCTAGGTCAATCATCCGTATATGTCTAGGTCAATCATCCGTATATGTCTAGGTCAATCATCAGTATATGTCTAGGTCAATCATCAGTATATGTCTAGGTCAATCATCAGTATATGTCTAGGTCAATCATCAGTATATGTCTAGGTCAATCATCAGTATATGTCTAGGTCAATCATCAGTATATGTCTAAGTCAATCATCAGTATATGTCTAGGTCAATCATCCGTATATGTCTAGGTCAATCATCAGTATATGTCTAGTGCAGTCATCTGTACAAACATCAACATATGTGAAGTCCATTTATAAGTATTAAATCTCCAATTCTATGTCTATTCCGATGTTACTTCTTTTTTATTGACATGAATAAACTTAAATTCACTGCACAACTCGGAAACATATACAAGATATTTATAGATAATGCGTTCTCAATTTACATTTTATTTCAAAGCTAAAGAAATTGATTCCCATCAATATATTAATATCAGATACATTGATTAGACAGATGTTCTCCAAGTTCCATAAATACAGCTGCACACGCGCCCGCGCGCACACAAGTAGATCTACAAGTACTAAAATGTATATTTACTCCTTTAATACATCTGAAAACAATGTCTTCATCCCCTCAAGGTCTGATCCAACCTTGTCATCTTCGTAATCCTGTGGCATATCAGGTTCCATTACAGGTGGTTCCTGGCAAATCCCGGGAGTTACTCCTTCATGAAAAATCATCAGTATAAGAAGCCACGACAACATTGTTGAGTAATGCTCGTTGTATGTGTTTTTCTCTGACAACGTTATCTTCATTTATATGGACACCGTATGTCTTTGATTGGTCGACACATTTCTCGATCAATGATGTAACTTACCGTATAAACTATTGAAATATTCAGGTTGATTTTTTTATAAACTACAGATCAGCACATGTAAAATAACGTGCTTGTAAATTCTGTAGTTCCTACAAACAATTGCAATAAACCATAAGCCAGACAGCAATTGACAGCCGTTCATTTTCCCAACGATTATCCTTATATATGCATTCAGGGTCATTCAAATAGAAATTTCTATTTGAAAGACCCTGCTGCATTGTAAACAAAAGTTTTTTTTTTTGTTTTTGTTTGTTTTGTTTTGTTTGGTATTTAGGCGAACCAATACAGTATACATGTAGGTCAGTAAGCAAGATCATGGAAATTGCGCCATTTTTAGTATTATTTTTTTTGTTTGTCATATAGTGTTTTTGGCTAGGCTTAGTGATAATGTGCGACTTATAAGTTGATTGTTATACTACAATGCCATGTCTACCGGCACTTTTTGTTCGTACAGTTATTTTTTCTTTTTTACAAATTCTATCAGAATGCGCAATATTCCTATTATAATAAACATTTTGATCAAGACAACATCCGATCATTGGATCATTGTTTCAAAATTGTACCATAACCATCCAATATATTCCTATATTGGACGCTGTAAAATCCAATATAATTATCCTATATGGGACAGTTAATTGCGTCTGGTCTTTTCATATAAGTCGTTAACGTAAGAATTCTACTTAGAGCGTGGGGGGGTGGGGGGTCCGTAGCAGAGTGGTTAAAGTCGTTGATACCAAAACACTGAAATACCCATCGCGATAGCGTCATCGGGTCCTTTAATTTGTGAAAACTATCCATCTAGCTAATGGAACATCGCCGGTTCTAATCCACTGCTCGTTTGTGCCTGAAAGGGAACCTGCAGGATGTTTTCCTTCACTGGTAGAGCTGGGATCTGTACTGTCTTAGTATGACGTAAAACCCAACAAAAAAAATGTACATCGTATCTTAACAAATTTGAAACGTTTTTTAAAAGGGAAAATCGGCATGCTATTCGATCCTCAAAATTTGCTTGATAGTCACAGATTTGTCTTGCCATAAATCAATGAGTCAGTCCTTTGTTTGTTTGTTTTTGTTTTTTTTTGTAGAAATTTTCTTTTTTGTGGTTTCGTCAAAACATCTAGCATATCTCCCGCATAATGTGCTCAGAACAACAAATACTATTGACCAGTAATAACATAATATAATGTAATGTAATAATGTAAAATATCATCCAAATGTCCGATTGGTATATTCTTTGGAAATCAGCAACGAAGAAAGGGAAATTCGGACTATCGCACATTAACATAATTAAATCAGACTTCCAACATTTTCAGTTTTTGCCAAGCAAAGCGACATCAGTGCTACCTGTGCCATATTAAATACTGTAACATCCGGGTTTTTTTTACAACCAGAGCTTATATATTTCCGATCCAAGCAGGTAGTTCAGCATGACGTGCTCGTATCGTGCTATGGTATCTTTTTGTTCTTCAATTTTCATTATTCTTATTCTTTAATTCTTGTAGTTTAAACGCTGTATCCTTCTTTCTAAGTTAGGTCACAAGAAAAAACGGTCAGAGCATACACGAATGCCTATGTTTTAAGGGGCAAATTATATCAGCTGTTTTAATGATTTTTATATATAAAGTGATTAATTAGAATTTTGCGAATTGAAATAAAATTTTCAGTATAAACGGTAAATAATTCTTCTTTGGATTTTAGGTAACACCGGCCATAGAATACGCCACTATTTACGGAAATCGAACTGTCCAGTTGTGAAGTACAATGTATTAATGTTTACAGGAATATACTTTTATATTAAGAGATAAAGAATAAATGTGAACCCCGTGTGGGATAAATAAAAATATAAACAATTGAGTCAATCAATAAAGGGTATTTCAATAGAAAACATAATTTTAAATGAAAGACCCTGGTGAATATGCGAAATACCGGTACTAGATATACAAATCATTATCAAATCGATTAATTAGCTGGACCGGAGTTCGATGTTTCCCCGTATCATTGTTTACAGGCAACATTAGGTTCTTAATTTCATTCAGAAGTCTTAAATGACGTCTTTATCTCAATAAATTTGTATTTGTTTTACTTTCTATCATACTGTTTAGGAAATAGATATCAATTCTTAGTGCATTGTTGTAGAATAATGCACGGTTTGAGTTCAAATGCGTGAGAACATATAAGCACTAGGGCCGATAGGCCTGAGTGACTTATTACAAAGGGTTTGAACGAAAAACCGTGCATTATTATCAATACAAAATTCAACAAAAAGCTGGTTTTTAACAAAATGGTACCGTCGTGATATAATTCCTCCCATCTCAACTCCAAACAGTGTTTTTATAAAGCGATAAAATCACTGTTTCAGATATATATTATTCCTTAAATATATTACACTTTCGGCCTTCTTTGTTTATTTGAGAAATCTCCGATAGTGTTAGAATTTACATTTTAACTAGAATTGCCCACTGTCACGGCGTGAATACCCCCGCATACCACTTTGTCAGAATCAACAGTGGTCATTTAGAGCTCAAGGACAACCTCCCTGTCAAATCTGAGGTTACTAAGCCAGTACATTGCTAAGTTATGTATTCCACAGGCTTCAAAATGTCAAAATCAAAACACTGCGGATAGGCATTCTTAAGCATTTGAGTAGACATTCTTATTATAGTAAAAATCCTTGTGACCTTGGACACCTATAAATCAATAGGGGGTCATCTTCTTGTCATAAACAAGCTCAATACCAATATTCAGACCGTTGACCAAAGCATTCTTAAGCAATTGGGCAGAAAAGCTTTATTTAGTCAAGGCCCCTGTGACCTTGACCTTTGACCCAGTGACCTCGAAATCAATAGGGTCACTTAATAGTCATGATCAACTTCCATGCCAAATATGAGACTGTGGGTCAAAGGTTTCTTAAGTTATTGGGAGGACATTTTTTTAAATCAAAGTTCCTGTGACCTTGACCTTGACCCAATGACCTCGAAATCAATAGGGGTCATCTACTAATCATGACTTACCTCCATGCCAAATATGAAGACTGTGGGTCAAAGGAATCTAAAGTTATTGGGAGGACAAGCTTTTTTAGTCAAGGTCCCTGTGACCTTTGACCCAGTGACCTCAAAATCAAAAGGGGTCATCTACTAATCATGACTAACCTCCATGCCAAATATGAAGACTGAGGGTCAAAGGAATCTTAAGTTATTGGTGGACAAGCTTTTTTTAGTTAGGACCCTTATGACCTTGACCTTTGACCCAGTGACCTCAAAATCACTAGGGGTCATCTACTTATCATGGCTAACCTCCATGCCAAATATAAAGACTGTTGGTCAAAGGAATCTTAAGTTATTGTGCCAAAAAAAAATTTAGTCATGGCCCCTGTGACCTTGACCTTTGACCTGGTGACCTCAAAATCAATAGGGATCATCTGCTAATCATGACCAAACTAAATACCAAATATGAAGACTGTGGGTCAAATCTTAAGTTTTTGGGTGGACAAGGAAAAACTGCCGGACGGGGGAGACGGACAGACAAGCTGATTTCAGTATACCCCCCTTACAACTTCGTTCTGCAGGGGTATAATGATTTAAATGTTTGACTTTATGCATTATACATTGAATATCTTCTGAGACATGTTAATCGCAGAGAAAGCATGCAATGTGACAATATCAAATCATCGGAAGTACGTAGGTTTTGTTGTCATGTCGTAACTCAAACCAGGGAGAGAATGGTCGCTAGTATGAATTAAAATATACCAGTATAAATAAATAAATATATGCTCTCGATTATTATAAGGGTTTGTCTGAAATTGTAAGTGTTTAAAATTTCAAAGTTTTCCTTAAGTAAGTGTTAGTACAAACTAGAACTCCGCGAGTCGGATGTGTCGCCTTGTGAACAATATAGTTTAGGAGAAATGCCCACGACAAAAATGAAATTTGAAAATCAACAAAGGGCAATAACTCAAAAAATAAGAAATGCAGAGCAGCAGTTTCTGTGCACTGCACTTCTTATCAATAAGATCTATCATCCTATTAAGTTTCAAGTCTAAAGCTTTTATAATTTATGAGAAATGGCCTGGACAAAAATAAAGTATGAAAATTAACAAAGGGCAATGACTCAAAAAATAAGAAATGCAGAGTACCAGTTCTTGGGCACTGCACTTCTTCTTAATGAGATCTATCATCCTATAAAGTTTCATGTCCATAGCTTTTATACTTTAGGTGAAATGGCCCAGACAAAAATAAAGTATGAAAATTAACAAAGGGCAATAACTCAAAAAATAAGAAGTGCAGAGTACCAGTTCTTGTGCACTGCACTTCTTCTTAATGAGATCTATCTGCACTTCTTCTTAATGAGATCTATCATCCTATGAAGTTTCAAGTCTATAGATTTTATACTTTAGGAGAAATGGCCCGGACAAAAATAAAGTATGAAAATTAACAAAGGGCAATAACTCAAAAAATAAGAAGTGCAGAGTACCAGTTCTTGTGCACTGCACTTCGGGTCATTATAAGAAGCATGCATACCAAGTTTGAAGTCAATCCAACTTATAATGACTGACTTATGCTCTGGACAAGCTTTAGGGGACGCCGACGCCGACACCGACGCCGCCTTTATGTCGCCTTTTTCAAGGCGACACAAAAAAAATCACCAAGTTTTGAGTCGACAAAGGCACATTTTATTGCAATTCCTTACAGAATTATGCCCTCAAGTCTGGAAGTTGGGATGACGGTCACGAATTGGCATCGAAGTAGAACCACAGTTATTCTGTAGGCTAGCTTTCTCACATGAAAGAACAAGTGATGGACTAATGGAACGTGAGCAAACTCCCTTGCAGGATTCAAACCCATAACAGTGAGAAGCAAGTGGTTTCATCGACCCTTACCACTTTACCATGGACATCTCCATGAGGTCAATTATCAAGCCATTTGAAAATAAAATCTTGTGTACAGTTTGTGCTCAAATCAACAAAATACAAAAACACAAGTGATTTTTAAGAATATAATTATTTGATGAGAGTGAAAAAAAATAAATAAATAAAAGTAATCATCCTATGAAATTACAAAGAAAATTCTTTAATATAAAAATAAATTATAGAACAGAAATAGAATATATTCAGAATTCAAACATTAATTGTTGTATATTTATACAGTATTATCTTTATATCTTTTTTTAAATAAATTAAATTAAATAAAATTAAGTAAATAACTTTGATCCAAAACATAACTAATTCATAAACAAAAATCTATAGGAACAGTATTACAAATGAGTTACCTCCAAAACAGATCCCCCATAGCACAATACCTGGACGGAAATTTGACTATGCAATTTTAAAGGTCCAATTAAAACAGTACTTAAGTTTTCTGTAGAAATTGTGACCAATGATTTAAATCACAGTGACCTTGACTTCTTTTACCTGTTATACCTACATATTTCAAAAGGGGCATGTATCTATTCTGTGCAGACATTTAATATGTGAAGTCCAAATTAAATGATGAGTCAAGTTATTGTTTAGAAAAAAAATGTATTTAAATCTTAAGTCAGTGTGACGATTCAAAAAAATGGAGTAGGTCATTTTAAGTTTGAAGACTGTGGGTAAAACAGTTCTCTGTTCTTTTCATGACCTTTTTCTTTGACCTTTTAACCCTTATTATGACGGAACATGATAACTGGGAAGTGTAAAAATGTACATACATTGAGATTTTGTAAGTCACCACTGACAGTTTATTATACTTGATCATCAAAAATCTATAAAGCTGAACTTAAATGTAACCAGTATTTAATACATTTGATTTGCCATGTTTTAACTATCAATTTACCACAGTAACTATCGAAGAAGACACCAATTTAACATCAATATCTAAATGTCCACTTTATATTGGCCAGTGTAAATCCTGAGGAAAGAGAAGAAAATCGCAGAGTTATTCAGAAAATGTGGAAGTATTCATCACTGGTGGTTCACACAGGAATGTGATTTAACAGAGTTCTATAAAGCATACATCTCTATACAGGTGTATGACATAACGGGCATGTCTGTCGCTGAGCGATCTCCGACTCGTATGCCCGATGTTTACAAGCACTACACATCCAGAACTGGTACTCCATTAACGGCTTCCCAGTTACGATACATGTTGGGAACTTTGTATCACAGCTTGGACATGCATTAGACCTGAAATATAAGAAAATAACTTATATGAGCAGCGTCATGACAAAAACCAACGTAATGCGTTTGCGACCAGCATGGATCCAGACCAGTCTGAGCATCGGCACGTCTGATCAGGATCCATGCTGTTCGCTTACAAACCCTATTACAAGTAGAGAAACTGCTAGCTACAGCATGGATCCTGATCAGACTGCGCAGATGCCCAGACTGGTCTGGATCCATGCTGGTCGCAAACACATTACGTTGGTTTTGTCGTGATGCAGCTCAAATATAATCTTGCCATCCATGCAGTAAGACCAGGCTCTAAACTGTTGGCTGACCAACTTTAAATTTTCTTCAAATCTTGACTTCCCGAGAATTGATAATGCACAGATCCAAAGTAAAAACTGGACAAGTCCATGTAAGAAATACAGCAGTATAAGGGTAAGTGAAAAGAAGATGTTTTCAAGATTTTCACTATCTAACAGAAAGACCAGGTTTGTTACTGAGCCATCACTCATTCTAGAGGAGCATAAAGTCGTGCTTATAACAAAATTAAATGTGATATATCTCTTTTTGTTTTTGTTGGTTTTCCGCTGCACCAACACAATAAAGGTTCATATGGAAACTTTCTGGCATTACTTGTGTAGGAAGTCATCAGGTGCACCTCTGTGCATTTCAGGCACAAACAGGCACCTGAGTAAAACTACTATAAGTACTAGCCAGTACTTTCATGGAAAAGTCCACACTTTATGCCACATTGCTAGATTACCTTACACTCATCTGAAGTTTTGTTTAGTGAAACTAAACTGTGAAACAAGTTCTCCCAATTTATGTTAATCACTTTCAAGTCTGATTCTTTGAACTACCTATTACTGGTGTCATGACACCTTGAACTACATTAACTCCTAAATATTTAACAGAGAAATTTGAAATTGGTTTCATTGACTTATCAATTTTAACTAACAGCTTATTTCTTTACCTCAGTTGAAGTTTGTTCTATTAAATAAATAAATAACAATTCAACAAGTCATTCCTTATTCTTTAGAGTAACTTAAGTGACTTTTTAAAAGAATTGACTGCTTTAATTTGAAGTGTTTACACAAGGTTGGTTTAAAATTGAAATTTAAATGTTAATATTAAAATAAACCGTCGATATTGGCATTCCAAATACATTCAAACAATGCTTGTGTACAAAATGGAATCAAATTTCTGCGGAGAAGAAAAAAAACAAATAAACAGTTCACTGTAAACTTCAATTGAATAAAAAGAGAATATTTCATTGAATCAATAATGATTCTGTCTGTACCATTCTATTAGTTTTACCTGGGTCTTTAAAATAGAAACCCAATTTGAAACACCCAGGTTTTACAAAGTGTTTCATAATACTTATTTTAAAGAGAAAAAAGATAAACAAAAAGAGATAACCAGTACAACCATTGCTAAATGATTGAATCAAACAGAACAAATAAAACAATTAACAACCAAACAAATTAATAAATTCAATTATATTTCAACAATTTCAGACCTGTTCACTCCTCTGGCACCTAAATTTTCTTCCTTTTTCCTTAATGAAATAACACTAACTTATTATTCAACCTGTTTCCAAGTTTTAGTATAAAAGTATACATTTCCATCTACATATATAAGTTTGTGCCTAGCTTTGAATCTATCTTCTTGCATTTTACATATACATTACAGTTCAAAAAGAAATAATTAAAAAATATGTTTTCATTTCAAGCTGCTTTCTTATGTAGAAGTAATTTACAGCTTCTTTCGTAAGTGTAGCAGATTAACATTACTCCAAACATTTGACTCATCTAACACCTAGGTGTAGAGTTGTCATCCATAGAGAAATGATAATAACGTATTGTCAATATTTTCCTACTGATCGATAATCCATACAGATATTTAAAAAATTGATAATTTTGACAAAATATAATATTTCGAGAAAAAAAAATCCCAAACACATATAAAAGCAGATGTGCAACTGAAAGGACGTGTCTAAAACTATGCTGTCATTACATAATGGACATATTTCATAGCAGTGATGATAAAAACATCATCAGGAAAAAATGACATGCAGCCAGAGGTCATTTATTAAGAAAACACAACATAATTATATGCACAGAGCATGTATTTTATATAAAGTATCCTAAAAACAGGTAGAAAAGTGAAGTGTGTATAAGTAAAGCTTGATATATTGCTGAAGCAATTTTCAATATAATCTCAATATGCTTTGAACTGAATCAATTTTAGAGTTATCTTGATCTTAATCTCGAGTCCAAATGAAGCTCTTACTCTGATTTATAAGGTATGTAGTATCATTTCTTGCCTTAAAGACTTGCAACAGCAAAGGATAATGATGGTTGCAGATAAAAGAACAAGAGCTGTTTGTAAGATTGTGCACTTGACTATTCTTAGGGCATAACAGTAAGAAAAGGGGCATTACTCTGTAAATAGGTAACTCAGAGTTATGGGACGGGTAAACCTACCTTAAAAATGCTATTATTAATATTAATAACCAGTACATATCCTAAACACAGTACATCAATTATAATTTCACATATTTATGAAAAACAAAAAACTGTCAATCCATTTAATTTTGTTGGCATGTAATTTCATTGTTTTGTTTTTTTCAAAACCTTATATTTTGGTTCTGAAATTCATGGATTGTCTTTTTTGCAAAACAATAAAAATGCAAATAATTAAGAATTTTAATAGAAATAATCGTACAGCCGAAATGAAATTTTGTTAGATCTTAAATGTATGGCTTCACCTATCCATAAAAATAAGTGCAAAACAAATATTAATGATTTTACAGTAAGATAGATCAGTGTGGATTTTGCAGTAAAAATGATCAGTGACTTTTGCTAAACTTGGAGTACAAATTACTGCTATGATACATGGGAGATTAATAAATCATCATCACTGTGCAGTAGCAGGTTAACTCAAATTGAAATTAAATATGAGTTAACCAATAACTGCACTAAGTATAGTCGTCCGTTTAGCTCAATAGGTAGAGCATTGTGAATCATGTGACCTGGGTTTGATTCCCTAGTGCTGCAGGTAGTGAAATCCTTCATACAGTCATCCGCATTGTACCTCTGCTTTTGAATGAACAGGAGTAATCAGTTCCTTGTGAAAGTGAAGGCAACTAGTACTGGTAAACTGCTCGACAGCCTGATGAGGAATGATGCGATGCGGTGGCTGAACTGTTCTCTGGTAAATTCAATGTGGCTTATTGCCATGATCCGGAGTGAAAACTACCAACAACACCACTGCACTAACTTAAAAATAAGTAAAAGGTAAAATAGGTACAAACCAGTCAGGTATTGTGCTGGAGCAACTTGTACATTCTATTGTTGTACTTCTACTATCTTTTGGACTGTGCCTAGAAGAAAACAACAGTTATTACAGAGTATTGTAATTTAAATGAAACATATTGCACAGCAATACTATTTGTATCTTGTGAAGATAATAACAACTTTTGTACAAAATTTTTACTTTCAGTTAAATCATTTATACTGTCGAGTTTCATTCATATACCTGTTTGTCTGTTTAGCTAAATAGAGATAACATATGATTTGTATTACCAGGGTTGCTAGGCAAGGCTAAACGTTTTCATGAGAATATTCATCTCACTCAGACATTTGGTTATTTGTCTCTCATTGCTGATACAGAAATTATATGGGATAAGTAGTCAATCACTTGTTGAGAAATCAGTTATTACAGGTAAGTTATCACTATAATTAAGTTATTCGTCTATTCAATAATCTATGCAGTAATCCATTCTATACAGGTCTCTCAATGTAAAAAATAAGAAAAGAGAAGGAAAAAAAAAAATTCACATTTTCATTAAATTCTCCAAAATTCTCTAAAACTGTAGCTCCTTTTTGAGTCAAATTTCAGCATCATTTAATCAGAATCAGCACCTTCATCATCATATAATATCATATAAAAGTTGGCATTTCCTATCTTATTCATTGATATGTTATTGACAAACTAGAAATGTGTCCATAGGACACTGATGCCCCCACACGCCACTGTTCTGTCAATCTTATGACTCTAGGTCAAATATTTTTTGGACTACATGTGCCACAAGTTAAAAACTAATAATCAACAAAGGGCTATAATTCTGTTAAATTTGGTCGCAGCAAAAAATCCTTCCTTTACTACCATGTACACATTAAGGTTGTTAATCCCTGGAAGTTTAAGCAAAATCTGCCATCCGGTTTAAGAGGAGTTGCGTTCACACAATTTCTATATAGTATATAATGAAAAAATCAACAAAGTGCCATAATTCTGTTAAATTTGGTTGCAGCAAAAATTCCTTCCTTTACTACCATCTACACATTAAGGTTGTTCATCCCTGGAAGTTTAAGCAAAATCTGCCATCCGGTTTAAGAGGAGTTGCGTTCACAAAATTTCTACATAGTATCTAGTGAAAAAATCAATAAAGGGCCATAATTCTCTTAAATTTGGTCGCAGCAAAAATTCCTTCCTTTACTACCATCTACACCTTAAGGTTGTTCATCCCTGTAAGTTTAAGCAAAATCTACCATCCGGTTTAAGAGGAGTTGCGTTCACAAAATTTCTACATAGTATCTAGTGAAAAAATCAACAAAGGGCCATAATTCTGTTAAATTTGGTCGCAGCAAAAATTCCTTCCTTTACTACCATCTACACATTAGGGTTGTTCATCCCTGTAAGTTTAAGTACAATCTGCCATCCGGTTTAAGAGGAGTTGCGTTCACAAGATTTCGGGACGGACTGACTGACGGACGGACTGACGGACGGACAAGTGCAACGCTATATGCTCCCACATTGTGGGGGCATAAAAAAAATGATCAGAGGACTTACCATATAAGTACTTATTTCTGCGGGCTTAATATTCTACGATTTTTTGTTAAAATTTTAAATTTTAAATTTTTAGGTTTTAAATTTCTGCCGATCTTATTTCTGCGGTGTCATTTATCTCGCATTGATGAGTTTTATTTCTGCGGTTTAATTAATATACATTTGAACAAAATTAGCCGGTAAAACAGGCAATATTTCAAGTTTTGTTAATGTTACATTATTTCCGGTTAAAAACGCAGACAACTGATAATGTGTTTTGTCCTAATCATCATGTATTGGTATATACGTGTTAACAAATAAAAAGAAACAACAACATGCAATGACAACAATTTAAATACTGTATTTGTATAAATATAAAGTGTGAAAAATTAACAATTATTATCATGACAAAAAGGTATCCAGACAATTCCCCTCCCGGACGATTCCCCTCCCAGTAAATTTGAATGTTTTTTCACAACTCGGACATTTCCCCTCCCGTTATTTTTTTACGGCGGACAAATCCCCTCCCGTTCTTTTATCAACCCGGACAATTCCCCTCCCGTTTTTTTAACAACCTGGACAATTACCCTCCCGCTGTTGTCAGAGCGGACAGTTTCCCTCCCATGGCTGTTGAATATATATATTATATAATATTGTTTATTTGAAAGGTATATACATTTTTGCAGCAGCAAAACAATAAAAGAACAATTGATAAGAACAAAAAAGCAATTAAGCTGTAGATTCTTGCAAAGAATATATTATGCACATGTTATAGTAAATTGAACTGTTATCATCGTCATTATGATAAGAAAATCATATTCACCATATTGAATCAGTACATGAAGTCCTAACACAAAATATCAGTGATCATTTTGATTTTATATATGATTGAACACATTTGTAGGAATATTCTCCTTCATTTTTAATTGGTTTTACAATCAAGGACACATTTAATTAAGGGCGGCAATGATTAAAGATTTTTTATTGACAGTTTGTTTATCTTAAGCAGCGGCGGCAATGATTAAAGGCGGTATAATGTCACCTTTGTGAAATAATGATTCTTAAAAGTTCCGATCTTCAACAGTTTATTGTTAAGAGTAAAAACTGTCATTTTTAATAAGATTCAATTCAATTCAATTCAATATTTTATTTGCAATAATCAGCATACAAAATGCCTCTGGCAAAGGTTAACAAACTACAATATATATACAAATCACACATGCATCAAATTACATATAATTGTTATACAGTTGTTACATCATTGCGAAGCTGATTTGGAGAAACAGTAAAGTATATGACATGCACTAACTTACATATTAATTTCATTTCTTTTCAAAAATGCTTCATTTAAAAATTTCGATACATTAAGTAAAGTTGACTGTTTTCTAGTAATAAGAATGGTTATAGATTTTTTTATACGCAATGTGAAAAACAGGAGGGGAATTGTCCGCTTTGCTAAAATAATGGGAGGGGAATTGTCCGCCCTGTAAAATTAACGGGAGGGGAAAAGTCCGCCCTATTAAAATAACGGGAGGGGAAATGTCTGGGTTGTGAAAATAATATGGAAGGGGAATCGTCCGGGAGGGGGATTGTCCGGAATTCTGACAAAAACACACAGAGACACAATATATTGAACAAATACAAAAGGGTATGTTTATTGCAGGTTTTAATGACAATAACAAACAAGGGTCATTTTTGTATCAAGTCTTTGATATTGATATCATTACAATAGTTTAGAAATTTGATAGTTATTATATTTGTATGACGATTTAAATTTACCTATGTCAAAATAGTTTATTTATTGTGTTAGCTTCTCTATGCAGTAAATATTAGACTGTTAATGACATCTCGTGTCATTTTTCACCTTATGACAATTGTATATTATGGCTAAAAGCATTGTAATGCTTAATTGCTAAATAAATGTTGTTGTTGTTGTTAAATAATGTATGTTTTAAAATGAGAAAAATAAAACAGCGATTTAAGCGACGGTATAAACGGAACACAGTTTTAGTATTTAATTGCAATGATAAACACTCTAAATGTTTTTTTTAACTACAGCTAATACAATAGACTCGTCAAACTATCATAGTTATTTTAAAAGCTATTTAACAAACAAATCAAACTCAGGGTGAGAATAACTCGTACAAACATGGTATTAATTTAAACAAAAACAAGGATAGAACATTTTTTCTATTATTCCATTCACGATATAGTAATCATTTTATAACTACAATAAAAGCCCGTAACAATACGAATGTCGATGCAGGATCGTGCCGTAGCAGTTGGAATGTTGAATGGTGGAGCCTCTATCAGACAGGTGAGTGGTTGTTCATGAAAATTTTTTTTTAAAATATCAATAAAGTATTATTTAAATAGAAAATGTTATAATTTATTATTTTCAATGTGTTCATTCTCTTCGAAATAAAATAAAAGTCGTATCTATTGGTATTATTCTTTTTCATATTTCAGCGAAAACTCGGGGTGATCGGTTAGAACTTTTGTTCAGTGTATACAATACCGGTAGTTGAAATATTGTGACACATACATAAAGAAAGTCTTTATTTTCTGCGTTTTTAAATGTGTGGTGTCATTATGAACCGCAGAAATAGTAAAAATAAAGTTCCCGCAGAAAAAAGTACTTATAAAGTATACACAAACATATTTTCAAACAAATGCCCTCAGTCAAAGATATAAATTATCAAAGATATAAAATAAACAACTTACTTGGTAAAAATTTCCAGCGCTAACTCCTCATATTGTTGCCTATGTTCTGGGCTAAGTGTGTCTAATGTCTCCAGCTTTATAAATGCATTAGAACATATCCTGAATGCCCTATTTGCACTTGAAGTCAGAGCTGAAATTAGTCCAAATTATCGGTCAGACAAATTACCAGTTTTATTGATGCACATTTATGTTCATGTATAATGCTTTGTGTTTCAACATATTCTTTATCAATGGATTTTAAGTTGCACAATAAAAGTCACATAGTTATTTTCTTGCTTATAACTTGATAATATTAATGCCTTGTCAGCTCTGACTAGTCCACTTTCTAATCATATTTAATACATTTGGGCCGTGTCACGACAAAACCAACATAATGGGTTTGCGACCAGCATGGATCCAGACCAGCCTGCGCATTCGTGCAGTCTGATCAGGATCCATGCTGTTCGCTATCAGTTTCTTTACTTGTTGTAGGGTCTGTAAGCGAACAGCATGAATCCTGATCAGACTGCGCGGATGTGCAGGCTGGTCTGGATCCATGCTGGTCGCAAACGCATTACGTTGGTTTTGTCATGGCGCGGCTCATTTTAATTTTACCTAATAAAGAGAAGATGTCAGCAGGGTCCAACACATCCTCATATTCTCTCAACCCTATGGCAGTCTTCATAGCCAAATCTACATAACCTGTAGAAATAAAGGCAGACTCAAAATAATTCATATGTCAAATTGTTGCTATATAATAACAAGAGCTGTCACAGGAGACAGCGAAGCTCGACTAATAAAATACTGGACGCAGTAAGGAGGACAAAACTATGAATCAAGGGGAATAATTCTAGAAATAGTCATGCTAGAGTTATGGACCTTGTCACACAACATTTGTGTAATGATAAGAAATATATATTTGAAGTTTGAAGTAGATACCTTAAAAAGTAAAGAAGTTATTATATTTCTTAAAGAAAATCCTAAGTTCAAAGGGAGATAAATCTGTAAATATTGCTTCAAGACTTATGAACATTGTCACATAAAATGTATTTGATGATTAGGAATAAGTATTTGAAGTTTGAGGTAGATACCTTTAAAAATAAAAAAGTTATAATAAAAAATAACATTTTTCTAGTAAAAAAATCTAAGTTTATGGGGAGATAATTCTTGCAATATTGGTGCTAGAGTTATGAACCTTGTCACATAAGATGTGGATGATGATAACGTTAATATATTTGAAGTATGAAGTTGATCCCTTTAGAAATAAATAAGTAACAGTAAAAAAATAATATTTTTTTATGGAAAATTCTAAGTTCAAAGGGAGATAAATCTGAAAATATTGGTGCTAGAGTTATGAACCTTGCCACATAAGATGGGGAGGATGATAACGTAAATATATTTGAAGTATGAGGTTGATCCCTTAAGAAATAAAGAAGAAACAGTAAGAAATAGCATTTTTTTAGGAAAATTCTTAAGTTCAAGGGGAGATAAATCTGAAAATATTGTCGCTAGAGTTATGAACCTTGTCACATAAGATGGGATGATGATAAGGTACATACATTTAAAGTATGAGGTTGATCCCTTAAGAAATAAAGAAGTAACAGTAAAAATAGTATATTTTTTAAGGAAAATTCTAAGTTCAAGCGGGGAGATAAATCTGAAAATATTGGTGCTAGAGTTATGAACCTTGTCACATAAGATGTGGTTGATGATAAGGAACATATATTTGAAGTTTGAAGTTGATACCTTAAGAAATGACAAAGTTATAATGAAAAATATTTTACTGCACCAAAACTTTAATCTAAAATCTGGACGCGGACGCGGACGCCGACGCCGACGCCGACGCCGGGGCGAGTAGGACAGCTCTCCATATACTTCGTATAGTCGAGCTAAAAACTTGTACATTTTATACTGAAACATCAATCTGCAATAATTATTGATCAAGTTTAATATATACATTTGTAAAAAGATTTGCATTTACTTCAAAGAAATATGGATGATATTGCATGAGTGTATGTATTATACTTAATTTATTGAATGAGTTGAATATAATCATATTATGTGATCAATCCTCCAGTGAGCATGATAATGCTTCATTTAAGAAGTTCAATAAATCTAATATTAGAAATTTGCTCCACCCACTTTTTTTAATACAACAATCTGGCTTAAACACTGCAATAAAAATTTTATCCCAATTCCTTCCTGTAACTGTTTTTTCCCAGTAGAAAAAAATGTCCCCTTTCACCCCCACCCCAGCATTTCGATCAATTTGTGTGGTCATTGTGCAGATCCTCCTGGGAAAAAACCCACCCAGTGTGAGTTGCCTATAAAAAAAGAATTTTTTCAATCTGATTTGAAATGTTAGTTTTTAAAAAAACTTGATATATGATATCATACTATAATTTGGGAAACTCATATATAATGGGAAAAAGCCATGGTGTTTTACCAAGGTTTTTTTATCAAATGCCCTACCTGTCTTTTTGTTGTTTTTGTTTTGGGGAGGAGAAAATTTTTTGTTTTAGAACTATGTTACTAATAAAAATAAAAAATAAACTGGTAAAAGATTATTTTTTTTTTGGGTATCGAAGGGTTTTTAAAGGGTTTTTTACAAATTTTTATCACTGTTAAATTGAATAAAAACATTACATTAACATTTAAACACTACACATTGAGTTACAGCTTGATCGACTGTCAATTGGATACAAACATAAGACTGCTTGTCCAGTTTGAAGTTGTTTGTCCCGTTACATAATGTCCCAGTAATAAGTTAAGACTACTTTATTACATGCTTTTCGGTGGTTTATAGAATTATATCAGTGATATAAAATTGGTAATTTCACTGTTTGAAACAGTGAAATTACCACTTTGATAATTTCACTGTTTTGAATTTAAGCCCCTTACGTTGTTTCAGTGAAATACCAGCGTGCACAGAACTGGGTACCAACTTAATGACGTGACGTCGTAAATGACGTCACGTTGTATTATTATTTGGCGCGCTTTTCATTCAGTATTAGGTTTAATGTCTTTTTAAAACGTTTCTTTGCATGTAATAAAAAGAAAATTTGTTTAGTTTAGTGTAAGATCGAAATATATTTCACCTTGTGAACACCGAAATTGTCACTCGTGAAATATACCTTTTGGTGCTCTAAACTCAGTGAAATATATTCCGATCTTACACTGAACTAAACAAATATCCTCTATTTATTTACAACTTTTTCCTGTACACTTTTTATTATTGCTGCCTTTTCAACAATATTTTTCTAATGGGACAAATAATGAATCTATATTAAGAAATAGATATCAATTCTGAGCGCATTATTCGAGTTCAAATGCGTAGGAATATAATGAAGAAGGCCGATATCTGTCTGAATTGATATTTCTGAACTAAATCATATCTACATCTCTATTGGCTATCCTTCAGTGCATGCCCTTCTTTACGTTGACATTTATCTACACAAATTAAAAGTTCTACTACCTATAGTGTAATAAAAAAAAAAACAAGAAAAATACAAATTTAATGTATAACACATAAATCATGCATTACAACAAAAACAACAGTCTTCTGTAGTAAAGCATGCCTATAAACAAATAGTTTTTTGTTCAAGTACAATTGTATAAATAATATAAACAATTTTATTGCCAAATTTTTTTTTTATAAATTCCAGGAGATTTATAAATCATTTATAAATTATATAATTCTGTTGTAAATATTCAGAGGATATTTTTTTAGCATTTCCTGGTATATTATAAAATTACATATATATTTTCAAGCGCATCAGAAAATATTTTGATTTTTATCATACTTCATGGCAAACAAAATTAAAAAAAACCTTTTAAATTTAATATAACTACCAAGAAAAAACAAAAAACAAAAACAATAAAAGTAGTTAACAAAAACCCTCTGTTGATATGCCACTACAACTGTACTGTGCACAGTAATATAACGATTATTTACAGGTGTGTGATATGTATCAATACCATATTTATTGCCACTGCTTAAACTTTGTTGAGAATAAATAACCATATTACTATAATTTATGATGATGAAATGAATAACTAAAGATACCGAATACCACAGAAAAATATCTGAGAAAGTAGTCCCAAAAAACAAAAAAAAATTTTGCCCCGCCAATTTATATTTTTATTTATATTTTTTGAAATAAAATAAACTATACATCCGATGAGAAAAAATATCTGAAAAAGTAGCCCCAAATTCCCCGCCAATTTTTCTTTTTGTTTTTTCAATTTTAAAAATGAAAAAACTATAGTCTGATCCCCAGAGAAAAAATTTTGAGAAAGATAAAAAACAAAAGAAATTTGACTCCGCTAACTTTCATATTTGTATTTCATATTTTGTTTTAAAAGAATATGAAGTACTATTTGACTGATACAGCACCATATTCCATGGATGAAATAAATAAATTAAACATTTTAATTCTCACATTTTGTGCTATCTATGAAATCAAAATAGAAAACAGTAAAAAGAACTGACTGGAAACATAATACACAATAAAACAAAAGTTGATTTATTAACACAAAAAATAACAGAAGTACAGAAAAGATACCTCAGGTCCATACTGATTATATATAAATATAAATATACATGTATAGAAGGTTTTATTTTTAGATATATTTACATGCATATAGTATGATACATACTCTTAAATTTAAAAAATATGCAAGGTTCACTTCATGACATCATGTAATTAACTTTTACAAAAAGTGCATTAATAATTGGGAAATTTTCTCAAAGATGAAAACTTAACTAAATGTGTATATACGAGGGTTGTCCCAAAAGTCCGTGACAAATTTTATAGACAGTTCATTTTTAACGCCAATAGATAATAATTCACACATAAAACCGTTAAGGCTATTATTTAACATTACTACAAATCATTTACAAAATATTTACTCTAGTTACTTAGAAATTTTCAGTATTAACAACATTGGACTGAGTTGCCAGCGCACGTCAAATAATTTGTATTTTGTTATGAATAAGCTAAGATTAATTAACGGTATATTTCAAAATATCTGATGATGTGTCTGCCACATGCCACGTTGGCTTCCTCTGTTGTACCTATGTTTACCATCATCTCAGAAAATTTTAGTTAAATAACTTAAGAAACGAACAGGGCTACTGATAAAATGAAAATATATTTTTAGAAAATAGGAAAGTTAAAATGGCGACAGTTCGAAGAAATTTGCGGCGCAGTGAACAGGTCATTCAGGTTTTCTTGGCTATTTCGAGATGACACATGTTACGATTTTCAATAAATATTACCAATTATAAAACAGTTTAGCAAACATATCCTGAGCATTTGTTTACTAAAGGCATGAACGAAACCAGAGTTCTTCACTACAAAAAAAGCGAAAATAAGGAAAGCATGAATAGGAAGACCAATCTCCGTCGCCAATTTTCCTACAGCTAAAAGCAGCGTGCAACCAGACCGGATGTTCGCGTGTTATGGCAAAAAAAATAATGTATGCCATCCCAAACATTCAACAGACTTTAACAACCACATTGACTAAGTCTGTTATTGACCATTTATGGGTAAAAACTGCACCATTATTGCGGTTGAAAGCCATTAAAAGTATTTGAGAAAGGCCCCTTATACTAGATTTAATTGCCGTCGTTGACGTTTTGACGTGCGCCGCGATTCAGATAGTTGCCATGGTATTTACGGGCATATTTGTTGTTTATTGATATTTTTCTATGTACGTTTGTGAAAATGTTTCAATTATATGGGTTTATAACATATTAAAATATCAAATTTGTACCTATTTTAGTTAGCTGTTAAACAATCTTGTCACAGAATATTGGGACAACCCTCGTATGTTTAGTGTTATCACAATCACCTTTAAGGTAAACATATTTCTTTCATACAAGTTTTTTGGAATTATTCCTGTTCAAAATTCTTATATTAATCAAAGATTAATTAAAAAAGATCTTTATTTCACTTGCAGAATTTATTAATTTTATGTGTTCTTTAAAAAAATGATTAAAAATTTTTTACCTTTTGGAAAACCAGGGCTTGTCCTTGCCCCCTTTCCCCTTGAGGTCATTTTTCATAGTTCATGATATTTTTCCCACTAACAGACCACCTAGCACAAACAATTTCTTGATATGTAATGGTTTCTGCTTTTTCTCCCTTTGCTCATTGGCAATCTGTAACAAAACAACAATACAAATTTTATTCTTGCATGTTTTTTTACTAAACTTATGATAAAGAACAAAGTGTGTACACAACGATCTATCATGGAATAAGACGGTTATACGATAGAGAGTAAACTGACACAGACAATTTAACTTTGACGCCAGAGTATGACCTTGACTTTGAAAGTGCTGCTGTGGGTCTTGGGCACAAAACATCATCTAACTGCTGAATATTTTGACAATCCATCTAGTTATAACAAAGTTATAGACTGGACATAATTTTGAGCACACACAGGGTAAATACTATATGCCCTATCACCCTGTTTTGACAATTCATGAAGGAATTTGATGAAATTTATCAGCAAAATAAGAATGTTGACACAAATTAAATGATCTTTGAACTCAAATGCAACCTTGACCTTGAAGGTGCTGACCAGGATTTTGTGATTGGGCTTACAGAAGGTGCACCCAATCTGTACATAAATTTCAGTTATAACATCTTGATGGTCAACATCATTGCAAAGTCAAGGTAACATTTGAATTATTTTTCATTAGGAGGGTTTAGTCACACGTGTTGTTTTGTCAAAGTATGTATGAAATCCATAAATAACAAAAGTTAAAGACAACCCATTTATTTATTACAAAACAAATCAATCTAAAAACAACCATGCTTTATTTTAAAACAAAAAGAAGTACTGATTTAAGAACATTTATAATATATAGACATTCTTACCTTAAAGAGAAGTTTCGCAGCCTCAAGATGGTGTCCAGCTTTCCTGTATAGTTCTATAGCATTGACAATTTTGTTTTTCTCGAGCAGATGTTGTGCATATTTGGCCAGCAGAGAGTCAATCTCTCGGACATTGTGGGTCTTTGCCAGATCAATAGCCATGTTCCATTGGTTTAGATTCACACAGCAGTCTATCGCAGCCTTGATGTGGTTACACTGAATGGAGAAAATTTATATACTTAACATAAACAATACATGTTACCAAAGGTGACAGCAGTTGCCTAAACCTTCATATCTGTCAATGTATTCTAATTAAGGATATCAACAGACATTTAAGCATTTGGATAAGACTATATATTCAAACACAATTGTAGTATTCAAATATTTATGTAAAATCATAAAGTGTTTAAAATTGTTTTTTTCTGTTTTTGTTTGTTTTGTTGCTTGAATTTTATAAATTATCTAAACTTTATAATCATTCTAGCTACAGTGAAATGTAGCTATTCATGTCTTAATAAATAAAGTACATGTAGACATATGTAGACAGGCGTCAGTTCTTGTTTTAAATTCCGCTAAAATATTAAAATGCTGAAAAAATAAGCAGACAAATGCAAACAGGATTCCAACATTTGAAAGCAAAATTTGGTGAATATGCCATCCCTAATATTAAAAAAAAATATCAATACTTTGTAGTTGCTAGCCATTCTGTCAAAATGGAACAAAGACACATGATCGCACACTGATGTCTGTAATGGCCTCAGGGCTACTTATCCTTCAACAACTTACCTTAATAAAGGCATCCACAGCCTGTGTACACATTCCAACAGTCATAAACATATTTGCAATGTCCTGAAAAGAAACATTCAAACTGTCATAAACATAAGGCAATGTCTTCAATTGCAAAATATCATAAACATAGAGGCAATATCCTAAAAAAACACATTTAAACTGTCATTTACAAAGAGGCAATGACATTCCAACATTCATAAAAATTGAGGCAATGTCCTGAAAACAATCATTCTAACTGTTGTTTACATACAGGCATTGTCCTTCAAGAAAGAGGCCAAAAACTAGAAATCTGGATGCCAACACCAGAGTGAGTACACAGCTCTCCATATACTCCCTATATTAGTCAAGCTAAAAATAGGGCCATTTATGATGATGCTATCCAAGAAAGAGACAAATTATGGTCTTTGCAAACAAATGGTCATTATTTGGAGGTAACTCTATTCATTTTTATCAATAAAGGGTTATTTTAAAAGTGGTCTTTATTTACAGGGTTATATTTATTCAGAGTTGGCCTCTCACTTAGGTTTGACTGTACATGTAGTTCAGAATTTTAATTATTTGCTTATTTTAATGTGATTTTTTACGAGTTGTATATAAATAAGAATATGGCATACTGGTAGAAGTTTATGGTTCTCTGGCAGACTGGAGACCATCTTCTCTAGTCCAGCATAGTCTTCTAGAATGTAGTAACATTCTGCCAGACGTTCCTGGTTCCTACCCTGTACATAATATGTCACTGCTTGTTGCCTAAAATGAAAAATTTAAATAAACTAAAGTACTTCTGTTGTTATATGACATGTTTTCATATTATCTAATACTCAATTAACAAATATAGTTTATACAGAATTTACTTTGATTGTGTAGGAGGCTATAAGTTTATAGACACAATCTTGAATCCCTTCCTTGAACCAACCAGTATTGAGAAATGTGTGTAAAGTTTCTTGCTTAAGGAAACAAGAGCTTGCACCAGACAGGTGTTGAACCATATGGCTAGATTTATCAACGAATCTTGAAAGTACAAGTTTAAATCTGACATTAGATAAACAACCATTTTAGGTGCATGTATCATGTTACTATGATCATTGCAGTAGACAAACAGACATATTTCTCTTTTTTTTTCCTTTTTTTTTTTTGACAAACCAGCACTATTAATATCATGTGGCAACTTTTCAGCTTTAATGTTGGAAGAAGACCTCAGGCACCACTCTGTGCACTGGGCACATAAGAAGACCAACCAACATTACATAAGTTACCTCAATAGCTTCATCACATGAAAAAAATCCAAAGTTCCATACTAACCACTTTTGCCTATCAGCATAGTAGTCACCGATAGCATTCCAAGCTTCCTCTAGTTGAAGATCATCTCCTCCTGAACCAGTCTTCAACAACTGTACAACACGGAACCAGTCACCCAACTTCTTACGAAGACTTACTGCAAGATCTCTGTTAATAAAATAATACAAAATTCTTCCATGATTACTATATCACCTTTATGAAATAATTAAAATTATAATTTATACAATTTTGGCAGAAGTCAACTAGCCATACTACACGCCCAAATATCTAAGATTTAGGCTATGCCGATTCATATTAGAAGATTGAAATGTGTTTTCTATACCCTTCTTAATACCCTTTAAAAAAATATTGTATAAAAAGAGTATTTCTCATTATGTTTTCTCATTTTGACAACTTTTATATATTTTCCAATACCAGTAAACTTCTAAGGATTAATAATAAATAAAGCTGACTTCTAATGTGACTCAGACTACTAATCCCATCTGATTTCTGAATAAGATGTAAGAGAATAATAACCATTAGATTCAATGTCTGAATCATGGAGATATTAGGCCTTGCACGAGGATCCAACTAGCGACCCCTGGATTACTAATCCATTGAGGTTAGCAGACAGAAGATGATAAAGTAAAGTGTTGTTACCTTCTGTCCATATCCAAATATTTTCTCTCGGCTTCCTCAAATCTCCGGAAATATGCAGCAACCTCTGCCTGTTTCATGTTCTCATTCTGTAATTAACATAATCTTTAACTACTTACAAAAATAATTCCATGAAATCAGGAACATTTTAATTAGAGTGATATGCAACCAAACAATATCTTGTCAAGTCTTGGTACCACAAAATTGCTTTTATATTATATGATACAGGAATAAATACTGTATTGATTTTATATATGTTGTTGTAGACCAAAACAGATAAGATTTTATTTGATATTTTGAAGGCAGTTTATAATAATACTTAGTCATAGTTATAAACATGACCACGGCACAATAAATTTTGACTCCAGGGCCCAGGGGCATGATTTATATTACTATTTCTAAAGTCAATGAGGCATTGTTACAAGCCAGCCATCTAAGCTCTTTCACACTCAGATTCAGATTATAAAATTAATAAATTAATATAAATGTATGTAAACCAAGTGGCTCAAGTATAGAGCCAGGTTTGAACCCATGGGCATTATTAAAATGTTTTTGAAGAGTTCCACTACACTCTTTTTCAAAGTATTCTGTTTAAAAATCCAGCAATAATTCTTGCAGCAGATATACATGTATATAGTCTTATTTACTTTAAATTCATTTATTTAACAAAAATGAGGTTACATGTACTTACCTGTAAATTACCAAGTCTTTTAACAAACTCTATTCCCTGGAAGTCCTTACATCTAACAAAAGCTTGCTCAGCAATCTTCAGATTAAGTTGTTCGAGGGCTGACTCGGCCAGTAGCCTCCACAGACGAGGGTGAGGATTATCCTCAACAAACTGCTGGGCATCCTGTAACCCAATCTTCTCTAGTAGATCCCTAGTGTCCCTCAGAGACTGAAATATGTAACAAATTACTCCATGAAGGTGTGAAAAGGCTGTCAAGTGACCCCAGTTGAAGAAGTAGGGCAAACATAAGGCCATTAATTAAAAAAAAAAACAAGAAGGGAAAATTGTTTGTTTGTTTGTTTCATTTTACGCCTTTTTCAACAGTATTTCAGTCATATAGGCGGGTAGTTTCCTAACCATCGTTCCTGGAGAGTTACACCAGTACTAGACTACCTTCCTCCGCGCTAAACTACCAAAGCATCTCCCGGGGATCGAACCCACGCCAGAGAGGTAACTAGATTAGAAGTCATCGACTCTAACCCCTCGACCACGGAGGCAAGAAGGGAAAAGAAGGGCCTACTTGACAGCCTGAATCTCGGCAAACTACTTCACAGGGACTGAATATTCAAAATGTCACTGCATGACATTCTGGAATATGCCACCAATAAATACATTAGAGATTGAATTATGCAACAAATTACTCAATTGGAGACAGAAATACTCAAACTCCAACACAAGAAATCAACAAATAACTGCACGGGAAATTGAAATATGAAAGAAGTTACTTCATGAAAAATTTAAATATGCAAAAATATGCCCTCTTGCAAGAAACTACTGCATGAGGAATTGAAGTACTGCATCAGGAATTGAAGTATGTAACAAACTATTGCATGAGAAATTGAAATATGCAACAAATTAACTAAGCCTACACAATAGCAATGTGACTCACTGACCTTGATTTCCATTTCTTGCATGTATTCCTTCGTAGGACTCTCTGGGTCTTTCATTATTTCATCCAATAAAACAGTCTTGATCTGTAGGTCATTGAACTGACAAATATACCCGCTGCTAAGGATTGGCTCCTACAAATAAAAACAACATATTACATGCTGTGTTAATTTGTTATAGTCATTAGTTTGTTGTTAATTATCAGATTTTATTATTATTTGATTGTTTAATGTTGTCTGATTGCTGGAGGTCTGGACAGAAACAATGTTTTCTGTGCATAACTCATACTTTTTCAAGGAATTTCAACAAAACTTTCATAGAACTATTGTGTACCAGAGCACTGTCACATGGTTTTGTAATATGATCATTTTTGTTTGTTTTCTTCACATGTTGTAATGGCAGAAATAAGCAAATGATTTTGTGTTAATGTTTTGCCAAACCTCATACTATATGCAGTGTTTTTATAATCAATTGTTTGTTGTTATTTATCCAGTTTTCCAAATGATGAAACTGGTTATTTGATTGTTTGATGCAGTCAGATGGCCAGGTGTCTGTACAGAAACAATGTCTTATGTGCATAACTCATACTTTTTCAAGGGATTTCAACAAAACTTAATGATTGTAATCAAGTGCACTGTCACATGGATTTGTAATTTGATCAATTATATTGGTTTTGTTTACATAATTGTTATAATAGCAGAAAACCTGGTTTTGTGTAAATGTTCTGCCACTTGTGTTTTATTTGTATTGGAAATATGTTTCAGTGTTTTTAACTTAAAAACAAAGACAGGTACATGACTGCATCAAGGTAAAAAAAAGTTATCGCATTTAGCTGACATATATGTCTGTTTGTTGGTTTTGTTTGATATTAATATGAACCATCACTGTAAAGTTCATATGGTGACTTTCCAGTTTTACTGGTGGAGGAAGACCTCAAGTGGTCCTATGTGCATTATATCAGGTACCATTGGGCACTTGGGTAAAACCACTGACCTCTGTAAGTTAGCTTGATAGATTATGCACATGAAAGAATCCAAAGACTCTGGCGTGGGATTCTAACCAACCATAGAGGGTCAAGTGGTTTGTAGTCAGGGACCTTAACCACTCACCTTATAATGCCCTGGCTTTGGAATAAATGATATCTGCATGCTATACAGACATATAATATAGCAATCATTTAGGAGTTTAAAACCTCATAATTCTTCCCAATATCTTAAACAAGAGGGCCATGATGGCCCTGAGGTCGCTCACCTGTATATAGGCCCCCCAACCCCCCCCCCCCCCCCAAATGTTGCAGGGCCAATTTAACCCAAGGGCTTCTTTGCACAAACTTGGTAGACACCCATAAGAAGATGTTTCATGCTAAACATCTAAGCTCTAGCTCATTGGGCTTTTTAAAAGAAGATTTTTTTTAAGTTTTTACTATACACATATAGTTAAAAACAATGACACCCCTGGGGCCGGGCCAGTTTTCACCCCAGGGCTTTTATTTGAACAAACTTTGTAGACACTTACTAGAACATGTTTCATGCTTAATATCTAAACTCTAGCTATTTGAGTTTTTTCAAAGAAGATTTTAAGTTTTTGCTATACACATATAAAGAAAATCAATGACCCCGGGGCGGGGCCAATTTTGACCCCAGGTCTTTTATTTAAACAAATTTTGTAGACACTCACTAAAAGATGTTTCATGCTTAATATCTTAACTCTAGCTATTTGGGTTTTTTCAAAGAAGATTTTTTAAGTTTTTGCTATACACATATAAGGAAAATCAATGACCCCCGGGGCGGTGCCAATTTTGACCCCAGGGCTTTGATTTGAACAAACTTGGTAGACACCTATTAGAACATGTTTGATGCTAAATATCTTAGCCATAGCTCTTTGAGTTCTTTAAAAGAAGATTTTTTTAAGTTTTTACTATATGCATATAGGGAAAATCAATGACCCCCTGGGGCGGGGCCAATTTTGACCCCAGGGCTTTTATTTGAACAAACTTGGTAGACACTTATTAGAACATGTTTCATGCTAAATATCTTAGCTCTAACTCTTTTGGTTCTTTAAAAGAAGATTTTTTAAGTTTTTACTATATGCATATAGGGAAAATCAATGACCCCCGGGGCGGGCCAATTTTGACCCCAGGGCTTTTATTTGAACAAAATTGGTAGACACCTATTAGAACATGTTTGATGCTCAATATCTTAGCCATAGCTCTTTGAGTTCTTTAAAAGAAGATTTTTTAAGTTTTTACTATATGCATATAGGGAAAATCAATGAACCCCCGGGGCGGGGCCAATTTTGACCCCAGGGCTTTTATTTGAACAAACTTGGAAGACACCCATTAGAACATGTTTCATGCTAAATATCTTAGCTCTAGCTCTTAGGGTTCTTTAAAAGAAGATTTTTTAAGTTTTTACTATATGCATAAAGGGAAAATCAATGACCCCCCGGGGCGGGGCTAATTTTGACCCCAGGGCTTTTATTTGAACAAACTTGGTAGACACTCACTAGAAGATGTTTCATGCCAAATATCTAAGCTCTAGCTCTTATGGTTTTTTAAAAGAAGATATTTAAAGTTTTTTCTTTTGGTTGCCATGGCAACCAGAGTTCTGCGTAGAATTAAATTCTATGAACAATTTTTAAAGGTGACCACCAAAGGAACATTCCTGTGAAGTTTGGATGAAATTGGCTTAGTGGTTTATGAGGAGATGTCATTTAAAGAAAAAGTTTACGGACGATGGACGGACGGACGACGGACGGACGCCGGACGAAAAGCGATCACAAAAGCTCACCCTGTCACTTTGTGACAGGTGAGCTAAAAAGAAGAAAAATATAATGATTAATTCAAATCACGTTTAACAACACAAATATATATATATTTGTATATTTGTTTATCAGTGTTGCACTTACTTCAGGATCAAGGTTTCTGAAAATGTACATTCTTGTTTTCTCCATCATGGCAAATAGTTCATGGTTGTCCTGAAATAATAGTCAAAATTTATCTCCTTTCTATAAAGAAACAAATTAAATGTAAGTTCAATAACAACTCATATTTTATATCTTCCAAATTTGGACGCTTTTCATCAGCATAATAAACTTTTTTAATTGTTTCCCCCATCATTTATTTAATAAATCTTACAGGAGACAACATGGGTATTGTACATGTGTATATACTATCTATAGAGGAATTCATTCATGAAGTCACTATATGTTAATTAGTAGAGTACTATTCACTATTTGATTTCGATCCATCCGATGAGATTAAATTTCCTAAAAGAATACTTCCTTTTGTCAATGTACACATGTTTGAAAATTTTTGAACTTTTAAACGCGGAGATGTTATTCATATTCATCAATAACTAGAAATGTGTCCATAGGACACTGATGCCCCCACTAGCCACTGTTCTGTCAATCTTATGACTCTAGGTCAAATATTTTTTGGACTACATGTGCCACAAGTTGAAAACTAAAAATCAACAAACGGCCATAATTCTGTTAAATTTGGTCGCAGCAAAATATCCTTCCTTTACTATGATCTACACATTAAGGTTGTTAATCCCTGGAAGTTTAAGCAAAATCTGCCATCCGGTTTAAGAGGAGTTGCGTTCACAAAAATTTCTACATAGTATAAAGTGAAAAAATCAAACAAAGGGCCATAATTCTGTAAAATTTGGTCGCAGCGAAAATTCCTTCCTTTACTACCATCTACACCTTAAGGTTGTTCATCCCTGTAAGTTTAAGCAAAATCTGCCATCCGGTTTAAGAGGAGTTGCGTTCACAAAATTTCTACATAGTATATAGTGAAAAAATCAACAAAGGGCCATAATTCTGTAAAATTTGGTCGCAGCGAAAATTCCTTCCTTTACTGCCATCTACACATTAAGGTTGTTCATCCCTGTAAGTTTAAGCAAAATCTGCCATCCGGTTTAAGAGGAGTTGCGTTCACAAAATTTCTACATAGTATCTAGTGAAAAAATCAACAAAGGGCCATAATTCTGTAAAATTTGGTCGCAGCGAAAGTTCCTTCCTTTACTACCATCTACACATTAAGGTTGTTCATCCCTGTAAGTTTAAGCAAAATCTGCCATCCGGTTTAAGAGGAGTTGCGTTCACAAAATTTCTACATAGTATCTAGTGAAAAAATCAACAAAGGGCCATAATTCTGTTAAATTTGGTCGCAGCAAAAATTCCTTCCTTTACTACCATCTACACATTAAGGTTGTTCATCCCTGTAAGTTTAAGCAAAATCTGCCATCCGGTTTAAGAGGAGTTGCGTTCACAAGATTTCGGGACGTACGGACGGACTGACTGACGGACGGACTGACGGACGGACGGACGGACAAGTGCAACGCTATATGCTCCCACATTGTGGGGGCATAAAAACAATATTTCTTCTTATTTAGATTCTTCTTAGTTTTGTTAATTTGTTAAAAAAAAACAACAAAAGGTTTATTACAATAGTTAATATACACTGACAGATAATAATTACATGGGATATTAAACGAGTGGTAGATGTAATGTACAAGTGAAATATTATGTGAGCCTCTGACAAGCATCATTTTTTTTATTCAACAAGTTCAATAAATTTAGTATTGAATCTGCACAAATATAATATTATTTTCATTACATATCCAAATTAAGAACTGTTATCTGTAAAATAGAGACATTTTTCATAAATGCGGCTATAGTGTAATGCTAACATTGGTGTGCTTTGACGCCATATTTGTATACAATGCAAATGTTGCCCTTAAAGTGTTTTTACACTAGTGTTATATCATTTTTATTAAATGGCTTTCCTATGGTTTATGTGATAAATCTCCTATATATATATAAGCACATATTGCATAGCTTATATATAGAGTATAGACAAACCTCTGCCCATCTCATATCCCACACATCTTTTCTCTCAAACTTCAGATGTTCCCCAGTCACTTCTTTACCATCTTGATCTGTAATCTTGGTGTCAAGGTCAAAAAAGGTCAACACACCACTGATGTCAATGATAGCCAGTCGGCTGTAAATAATTTAAATAAAATTACATTGAAATAGAGAGAAAAAAAGAATCCCTAAAGAACGCATAAAACGATAAAACTGCAAATGTTGCAAGCTTGGTTTGATTGATGAATGGCAATGGAAAGTGCAAATTACCATCCACGCTCCCTAGCACAGGCTTAAGCAGAATTCAACAATTAATCATGGTAATGGTGTAATTTTGAATTTAGAAACATCCGCACATGTGTTCATACAGGGGATCAGGGAAAGGGGATCAGAGGTTATGAAGCCTGTATATCACAGATAAGCTGTCAAAAGACAAATTTAAAAAGCAGGCCACATATCCCAAGGGTAATTAAACAGTATTCAAGTGAGGAATACTGGAACCAACCAATGCATAAAAACTTCACAATCATCATTTTGTGAAAAGACATAAAGTTTTAGTCTCACTTCAAACAAGGCCCTTTTTCAAAATGTTTTATGAACTACATTTGTAATTCTAAATATTAACATTGAAAAGATGCTTTTTTTACAGATATTGAACACTTTTTTTAAACATAACGTTGAGTGATAATAGGCAAGATGAACGCTCAAAAACATACCTTGATGTACAGTTGAGTGACAGCTGGTGAGGTCTACATTCTAGAGCATATTTTTGTGTCAGTGACAACATGGGCATAGAATATCTGATCAAAGTTCCTGATTCTCTACCCTGAAATACATGGAAAAAATAAATGTCACAAAAACAACAGTACATGGAAACCTTACATGTAAGTGAAAATGTGTAATAGGAAATATTTTGTCCCATGATCCAAGCCATAGGGTTGTGACTTTGTCTGATGTCACATTCAGTTAGAGAGGGAAGTAAAGTTTTGAAGGAACTTTGGCAGGAGAAAAAATGCAGTAGAATGTGCAAGTTATTGCACAAAGACTAATACCAAAATTCAATATTCTCAGATTATCAATAATTAAAATAGCAAGGTTGTTAACACATCTTCTGTTCAATATACCAATACCGTGTCAAATGTTTTATTGAAAAGAGGGCTGCAGAATGTTAGTTTACAACAGCAGCCAGATTTCTTAACACATTTGAGACAAATAGGTTAATACCACTTTTCAAACCAAACACTTTGGCATGGTAAAAAACTCTGAAAATCTTAGGTTGAACAATTTGATGTAGCTGTTATCAACAATTTTACCTTCAAGGCATCAAAATGAAAATAAGGCATCAAAAATGACATAAAGGTAACAAAATTAATATATAGGCATCCAAATTAACTACCATTTAAGCATATACAACTAAAAATGTTTATTAAGGACATACATACCACAATAAGTATTTTGTCTGAGGCACACACACAACAAATCTGGTCATCTGTTCCCTATTATATATCAAATGGTAAAGTATAGTCAATATACACTGTTAACATATTATTTAAAGTAACACCAATTAAGTAAAACTAAAGTACAGCCAATGTTACAATGGTAAAATACAGTCATGTAATAATAGTGAAGTTCTATGAATACATCCTTTCATATGTAATAATCAATAAGAAGAGTTTGAATTGAGCTTATCTTTTTAAAAAAAACTTTTACTTATCTTTTTTAAAAAAACTTTTACTGTCATTTTACGATATTCAAATTATTGTCATACATTTAATATTGTAATATTGACTATATACATGTAAATAACAATTGTGTACAAATTTCTGAAAGACATAGAGGATATTGAATACACAAATATAATATTCTATTTATCACATATCCAAAATAAAGACTGTTTAAAGTGAAAAAGAATCATTTTTCAATAACCCACCTATAGTGTAATGCTAACATTTAGCGCATCTTTACACTATGTTTATATAAGGCATATGACGTCACATCAAAATATATGCACAGCAGACAAAAATAATAAAATGACACAGAGCCATTTAACAATCTTAATCAAATTATACTACATTCTTTTCAGCTAACTGTTATTATTACAAAAGAATAAACTATCACCATTCCACTTCATTCTCAAATCACATCAGCATATTTCAGATCATATGACAACTTTTCTGCTATATCACTTGAGGGAGAAACACTGTGTTTCATAATGTATTCTATAGCATAAGTAAAACTTCAAACCTTCCATAACTATGGAAGACATTTCCTCTTTCAAAAAAATCCAGCTCAAAACTCTGATGCACTATAAAAGTCGTTTAAATACAAATACATAGTCAGGGCTTCCAATTATTGAAGTTTGGGAGTCATTTAGTCCTTGATTTTGGCTTACGGCTTCCAAAATTTAATGCATTTCCTTCTTATCTATAAAATGTGACCTCCAATGTCAGAAAATTTGAAATCACTGACTTCAAAATTTCAGAACTTAACGGAAGCCCTGCATAGTTAACATAATACAGGTTAACATAACTTACAGTGAAGGCTTTGCTAAAATCTATATCATCTGTGCCTGCTCCTCCTGTAGGGTGGTCATCTATATGGTGTAATCTACAAACACACAAAGTATTGTTTACCATTATATATTTTTCCTTTATTATTTCTGGTGGTACAAGCTGAAATTTCTATACAATTCCTAAAATTTGTTCAAATCAAGTTCTTATTTGATAGGGGAGGCAAAATCAATTGTCCAGTAGCCTAAACTGACAAGTACAATTTCACAAAAATTTATTTAAAATACATCACATGGACAAGTTAAAAAGAAGGATTAAGATTATAATCTTTCAGGATAACCCTACTGTTCTATAAATAGACAAGTACAATGCATTGCTCAGCAGAATAAATGAAACATTAGTGCACAAGATAGTTGTTTAAATGTTTTAGGAAAAAAAGTACAAATATGAAGTTTGCTGTCCCCGTACATAAATCTTAATGTCAAATTTGATGGATAAAAGTCTTAAAACTGCAAGGATTTATAATATTTGATGTAAGATTGCACGAAACTCACCTCTCTGTTCCAGTTTTACGTCTACCAGCTACCTCCAAAGTGGAGAGTTTCTTGGGATTCTTAAATTGCCAGGTGTACAGAGCTTCCCTGGAGGCTGCTACAATATGAGTCTTTGTCATTGTAAGGTACACTGGATCCATCTCTGTAAAAAAAGAAATAAATCTAGCATTGCTACATTTGGTATATACAGAATTTATTTTAGTTTGATTGTGTAGGAAGCTTACAGACACACTCTCAAATTCAGTCCTGGAATCAACCAGTTCTGAGCAATGAGTGAGAAGTTTATTGCTCAAAGAAACAATGGCTTTCTCCTGACAAGATTTGAACCCACACAAATAGCGATCCTTAGATAACTAATTCCATGTGTTAACCACTTGGTCATGCTGCCACATTTGGTCTCAACAGACTAGAATTTTTACAGATAAAATAATAACAAAATAAGTAACACTAAACAGCCGTATCATATAAGTTTTCATTAATTAATTTAATATATTGTATTGATTCTTGTACTCATGTGACAGATATTGAAGAAAAAAACAATTTAGGGACAGAACAAAACAGAGACCTCCAAACAATGTTTGCTGGGAATATAACAGCATGGGTGAGGTTAAAGTGGATACATTCATATGATATGTACATGAAGTTTAATAAAAGACATTAGCAAACTTCTACATTGAAGCTAATGCATCAAGGAAAGTCAGATAGCCCCACTGTTATATAAATAGATAAATAGATAAGTAAAATGCATTGTTCGGCATAACAAATAAAACATTAGTTCACAAGATAGTTGTTCAAATGTTTTAGCTGTGATTGTCTTTATCAGCACACAAGGGAAATTTATTTGAATATTCATGAGCCTGTCAAAACTCACTTCATACCAACTTCAGATATGATCCATCCACTGATTTGTATTTATAACTGAAAAACTAAGCATCAAAGTTCTTAAGAAAAAGCTCTTTCACAATGATTGTGCTTCACAAGGTTCATAAATTCAAGTTGTCATTTTTCTCTCACCTTTGATTCAGAAATCATGCAGAGTTAGACTAGTAGTTTGTCACTTGCGGAGAAAATGGTAATTACTACTTAGTTATCATTGCCAGGAAAGGAAGCCAGGTGGATTGACCAACCAGACATGTTAATATCCACATTAAAATTTAGAAAAACAAACAAACATATCTAGTTACATGACAACATATCTATATACTTAAAAAGTAGGCAAAACTAAGTTCCAAGAGCCCATTTCAATCGGTTTAGATCAAAACTTTTAGATGCTTAGCGACTTACCTATGTACTTTGAGTCCAGCGGGGTACCAATAGAGTTACATAGAACAAGCACATACTGATTGTTGAGATCATCAGCTTTGGTTGCCAGGCAACAGTAATCACCACATGCTGTAATGCTTATCAGGTTCTTCACATACTTGACATATTTCTAGACACAAAAAAGAAAGAAATATTGCTATCAAACAGAGAATTATATATTATCCTTTTTAGAATGATAAGTTTTAACACTGTCAGGAAATTACATTGGCTTGTCTTTAGAGATGTTTTCAGTTTTCTTTAAGATAATGTATGATTTTTATTTCTAAACAAAATGGACATTTTTATTGCTAACCTAACCTAAATAAAAAATAGCAATACTTTCATCCATTGCATGAGGTGGAAATATTAAAAATTACAATTTTTCTGTTTGAAAGACCTACTGCACATTTTTTGACCCTTCATACATAATTAAAAATAATTTTGTGTCTGTGACTCTGGAAGACCTTCAGGCTTCTGCATATTTTTGTGACCTTTCTTATATATTTCAAGTTTCAGGCACTTGAACTAATAAAGAAATACAAAATGGGATAACACAGACTGGAAGGGACAAATAAGATTCCTATAGCCTCTTCATACTATGTGTTGTGATGGTACAATAAGATTATAAAATACTTTCAAAAAAGTGGTTGACAGTTAATACCTCTCCATTCTTTGTATCCCAAAAGATGACACAATGTTCGACTCTGTCAGGCTTGGTGAACGAGTACACTACAGTGTTAGAGCAATAACCCCACTAAAATAAAAAAAGAATATACACATTCACTGAGTGATAAAACTTTTTATCTCTTACTTTCACATTTATTTATGACGTTTATCAAGTACAAGTGGACTTAACATTTACTTGTTACAGTAAGTCTTAGTTTTTGTCTAACACTGAGATAGTTATATAAAACAGAAACCCTTTTGATCTCTTTCACATATCACTGACAACCTTAACAAAGACCAGTAACTGATAAGGTATCATAACAGTAATTTGCCGCTATATTAAAATGTCACACCAAAAAAACGTTTGACAAAATCTCAGTTTATGTTGGATTTACAGCAACTTTAAAGCTTAACTGGTGGAGAAAGATCTCAGGTGCAGGTTCAAGCATTATCTCAGACATAGGACATAGGACGGCACCTGAGTAGAACCACCAACCTTCCATAAAGTAGGTGGATAGCTTCCTCTCATAACAGAATACAAAGTCCCCGAAAGGATTTGAACCCGCAGCAGTTATATGATGTAATGTAAGAGACCATAACCACTCAGCCAAGGACGCTCCTCACCCAGAAATAAATACCAGTAATACTAATATTAAGAGGTAAGGGCAACAAATCAAGAAATTCAGAAGATAAATGTTGATTCTATCACAATACTTGTGTCAAAGCCATATGTACAGAAAATTATATTACATCATATTGTATTTTGTCAACATAATTTTTCAAGTAACTATGACAAACTTTACACATTATGAATACTGTGTATAATGTCCAATCTTCATTTGTAACTATTCAGTTAAATAATACACTGTATTTCCATCCAAACCTTATAATCTGGTCTGATATTGGCAAAGTAGATGAATGAATCAACAGCGAGAGCCACTCGTAGACTTCCACCTTCCCATGAGCAGGAGTACATCTGCTTCCCAGGTACCTTCAACGTCCTTAAATGCTGAAAATAAACAGTAATAAGTTAATATATCAACATTACACTAAAAAAGCTCATAAAAAATCAACATTGGTACACAATGCTGTGCATGATTCACCCTTTTTTTTATGTAAGTTTTTAAGGATCTGTTCATATTTAACTATCAACTAGTTGTTAAGAGTGCTAAAAAGTACAGAAAATAGGTGCACAGACTTACAGACTGCTCTTATATTGTTATCATTTAAGTGTTTACAAAACTTATATTATCTTTACAGTGACCCTGGCAAATAAAAAATGTTCATACACTGCCACCCTATTATACGGAAACCCCTATACAACACTTATGGACCATGGCTCCCAAAACAACTTTTTTAAAAAATCATATCTTTCTTTCTCTCCCCGATCAACAGTGTATGTAACTTGTTCAATATTTGTAACAGGCTTGTTTATTGTATCTTGATTGATGAATATTATACATGACAAAGACCACTGGCATGAGGTAACAACCCTTAATATCACTTTTTTTTAATTGACATATTAAATTCTTAAATAAATGCAATCATACAGCTCTTGAAATAAATAAAAAAAACTTCTATCATTTGCTTATTGTAACCTATTCATATTCATTTTTAACATTTCAAGGGTATTTCACTTTTTTATTTTTAATTTTCAATGACAACGGTAACGTCTTTTGACATCATTTGTAAAATGATGTTAAGGTTTGTTTTCTTATGCCTGTGTTCATTATTATATAATTTTATTAGTGTATATCAGAACTCTATTAATATCACCATTTGAGACATTGGACTCTAACTTCATGAACTTGAAAGTATTATAACTAGGTGTGTCACCTTTATCTGTTTAAACAGGTATGGTCAGTCTTTCGCTAAAAACCGATTAGAAAATTTGATAACTGGTAACCCAGGTTAGTACTTGACAAAGAGGCGAAAAAGTTTGATTGATTTTAAACATTTCATTAGTTTTTTTTATAACAAGATACGACAATTTGTTTGAATTTTAGTTGTACTCAACAATTTAATTTTTTAGATCTGATCAAGTATGGTACCAGCTGAACGGAAAATAGTAACTCCATATTCTGATATGTATTGTAATCTTCCTGAGTACAACAAAATACAAACAAAATTTCTTAATTTGTCAAAAAAAAAAACAAAGTTAATGTTGGAAATCTAAGGACTTTATAAGTACAGTCGGTTAAAGGTTTAACACAGTTATTACATCTCCGTTTTAACAGTTAGCATTTTTTCTAACCGTGACACCCCTAGTTATAATACTGTGGCAGAGTATTATACTGATTTTAAGCTTAAAATCAAACAAAATCTACTCACTTCTCCATATGGTCCATAAAATTGGACAACATTTACTTCTTTGTCCTGGCCTATAGCCTTCTGGGAACCAGCAACCGCCAGTACAGAGCCATTGTGGTTCCAGGCAAGCTGGGCAACAGCCATTCCTGTGTCTATCAGAATTGGTGCTAAAAAACAATAAACAAGAGTTACCTCCCATTCAACATTGAAAAAATAAAAATACATAAATAATTTAAACATGCTAAATATTATTGTCACTGTTTTTTGCTTTAAATATAGAATATAGAAACACAGTTTCATTTAAGACTGAAACATTCACTTCTTAATTTAGTTTTTTTCGGTTTATTTTCTATAATTCAATTATATGCAAATATTTTTCAATTTCAAAAAAAAAAAATAAAATCTTCAAGTCCCAGTTACATCTATGATTTACAGCTTTTCAGCAACATTTTTTTTTGGTACTCCTCTAAGTGCACATTTAAACATGTTTCAATTTTGGCACCTTTTGCGCAATAAAAAATTATTCTTCTGGAAGTCATAGTGAGGGAATGATCTGAAATTTAGCACACAAGTTATTGGTCCAGACCTACAATAACAGGACACAAATCTTGAAGTGGGGTCCTTATAGGCATCAATCTATTACTGCAAATTTTATGAGTGGTACAATCATGTACAGTCAAACTTCGTAAGCACGAACTCAGAAGGCATTTGCAAATTTGTTCGAGAGATCAGAAGTAAGGTTTAAGAGTTTGAGCTATCAGTATTCGAGCGATCTGAGGTAGAATAATATATATGTTATAGGAAATTTGAAAGGACTGGTCAATGAGTTCGAGTGAAGGGAGGGATTCGAGTTTGAAAGAACAAAGTTTAACTGTATATGAGCCGCGTCATGACAAAACCAACATAATGGGTTTGCGACCAGCATGGATCCAGACCAGCCTGCGCATCCGCGCAGTCTGATCAGGATCCATGCTGTTCGCTATCAGTTTCTCTTTGTGTTATAGGGTTTATAAGTGAACAGAATGGATCCTGATCAGACTGCGCGAATGCGCAGGCTGGTCTGGATCCATGCTGGTTGCAAACCCATTATGTTGGTTTTGTCGTGACGCGGCTCATATTATACTTACTCTCATCAATCTCTGACCTCATGATCTGACATCTACCATTATCAAAACATATAGCAAGACACGGGCAGTTAGGTTCTACATATCCATTAGATCCATTATACCAGTGAACACCCGCAATCTTGATTGAACCGGTACAGTTTGTTAGGCAGTAGATGTTCAGTTTGGACTGAAATAAACACAAGAAACTACCATAAACTTGCGAGGCAATCTTCCCTTAGTGTGTATATAAATGTATATAAAATGATTAAAATGCTGTTTCATATTTCACCTATCCCTCTAGTTTGCTCTGTTTTGCTGGATATTGAGTCACAGTAACACTGTAGAGGTCTTATGGTGACTTAACATCTTTACAAGAAGGAAAAACACCACAAAGCAGGTGCCCCTTCAGGCATGAGAGGGCATCTAAATAAAACCACTTCAGTACAATAAGCGATGTAAGCTAGCTGAAAAGCTTCTTCACAGTAAGAATCACAAGTCTCTGATAAGATTCGAACAGGCAGAAATGCAGAGCAAGTGATTTGAATTTGGCAACCTTAACCACTCAGCCATGTAGGTACATACCTAGCCCTCTAGTATATTATCAATTAAATCGTATGGGTTATAACAAACAGACTGTCAGACAGAAAATACTTAAACACGTTAAAACATTATTGAAGACCCTGTTTTCAAAAATGCAGGTTTTTTATATGAACATTTCACTAGCATTCTTGTGTTCTTTTTGTTCAGTCTTTACAAGGAATTATATTTACAAGGAACTACAATTCTGTTTTCAATTTTCCTTAAAATAATTACAAGGATATACATTGGAACTAGACCAACACTTTTCTGTTATTTTTCTTTTTAAAATGCTATTTAATTATAAAAGTTAAAGTGTTTCATGACATGTCTTAAACTATTTAATTATAACCTTAATAGTTGCATTAAGATTGCCTCCTTTACAATGGAAGAAAATACTTACGATGAAATTTCCAAGGTTATCATAATTATGAACCTCTCCATTAGCCATACCAAACAACAGAATCTTTCCATCTGGGGACCACTTGATATAAAATAGACAAAGAAACATTATTTACTACAACATTCTATAGCATATTTTTTGGGTTTACATATATATATATATTATATTACAAAATTTTTATGGTTTCGTAAAACTTTCAAATCAAACACTTATGAACATTGTGTGTAATAAGGTAAAAACAATTAGGGAAACAAAAACTTCCAATAAGTATTTCCAAGATTCTACAAGAAATTAGTAGAACATAGCAGTAGGTGTGGGTATTGCAAAGAAATATCATATTGCGATTTATTGCGATATTTACAGATATAATGCAAAATATTGCAATATATTGTAAACTATATAAAATGCTTGAAAATCAAGGGTAAGACCTACAGAACATTGACTTAAAGAGTTTATTGTTTAATATTATGTCCCAATAAATGGTATGTAAGGAACCATTTAATAAATGATTTCATAATGTGTTAAAAAAGGCATTGTTTTAAAATGAAGGAATTTAAACAACTTGATATAAATGCCAATTGAAGTCAAGCTAATACAACTTACAAGATGTCTACCCTTCTATCTTTAACAGAATTTAATATGCTATTTTAATAGAATATGTTTTATATTAACAGATTATACCTTGAATATATTACGATGTCTGAAAGCAATTTGCAATATAATATTGCCGGATAAAATATTGCGATATCCAATATATTGCAATACTAATATATTGTACAAACCTACAAAGAAGCATATACATTCATAATGCTATTACTAGTATACCTCAACAGATGCTAGTTGTGTTCCTCTTAATTCTTTGCCCCAGATTCTGTTCCCATCCACAGAGCCGACAATGACTGCGCCATCCTCGTATACAATACAGATCTTCTGACCATCGGCATTCCATGCCATACTCTTTACAACGGACTTGTTACGGTTATTGATCATCTCCTCGTACCAGGAACCTGATATATTATACAGTCAATATCATTATATCATAAGAGTTGCTCTATATGTAACTCCACAGATGTTAAAATGACTGATGATAAATTCATACAAATGGGCCTTTTCCAAAATTTTCAAGACTGTTATAAATGCAGAAAATGTCAGTAAATACTGTAATGACTTATAACTGCTGTTGACATGATAAATAAGCATTGATGCCAGTATTTTGCGATCCCTATTATTCATTCTTAATCTGTCCAGAGCAATTTCCAATCAGATATACAAAATAAATTTGGTTTACACAGACGGACAGTCTTTATAATAAGTCAGGTATCAGAATGTAAACTTTCAAGACAGTTGCATGTATACAATATTCAAACTTTTGATGAAAAGCCTAAACATGGTATCTTTATAGCAACAGATTCCCCTTTATAGCAACAGATAATTTCCAGTATCCATTAAAAGTGGTCCCTGACAGATAGTATCCAGTTTCAAATTGTCCCTGGATATTCTGAATGAACTTGCAAAGAAAAATGCTAAGGGGCTTGTTTACATTTTTAAAAAGCCTCTATTTTTGAAATATTAGATAAAGAAATAACCTTGTCATGGATGAGGCTTTAAAAGCCAACCCTAATCCTGCTCTTTAACCCTCCATATCAATGAATAAATATCGAAAAAGAATATAACAAAACCCTTTGAAACAAGGTAAAATAATAAAAGAATACCAAACATAATTATTGTAAATAAGTTGAGAAACACAAAAAATGAAAGAACTTTTAAAATTTTGAAAGTTTACATTGCTCTCCATATAGTACTGAAAAAAGACGAACAGAAAATATTTAATTAACTTATGTAAATTGATAAAGCTTACATGTGATCTTGGAGTAACAAATTATTAATCCATGCATAACATCCCTGATATTTTTTACGGCTAATCAGCCTTAATTCTTTTCTAAAATCACCATTTTATAATTATATATCATCAAAGATTCCCTATACCGTTTAGAATACTGCTTAAATAGTTCTCCTTTGAAATTAAAACATAAAAAAATTCAATAATCGTTTGGGATTCAAACCTACAGCGGTGAGGGGCAAGTGATTTGAAGTCAACAACCTTAACCACTCAGCATACATCATTTGTTCCAAAAAAGGTCATATTGTAAATAACATCATTTGTATAACACAAGAAAGTCATAATGTAATTTAACTATACAAGATCATAATAAGTCATAATGTAAATAACATCATTTATATAAACAAGTTCATAATGTTAAATTCGTATAAAACAAGATGGTTAACTTCTTGGTTAAAGTTTAATTTTATATGCTTTGGTCAATATGCAGCACACCTAAGTATGTCATGTTTCGAATGAAATCTTACTGTTTGTTAATGTCTACTTTACTCAGGCTTTTGTTTTACTATCAAGCACTGAGAATAGCTGAACATGGTGTGCTACTGACAGCTCCTGTTTTAAGTCAGCCTGTAATTTTAAAATCTAAACTTATATGCGTAGAATACTTTTATACACCTGAAAGGATTTAATAAGAATAATAGGAATGCCAAAATTCTTTGTACTATTCAACTAGATTACAACCTGCTCCACATATTAAACAAGACAGCAAAAAATAGTGTCCTACCCTTGTACAGCATCCACACAATAATAAGGCCATACTGGTCACTGGTGGTCAGTTTCTGGTACTGACCATTCCATGTAACTACCTGAACAGCTCCTAATAAACAACAAAGATAACAGTAAACAATATAATTCAGAACATGTCAGCCAAGAATTATGTCACAAAAAAGTACCATTTATATTGTTTCAACAAATCTCTGGACATTTTATTATAATCTATCTAAAACACATGATTACTGTGTGTCAACTTCACAACCTTATAAAGTAAAACCCTACATAATGGTTTCAACATTGTTTCTTTTACAGCACCAAATATGCCTCAAAATACATTTCTCTTATCTTTTTATTTTTATTATCCTATCATAGTCTCTAAAAAGTTATTTTCTGGCCAATTACCTGAACCATCTTTTGCTTTAATTGCTCATTGGCAATTAGTACAGTTATAGTGATTTAGCAATTTGTCTGGAAGCCAAAATACTTCTTTGTTTATATTTTGCTAATTTCATGAAAAATAATTTCAAATTCAGCTTAACTTTCTTCAGGTATTATGCATATAACTTGCTGTAAAACTATTATTTTAATATTTTAATGTTACATAACTCAAGTTTGCCCTTTCTAAAGAAGATAAAACTTGGTTCTGAGGAATCATGTTACATCATAACATTAATGGTACCTTTTTGCTTGACAGCTTCTTAGGCTATTAAAACCATCTCAACAAGATAACATCAACACATAAACATATAGAATAATTATACACAAGAACTTTCAACTTTTATGATAAGAAAACCATACCAAATTTTTTCTTTACCCATACAGATATTTTGCCTTTACTATCACTAAATGCAACCCGAGGTAAATTGCCCTTTACACGAGCCCATGATATACATGTTATATCACCTATATAAAGAAGACACCTGCGGTTATTTAAAGCTCTGTAACAATCGATTAATTTTAACTTAAAATTTTTAAGTCTTTTGAAAATCATAAGAAATTGAAGAAAATACAGCATGTCAACAGGTGCATTTTAAGGTAATTTATCATCTTAATCCAAATGGTTTCAATTCTGCTATGAACATTCATCAATTTTCTATCTAAAAAGCTAACAAAAAAGTCCCTAATAGTATGTTCATTCCATATATACATATATATCAACCCCTACAAAAAAGGGGCAATAACTGCATTTGTACAATTCCAAGCAGAACAGTACATACAATGGTCCAAGCTACCCAGCAGTTAATTAAGTGCACACAGCGAAACTGCATGGATTAGGAACACATAATATACCTTTCCATATCTCCTGAGTCCTCATATTACAGCGTTTTCATTTTTATCTGAGGCAACAAATGATCCAAAGAAAACAACCGATTTTGCCAAGAGTCAAGGGTGATACTTTGATATACAAGATGAAATACAACCAATTTAAGCAGCATTTAAACCAATGGTTTGGATCACCAATCGGTTAAAAATTTAAACCAATGGTTTGGATCACCAATCAGTTAAAAATGAAAACCATGCATTAGTTTTTTTCTTTAAGTTTCTTAATTCTATCTCAAATTAAATCTCAAAATTTTCATTGGCAAATGTACATTCTGTGCCACTTTCTGACCAATCAAATACCTGAGACCTGATTTTGAGCATAGAAAATTTTTTTAAAACCTTAGATCCAAGTATATAGCAATGAAAATGAGAGGCACACATACATTTACTCAGCATTGTTTTCATGTAGTTGTATTTCAACACAGCACCCAACTTTAAAAATGTTTCAATATGTTTTTGGGGTTACATTACCTGTTATACAATGTTACATCTGTACTGAAATCACACAACTTACCACTATGACCTTCTAGTGTCTGGTTCATAGAAAGGTTACTTGGGGCAGCTAGACCTTTGGCTTTCACATCTTTCCCTGAAATTACAATGAGAAATAAATTCATATAATAAATGTTCATTAATTTTAATGTAATACCATTTTTCATCAAATAACCAGAGTACATCAACAAGAGATGACTGAGAGAAGTGTATGAATGCAAAGATAAGTATTCCCCCCCCCCCCCAAAAAAAAAGGGGTGACTTTCAACATGCCCACAAAGTACAATGACTATAGACCAAAAACTGGGACTCTTACCTATGATACATTATCAACAATACAGGTAATTAAATAATAATTACTTTCCTCATTACCGTATCTTACTACTATAAGCAAAGCCCTCTTTTGTTATTAATCAGTGTCAAAGTTATAGTGACCTTGATCCTCTAACCTCAAAATCAATAGGTGATCATTTAAAGGTCAAAGTAAACCTCCAACTATTCAAAGACTATAGACCAAAGAGTTCTTTAATTATTGATAAATTAAGCTTTTCAGAGTGACCTTGAGCTTTATCCTACTGTACAAGTCATTTACAGGTCAAAAACCTGCACAACAACGCTGTGGACTAACAAACCAAGCATTCTCTATTTAACAATAAGGCAAGCTTTCCTAAATAAGGTCACAATAATCTTGACATTTGACATCAATAAGGTTCAGTTACAGTCATATTTTAAACATTGATACAACTTGATACAAGGACTGTAGGCAAAAGCACTTTAAATTAAAGATATTGATTTACAAAGCTAAGCAACATTAGCAGTGACCTTTGCTTCAATACTCTGCTCAAAATCAATATCATCATTTTAAAACAAATGCTAAGATGATTTAATAATTGACAAATATTTCAATTACTTTAATAGAGACATATATTGTAAAGCTTTATTAATTCAAAATAATCTAACAGACACACAGGATGGGGATCTGAAATGTAACACTTTCAAACCTGTTTGAGTTTCAAGTTTAAGCACTTTTAAAAGTCCATCTTCTCCACCACATGCAATGTAGCCCTGGTCCTTGTTCCATGACACACATCTCAATTTTGTATTGTTTGGAATAGCAATCTGTTCAATAAAAAGGAAAAATGCCATTCTATTGGGAAATATGTGTTGTAAAAGTTTAAGGTTTGGAAAAATCATTATCGTGAAATTTACCAATTTGGGAAAAAATGCCAGCATTCAAGATGTTAAAACTATTTATATAAAGCTAAATAAATCTAGTCTAAACTGTTCAGCTTGTGGAAATCTTGGTATTGTAAATTTGTTTATTTTTTTGGGATTGCAAGAAAAAAAATTTGATTTGGAATGGGACCAATATTCTATACTGAGCAAAAGGGACAGAAAGGTCTGTAAAAATTACGGCTGACAGCCTATAATAACTTTAACACCTGTATTCTGAAAACGTATACCACTTTCATGGAATCCCAACAGGGACTTTGGATTATTTAATGTGAGGAAGCTATCCAGCTAGCTTATAAAACATTGGTGGTTTCACCCCAGGTGCCTGTTATTGTTGATAATATCGCACAGAAGGCCTAGAACCCTGGGTATGAACAGGATGTTATGAAAATTTGTCATTGTAACTGTTAATGGAATTAGTATATGACTTAAACACTCTGCTTTAATGGATTGATTAAGTAACATCAAGTGGATGCCAACATGTCACAGCTTATCCAGTTCACAGTTGCTTGTCCCATTACATTATATGTTCCAATTTAATAGCTGAAAACACTGGTGTAAATTATTAGACCTATGCGCTACTATAGTTTATCTTCAGTAGCTTCGCTCAGAAGTAAACAAAATCACATAGTAATGTCTTTTTTGCAGGATTAGTGTTAATTGTTGTGGGTATGTGGAGTGATTAAGTGGCTGTATGGTTAACAAACGGGACAAGAAACATAAGGCAGGGTTGGCAAAAATCCGGGTTTTATGAGTATTACCCAACCCAGCGGGTAATACTGGGAAAACCCAGGTTTTTCTGGGTAATACTGGGCATTTCTGGGTAATAAAACTTTTAATTTTATTCAGCAAATATTATTTATGTTATGTTTTGAATATATATAGTGCATTTAAAGATGAATTACCTTTACAAAGAAAGGTGTCAACAAGTAACTTGAACTGATAATTGTTTGTATAGGCAACAATATCCCTAAAGCTAAAATTGGGGGATTAAATGTATAATTATAATGTTTCTTTATTATAGCAAAAACCTAACATATTAAATTTGAGCTAATATGTGTGTGAACAGTTTTTACAAGTAAACAGTGGTAAAGCATTATCCAAACACACAGGCTTTCTGGAGTAACTGGAAATTTTTATTCAAGAGGCTGTACAAAAGGAATTCCGCCCATTTTATTTGGTTATGCAAAATGAGTACGATTGTTTTTGCGTGCGAACTTCAAGTTGCAAAACATCACGCTTCATTAGCAACAGTAGTCTACTTGGCTAAATTAATAAAAACTTCAAAAATCAAGCCTATTACCTTTTTACTTAAATAAACGAACATTTTTCAGCTTGCTAAGCTTATATTACGATTACTGTCATCTAAAATTGAGGAAAAAATACGTTTGTTTTCTCAGATCGTCAAGAATTTTTGTGGAATTTGACAATTGGAACACTTCGGCTATTATCAATAACGGAACAGGGATACTAATCGACGGTCCCCGGTTTCCGGTGTAAGACCGTCCCCGGTCTTCAAAGACCGTGTCGATTTTTGTAGTACTAGTATCTTACAAATCGAAGGTCTCCTACAATCGACGGTCCTCGACGATCTTTGGAGACGGTTAAAGACCGTCGATTTTGCGGAGACTGTCGATTAGTCCCTCTCCCACCTTTCCCAGGAAGACTGAGGAAAAACAAAACACACAAAAACAAACTTCTTTCTTTTTGTTAACGTTGTTATCAAATTAAAGATTACTTCATATTAAAATTTTCAAAGTTTATTTTTCCCCTCTGAAAACCAGGCATACAAAGTCTGTAAGAAAAACACGGCGCCCCTACTAACTTTTTATTTCTTAATCAATTTTGATAAATATGGTGTCAAAGTTAAAAACTCAAATCCTTATTTTAATCCGATTATTTCTAATTTTGTTTTGTTATTCGTCGATTTTATCCCAAAATAGGTTTGCTTCCTTGCAAATCAGCATTTTATTTATATTTCGATTAAATACCATTTAAGTCTAGAAAAATACGACACGTGCTGATCATCTGTACAGAGAAGTGCTTGAAGAGAAATGAGCCGCGTCACGACAAAACCAACATAGTGCGTTTGCGACCAGCATGGATCCAGACCAGCCTGCGCATCCGCGCGCAGTCTGATCAGGATCCATGCTGTTCGCTATCAGTTTCTCTACTTGTAATAGAGTTGGTAAGCGAACAGCATGGATCCTGATCAGACTGCGCGGATGCGCAGGCTGGTCTGGCTCCATGCTGGTCGCAAACCCACTATTTTGGTTTTGTCGTGACGCGGCTCAAATGATATGTCATTAATACAGCAAAATGTACACAAAGTGGTATTTTGACTTCCATTCAAAATGCTTAATCACTATAACTATACTAATTACTTATATGACATAGAAGCAAAAGGCGACTGTTATTTGGCCTATTTAGGAAACTAAAACAAAACATCAAGAGTGGAATTCTTCTGAAAAAATCTGAATTTTAGCACTTTTGGGGCTCAAAGGGCCTTACATGAATTAATGGTTATTGAATCGAGAAATATACCTTACGAAATAAACGCAATAAGATAATTTATTATATACTTATAAATGAAATATTGAGAAATATTGATGGAATAAAATGCGTATTTTCATTTTCCGTATTTTCACTGTAAAAATTTATTTTTCACTGCAGTGAAACATATTTTCCGTATTTTCACTGGTGTCTTGCCGGACTACTTTCTTTTAAATTCTGCCAGTACACAAAATTTAAGGGAAAGTCTTTCAAATTTTATCGCAAAAAAAGTAAAAAATGTATATAATAAACAGAAAATTCAAGTTTTTTCTATAATTACATTAATGGTTATTGAATCGAGAAATATACCTTACGAAATAAACGCAATAAGATAATTGATTTGCATATTCACATGTCTACGAAGCAAGGAAAGAAAAACATGTAATTTGAACGACTTTCTTGTCCTCACTGTATACACGGTAGTATACAATTTGAGAGTTCCGAGAAATGTAAGGCTTATAGTGTTGTCTACTCTATGAATATTGTCATGATTTTCCTGAGTAATTATTAAAGCTTAAGTTTTCAAAATTTTCAACACATTAACATGATTAAAACATGTCCAAGAAACATTAACTTGAAAACACTGTTAAAGTGTCCGATCTTTTATCGATATTAATATAAGCCGTCCTGAAATGCAAGGAAAATAGCTAAGTTGTTGTCTGTGCTAAACATGCTCGCCCTCTGTGAGCAACTATCTCACAAATTTCATATTCGTTTAGGAACGTGCACAAAAAATACTCAAGTCGGTGCATTACTTTATTCAAAAATGAGCTAATCTATAAATGTAAACTATACGAGTTCGATTTTCTGGAATAAATACATCAAGCAATAACGCATAATTAAGTAATTTGATAAATAAAAAAAAAATCAATTTGAACACAGTTCTCCTCCCTAAATTGGAGGAAAACAGACATTTTACATATATACACTCATTCAAAAGTCGTATTTTGCAAATATCAAAACAGCAAAATATCTTTCAGTTACTTTTAACAATAAAAATTACAGCCTTGATTGTGCTTAATGTGTGTATTTAGCTGGAATTTCCGGTCATCTCTGAATGCTCAAGGATGTGAAATGAAAATATTATATGAGCCGCGTCACGACAAAACCAACATAGTGGGTTTGCGACCAACATGGATCCAGACCAGCCTGCGCCTCCGCGCGGTCTGATCAGGATCCATGCTGTTCGCTATCAGTTTAATTCTCTACTTGTAATAGGGTTTGTAAGCGAACAGCATGGATCCTGATCAGACTGCGCGGATGCGCAGGCTAGTTTGGATCCATGTTGGTCGCAAACCCACTATGTTGGTTTTGTAAAAAATTTGTAAAAAAAATCAACACTGTGAATTTCGCTATATATGTATAATATTCATGGAATGGAAATATAAGGCAAATGCGTAAGACATTTTGCTATAACTGTTTTTATATAAAGAAAAACATGAGTAAAAGGTTATGATTTGGTCAAATATTTTTAGAGGAAAAAAATACGATATATTCGAAAACAAAAAAATTTAAAAAGGTTATTATTGATAATAGCCGAGATATTCCGACTTCATCAAGGTAAGACTCTGTATAAACAACAGTATAAAGACATGCTCTATAAAAATTATTCCTTTTTTCAAAGCGAAACTGCTGTCAGCTGCCTGTGTTTCAACGAACCACTTGAAAGACATGTATAACAGATCATTGTAAATTGGTATGAACTCTTGAAAAAGCTGTAACTGATGATTTAAAATAAATACCTCGAGGAACTGAAAAATAATCCTAATTTGAAAGATAAAATTGAAAAGCCTCCTTCGTAGGAAAAAAAAACAGCATAAATTTAAGAAAGAATTTCAGAAAAAAGTCTGAATGAGCTGGCGTAGCCGCATCTCAACATCCTTCCATTTTGTCATATGTAACAAGAACGAGTAACAAAGATCTCATGCTATGTTATTTACGAGTTGTCATTTTCTAAACGAATATTGCACGTATCTTTATAACCAGAAATTATAAAGTCAACATTTACGTTTCAACACGACAAAACCAACATAATGGGTTTGCGACCAGCATGGATCCAGACCAGCTTGCGCATCCGCGCAGTCTAATCACTGATAGCGAACAGCATGAATCCTGATCAGTCTGCGCGGATGCGCAGGCTGGTCTGGATCCATTCTGGTCGCAAACCCATTATGTTGTTTTTGTCGTGACGCGGCTCATATGGTCATCAAGAAGAAACAATATTGTACATGATTCGCTTTTTATCTTAACTTCATCTAGCAGACAATAATGAATTAGTTAAAAAATTTATTTCAACACGTATTTAATAATAAAAAGCCATAACAGATAAAATCAACAAATAATAAAATAAAAACAAAAATAATCGAATCAATATAAGGATCAATTTTAGGATCAGGATCAATATTTGGATCAAATGTAACATGCCCTTGTCTTGCAAAAATAACAATACGATTACGATTGCTCGTGGCATACGATTGTTCGTGGCATTGTCACATTAACTATATTACCGGACGAGCCTGGAAGAGGATACACATTATGAGGAAATTGAAGTTTCAGCTTGACCGTAGATCTCTTGAAGTGATATATTTAACTTTCATCCGACCGATCTTGGAATACGCCGATGTTGTCTATCTAAACTGCACACAATACGAGGAACTTGAGCTTGACACAATTCAAAATGAAGCGTCGCGTATTATGTGCGGTGCTACAAAACTTGTATCATTAGCTCAACTCCATAGTGAAGTTCCTTAAGGAATCTTTAGAATCTCGAAGAAATAATCATATGCTTATCTTACTTTATAAAATGAAAAAATGGCTCATCACCAGATTACTTGTGTTCTTTACTTCCACCTACTGTAGGTGAAAATTCAAGGTACGATCTACGCAACGCTACACATATTCAGACTATTCGAACACGAACAACTCTTTATCAAAATGCTTTTCTTCCAACTGCTCTGAATAAATGGAACGCCCTTCCATCTGAAGTACAAAATTTACGTTCACTGTCCTCTTTCAAATCCCATTTGAGACGAAGCAGTTCTAGTTGTCAGATTTATTTCTATGAAGGCGATAGAAAATAGCAGATCTATCATGCTCGACTTCGTACGGAATGTAGTTTTCTAAATCAGCATCTATTTAAGAAAAATATTTCTCCAACTCCTCTTTGTCAGTGTGGCATAGTGGAAAGTAATTACCACTCTTTCTTTGAATGTCAACGCTATGTTGACAGCAGGACCTCTTTTCTTAACACTATATCTACTATTTGTTCAGCAACTCTCCAAACGTTATTAAATGGAGACCCAAACATTAGTGATGATGCAAACAGAAGACTGTTTGAAGCCGTTCATACATACATCCGAGAAAGCAGGAGATTCTCTTAAGCATTTCACATCAGTTCAAATCACTAAATGCTTCCTATTCAAATCGTTGAACTATCCGAATGATCCACATTTCAGTTATTTCTTCTTCTTTTCTATTTTGCTGAAAGTTTCTTCCTTTATTTCTTTCTATCTTAATTTACGTTATTTCTCTTTAATTTTATATAACAAAATGATGCAGTCTTGTTTTCTCATTCTTTTTTTTGTATATATTTTTGCTTTATGTTATAACTAAATGTTAGAAACAATTTTGACTTTAACTTCTTAAAAAACAATGTAAAATCAGATATATTTCAAGAAAGTCACATATACTGTCATACCGTATTTTATGCACTGTAAATCTATAAGGAGCTCAGCTTTCGGACCCAATCCTTTTTCAACATATCATGTTTGTATTGTGTACATTACTGTCTGTCTGTATATATATATTGTGAATTTGTTCGAAATAAACTATGTTTAAACTAAAATAACAATAAATCTATTCTAAAATTTCATAAACTTGCTAATAATGCAAGTCCAGTTTTATTAAATTAATATTAAATATTTAATCTTTGAGGATAAACAATGAAGACTAATTAGATTTTTTAAATTTGACCCTGATCCTTAAATCTTTGTGCACACGGGCCTGGTCATTATATGTTCTTTACAACCATATAAGGCACAGAGCTAAAGCCCAAGAAACAAGGCCAAGAGATTTCCGCGAAGCACAGTTTTTTACACCGTTATTCCGTTGGCTATTAGAAATTCCATTAGTTTGGAGTTTCGTCTTTACAGCAATATAGGGCACGTACACAGCTCTAGCGAAAGGAATATGGCCAAGAAATTTTCGCATGGCAGGGTCGGGATTTTGACGGGTGAGTTGTTCTCTTCTATATAAATTTGTTCGTAAGAAACAAAATTTTCTGTTGCCAACCATTCTAACACAATTTGTGTGATTCCGTTGCAGATAAGAAATTCCATACTAGTTTAGAGGTTCAGCAATATGGGACTGAAAGAACATGGCCAAGGGATTTCCGCGTGACATGTGATTTGTTCATTCTCTATAGAAAGTGTAAATTGTTTCGCAAAAAAAACCCCGCCATTTTTGTTGTCAGACGTTCAAAGTTCAAACACCATTTGTGTGATACCGTTGCCGATTAGAAATTAGTTCGGAGGTTCTTCTCTACAGCAATATAAGGCACAAAGCTCTAGCTCAAAGAATATGTGGCCTAAGATTTCTGTGTGGCACAGTTGTTTTTTGGACAGGCCTCAAGTGACCTGCATGTCACAGTTGTTTTTAAAGATCGGCGATTTCTAAGATCGGACAAATTTTGACCTCGGCAGCTTGTATGATCTTTGATTGAAGTTCAAATGGTAATGCTACATGCAAAATATCTAAGCTCTGGCACTGCATTTTCGCCCAAGAAGACTGATATATACATGTACCTTTCTATAAACCTATGTAAACAAGCAATTATCATAGTATTGCTAGCAATCCATAAGTCCCCTACCGGTTAGAACCCCAGCAACATGCTGATGGGCCATTGGCCATTCAAATTAACCAGTGAATGAATGACATAAATGAACTTAAATCTTTTGAGTTCTAAGTTTGTCTATATCATAGTAATGTGTTAAGTTTCCCTGCCTAGTAAGGAAACAACAGATAATCAAAAGGTCCAATTTTCTCAGAATGAATAAGTATAACTAATGTTTTAACTTTTCTCTATTTTAAGTAAATTTGTAGGAAAAAATCTTTAAAAGTGATCTCAGGTCAAAACAGTTTTTATGAACAGACAGACTGAAAGAGACTCTTAAGTTATTTTTCTAAACATCCCTGTTACCAAAATATAACATATTTTAATACAAAATTCTTAAAGAGAAGATAACTCTTGAAATAAAGATGCTAGATTTATGAACATTGATGAGAGTTTTACTTTAAGTTTAAAGATACCATTTATAGTCACAAAGAAGATAAGTAAAAAAAACAATTTTCAAATATAGCATTAACTATAATGTATAGTAAGTAACAAAGATGAAATTTAAAAACAAAAATATAATGTAGGTGTTGATATCATGAATGTTTATTTTGAATTTGAAGAAAATCCATGAAGAGATAAGAAAGTTAAAGAATGAATAAGAAGAATTCAAAGTTTAAGGAGGACATAATTCTGGAAATATGGATTCTAGATTTATAAACCTTGTTATATTATTACGATGTGGGATTTTAAAGTAAATCCTATAAGGAATGAAGAAGTTGGAGTAAAAAATACCAACTTCTCGAAAAAATTCTAAGTTCAAGGGGGACATAATTCTATAATAAGAAAAATTCAAAGTTTGAGGAGGAGATAATTCTGGAAATATGGATTCTAGATTTATAAACCTTGTCATATTATTACGATGTGGGATTTTAAAGTAAATCCTATAAGGAATGAAGAAGTTGGAGTAAAAAATACCAATTTCTCGAAAAAAAATCTAAGTTCAAGGGGGACATAATTCTAGAAATAGTCTTGCTAGAGTATTTAACCTTCTCACAAATGTTGAGTGCTAATAAGAAACATACAGTCGAGACTGCCTAAGCGACCCCCTGATTTAAACGACTCCCTGTCTTATCCGACCTTGTTTCAGTACTCCCAACGTATTTTCCTATATAAATGGTCTGAATTAAACGACTCCCTGTCATATGTGACAAGCGACCCTAATTGTCTGGTCCCAATGCAATGTTTTGTCTGATTTAAACGACTTTCACACCTTTTAATTGTCCGTTAATCAGATAAAGAATACCTATTATAACACCCAGAGGGCCAATTATAATCCAGCACTGTAGCAAACAAAGTGTACACACCTCTATCTCAATTACACAGTTAGCATGTAGATATATGCAGGTACAAAGTGACGTAGCGTCTGTTCATGGGAAGCATGGTGCAATCGATGTATGTGTAATGTAAATAATGGTCTGAGTAAACTGGGTTAAGACTTATGTTAAACAAAATGTATATATGAAGTTTGAAGTAGATACATTAAGAAATAAAGAAGTTATTTAAAAAAGACAACATATTTTTCATCAATCTTTTTGGACAAAACAAACATCATTGATAAGCGAGTGAAAATCAATTTGATATATTTTATTTATAAAGACAAGCAATATAGCTCTTACAATAAATGTTGTTTTGAGATAAAAAAAATCCAAATCAATGAATCCCATGACTAGGAATGAAAATCCAACCTGATTTATTTGGCAATGCTAAACAAGTAGAAAAAAATTAAACAAATAATGAAACTTGTTTTTTTTAAGGAGTCACTTCTCCAAACTATAACATTACACAATTCTTTTCAGAAAAAATAAGCTTTTACAATAAACTAAGGATCAGAAATTTGACCAATTATTCGTTTTAAAATATAAAGATAACTAAAAACTTGACAAAACATCAATCATTTTAAAATTTTATATCACTAGAAATTTGACCAAATATCAATCAGTTTAAAATAGTAAAAGATTATCATTAATGATATTATTGTAAGTTGAAAACACAACATTGCCTTATAATCTAAACTGGAGTTGCACTGGTTTTGTCTAGGTTCCTCACAAGTTAAAAATAAATTTGGTTTTTAATGGCATTTATCATGCGCCTATATATTTATTTATAATGAGTCGAGTATAAATAAAGTCTAACAAAGTTACTGCTCCAAACTGAAATTATGCAGCATGAAACTTTCTATTTTAAATAACAAAGGGCAATAACTCCTCAACAATTTGGTGGATCATGATGGCATTTTAAACAAAATTCTGTCTCATTTCAAATAACAATCTGACCAACTGGTTGTAAGATATTGATCACAACAGGAAAACGGACAGACAGATGGACAATATCCCCCCTTACAATGTCATCTTTCTGACCTTGGATTTTCACATTTTTACACTAAGACGAAGTATCTTCAAGCATGAACATTATATTGTGTTCTAATATCACAGAATATCGTATTAAATGACGTTCAAGATTCATTATCTTGGACAAAAAGCATTTCATTCTTTCCTAATCCAGCTTCTTCAAATGTGATTGGTTCAGGATATTCAATTGTTGGTTCACATGGTAATGTCTTTCTCGGGAAGTTTGTAACAATGTGGAAATCGTCCGGACAATCTTCATGACAGAATGTGAAATAATACAGATACTGAAATATAAAAATACAACAAAAACATTATACAACATTTCAGCTAAAGGAAGTGAAATAAATAAACTATGGGGATATAATGGCTCTTAATGTCACACCTGAGAACAATGGTGAAACATGGTCATAATTCTCATAATGCAAAAGATGTTTAAGGTGATCAAAAGAAAATTGTTAACTTAACCATAAGAAAATCTGAGAATGAAAAATTGCAAGGACAATAACTCCAAAGGTAAGCACAATAGAGGCTAAACACTGCCAAGTGACCACAGAGTAGGGCTAATTTAGACCCTTTGGTAAGATTTTCTTCCTGTAGTCTAGGCGCTTCAAGGGGGCGCTTCATGCCAAATTACAAAACTCTGAGGATTGTATTTTTAATGGAGAATTTTTAAAGATTTTATCAAATTTACAGAGGTATCAGACTGAAATAATTTATAAAAGGATCATCTGTGTAATTCATGGCTGACATTTTTCAGTTATAATTTAAAGTTTGTCATGGCAATAAATAAGGTGTATTGACCACAATTTTGATTTTTACATTATCACATTCACACATAGTCACTAGACACTAAGGCACAATTTTTTGTAAACGTTTACACGATTGGTAAGAACCGAAACGATACCGTTTAAACATAGGTACTTCTATGTACTATACTATATCATATATTTGAGTTGCCAGATGATGACTTACTTTCTATTTTTAACACATGTACAAAACAAACAAATAAATAATGTTCAAGGGTCATCACGATTGTGTCGGCACACATTTTCTGCTCTCTCTTTTGAAAGATCAAAGAAAATTCAAATTTACAAAACATGTATTATGTCATGAGCAATTATTGCAAAGCAATGCTGTGTGGAAGGTTGTAAACACCCATTAAATCCGTTTTTGACATTAGAATAAACCAATTAGAATTGATAAAATCCATCATTACAGGTAATGATTCATATATTTTTAAGATAATATGGTCATTTCGATTAAACGGTAAACAATATCGTAAACGTTTACGGATGAAAATCGAAACGAATCCGTTTAAACGTGTAACTGTGGGGACCTTACTAGACACAAATTACCAAGGTGACACTTGTCAGCCCCTAGAGAGCACTTTGAAAATATAAAAATAAGCAGATATAGCTTTTATACTTTGTAGAAAAAAATGCACAGAAATGTTCAGAAAAGCGTAAACAAATGTGATGGTACCACCAAATTTTTACATCACATCACACCTTGTAACAAAGTTTAAGCACTGTGCTTATTGGAATTTATAGCATGATTATGGCAATGTCAGAATATACTTTTAATTCAGACCAGTTCAAAATACATGTCAAAGTAAATGTGCATATCAATATTCGGTGTTTCAAAGCAAACATGAATAAAGTTTGAATTTTTATTAAATTTTAACTGAAGTTGGAGATAGAATTGGTATCATGAAAATCTCAAACATTATCATCTTAGGTAATTAAATATATGAGAGATGTTTTTTAGCAAAAAATGAAAATAAATTTACTTTTAATGACTGAGATTTCAAAAACCGCCTTTCTATTCTTGTTCCATTAGGTAGTTTAAGAACAACACGGACAGATTCTGCATGACCATTCTCGGGTTCTGGAGGAATTTCATTCTTCAGCTCCTCCTTGCGGTTTTCCCTTTCCTGAAAATATAGTACATATAAACTAGTTATAAGCTAGAACTGCCACTGTCCCAGACTCGGATACTCCATGCATGCGGAGGATTTTTAAAAAAAATTATCTGAGGCAACAGATGTGCTAAATAAAATAACTGATTTGACTAAGGGTCTAGGGGTATATTTTAATCTACATGCTAAAATACAACATATTTTGACAGCATTGTAACCTATGATACAATTTGTCAAAACCCTGCATGCCACTATGCCAGAAGGGTATTATAAAGTTTTATGTTTATTCGTCATATGAAAATATGTTATGCTCTTGACAAAAACAAAACAAAACAGTGCAAAAATAGAAATAAAGTTCTTAAGCAATGCTTTTTTCCACAATATAATGTATATCAATGTATCCTATTAAATTTCAAGTTGAGACACCGAATTATACTTTTTTAAAATAGGAATGAACAATTTTAAAATAGGTATGAAAAATTACAATGTTGAAAACATTTGTATACCAACTACAAAATTGTCCATGCATATTCATTTTTTATTTCAAAAATTGATTTTGTCATCTGATCTCAATTACATGTATATATGATAGACAAATGAAAAAGAAGATTCAACACTGGCTATAGTCACATATGGGAATTACCAGCAACAAAGTAACTGTTGAGTGCAAATGGGCAGAGCCTTATCACTGCCTTCAAGTCCACAATTACCCTCAAGGCAGATATTATGATCTGTACCAGCAGCTGGTGTTATGTTATCATGTAATTTTATCATGTAATGGTATCATCGCTTTATGTTATATTTTATAGTATTTGATAAGTCAGTAAGACAATACCTGTAACATTTGTTTATGTGCTTCAATTTTCTGTCTTTGTTTAGCTTCCTCTGCTTCAATAAGTTCTCTTTCCTCTCTTTTTTTTCTTTCCTAAAGTAAATATTATACATATCTCTGCATGAACACCAATACTATTTTGTGATAGTCGATTAAAAGCATGTAAAATGTAGATAATCTGAAGAAAATATTGCTTAAAGTAAAAAAAAACAAACTATGTCAGAAAGATAGCAAAATGTAAACAAAGCAAAATACAAAATCACTGTAACTTAACGGGCCTTTAATAATGAAATTCAATAATGCCTAAATGGGCAACCTTTTAACAAAAACAAACTTAACAGTCTTTCAGAAATGGATATATTGTACCTTTTCCTGATCTTGTCTAAGAGATTCAAGATAAGCCTCGTCTTGTTGCTGCCTTAATGACTGGTTAAAACTTCTTTCGTCTCTGTCTGCCCTTGCTGCTACCAATGATGCCTCATTTTCTCCCATTATTGCCCTCAATCTATGTATCAACTCCTCACCCTCTGATTACAAAAATAAATAACTTACTTGGTGTTTCATTACAAACTTTGAAGCTCTTGTTTCAAACAAATCCTATTTACAGTAAGTTTTATAATACTGTATGTTTGTAACGTATCTTTTCATTGGATAATTGTGACATTTATATAGTATCATATACATGGCTGCTGTAAATTTATGAAGAAACCTGATTTCTTTATCTAATAAAAGATGCTTGCTGCATTATAAATTTGTTATAAATGTTTCTGATAGGTTATATGGCCATACACAAACTTTTTTTGCAATATAACCCAAGCCGCTATTTCCAAACAACTGTTTATATAGGGCCAAATAACCTGTCAAAAATATTTATAACTAATAATGTAAGTAGTCATGTACACAAAAATCTTACAAAAATTTGCATAAAATGAATAAAATATGCTGAGCATGAAGTCTTCGGTACATGTAGATTTCAAATAGTGAAATACTCATCACAATTCAGCTGCATTGGTTAAAACTAAACAGTAAAATTATCAAACAAACAAGGGGTATCTGTGACAAAGTACTACGAGGGTTGTCCAAAAAATTTGTGCACTGCAGTTATTGTTCTGAGAGTTATTAATAAAAGAACATGAATTATATATCACTTGAAGGAGAATCTGTCTCAAATAAGAAAACAAAAGAAAAAGCTGTGTAACCAGCGTGTCGTGAAAAAGAATTGTCATTAAGTTACCTTAGTAACGTAATACCGGCGCACAACAAAAAATTGGGTTTGTTCATTACTGTTATTGTATTAATTTTCTGCTTGTAAAGTGGCATTTGCTTTTTATATCATAATTTGTTTTACTGTTAATAGAGGAATGATTGATGCAAAGTGTTTTGTAGTTTTTATTGTTCATATGCAACGTACATGTAACATATTAACCAGTGCACGAATATATTTGACAACCCTCGTAACATGCGCGGGCATTACGGACGGAGGTCTGCCTGACCGGTTGTCATCGTCTACCCACCCTCTACAGAGCGTTTGTGCCATTTAAAAACCAGCCTTCGTGACACTGAACTGGTCTCGCTTGCTTTTTAAGTTATTTGTAGTTATCACTCGGAGTTTAACCAATTCTTGCGCAAAATTTAATGATCGTCTGTATTTCCAGACGTTTAGCGACTGACATTTTCATGTAATGACAGTATTGACGACCACACAGAAATGTTTGTTTTACGACATTTACAAAAAGGCAAATGACTTCAAATTTTCAAGTGACGTCAGGAATACGTACTTACACTTTTCCCTGAAATTTGACGTTATATGTAGTGTTGAAAGAATACAGTGATGCATCAAAGTAATCAACTAACCAAATGTTTTGTTATGCGCCGGTATTACGTTACTAAGGTAACTGTATGACGATTTGTTTTCACGACACGCCGGTTACACGGCTATTTCTTTTGTTTTCTTCTTTGAGACAGATTTCCCCTTTAAGTGATATATAATTCATGTTTTTCTATCAATAACTCTTGAGACAATAACTGCAGTGCACGAATTTTTTGGACAACCCTCGTACTTGTTATGGTGGTTATTTTACAAACAACACTCCCCTTGCCGTTGTGGATTCAATTCCACCAGTACAACTTGAAATTCACCATCTGACCTTTACAGTGCTGGTAAGACTTCAAACCCAACAAAAATAATATTAAACAAACAAACCTATTGGTCCTTCAATTCTTGCAACAACAGTCATTTTGTTCTGACGCAGAACAATTAATGCTAAAAATGGGTAAGTATTCTCACGTAAAGCTTGACTCACTGAAATAGAATGAATCAACATCTGAAAAGCCCCACACACAATAATGTTGTTTTTTCCTTGTTAAATTTTGTTCTTTCTTTTTTCTCTTTACAAAATCCCATTCCACTATTTTCAGTGCTTGATAGTAGGAAAAAGGAGCATGACTATGTAGAAGGAAAACTAAGTTATAGGTTTTGTGGCCATGATATTAGATACAAATGCCAGGATAAGTACAATAGCTTTTTCTATTCTTCAAATAACTAAGCATTAAAACAGCAGGCATTAAGCACCTGTAGTTTCTTTAATTTTTCCATATGCAAAGAATGAAAAATTAAACTGGAAAACAAAATTTAACTAGAACTATCACTAAATGTGATTAATACCCCCACAAGACTGCTTCGGAAATGAGGATGTTACTAGTAACAGAATACCTTGTAAAAGAATTGAAATATAGAGTTATGGTTGTTGGCAATTAAAGATAGTTGTGGTTCTGGTATGTTGCATTTCCTTTCAATGTGGTTGGCCATTGATGAAGTTTAATTGAATTACTCTGTTATAAGTCCAGAAAGACAAAGAAAAGGAACAAAGGGCAAAAACTCTATAAAAACTGAAGAAAGAGTTATAGTTCTTGTGCACTGCACTTCCTGTTATTGTGCTTGAACATTGTATGAAGTTGTTTTGAATTCCAACCAGTACGTATTAAGTTATGCTCAGGACAAGGAAAAGTATCGAAGGGCAGTAACTCTGTATTTTGACAAAATGGAGTTATGGCTCTTGTGCACTGTACTTCCTTTTAATGTCCTTGACAACTGTATTGTACTGAATTCCAAACAGTAGTTTTCAAGTTATGCTCTGGACAAGGAAAAGTAACAAAGGGCAATAACTCTGTAATTAGTCAAGATGGAGTTATGGTTCTTGTGCACTGCACTTCCCCTTATTGTGCTTGACCATTGTATGAAGTTGTTTTGAATTTCAAGCAGTAGTTTTCAAGACATGCTCTGGACAAGGAAAATTAACAAAGGGCAGTAACTCTGTAATTAGTCAAGATGGAGTTGTGGTTCTTGTGCACTGCACTTCCTCTCAATGTGCTTGACCATTGTATGAAGTTATATTGAATTCCAACCATTAGTATTCAAGTTATGCTCCGGACAAAAAAGCAATGGAAAAGTAACAAAGGGCAATAACTCTGTAATTAGTCAAGATGGAGTTATGGTTCTTGTGCACTGCACTTCCCCTTATTGTGTTTGACAATTGTATGAAGTTATTTTGAATTCCAACCAGTAGTTTTCAAGTTATGCCCCGGACAAGGAAAAGTAACAAAGGGCAATAACTCTGTAATTAATCAAGATGGAGTTATGGTTCTTGTGCACTGCACTTCCTCTCAATGTGCTTGACCATTGTATGTAGTTATATTGAATTCCAACTATTAGTCTTCAAGTTATGGTCCGGACAAAAAAAAAAGCAATGGAAAAGTAACAAAGGGCAATAACTCTGTAATTACTTTAGATAGAGTTATGGTTCTTGTGCACTGCACTTCCCCTTATTGTGTTTGACAATTGTATCAAATTGTTTTGAATTCCAACCAGTAGTTTTCAAGTTATGCCCCGGACAAGGAAAAGTAACAAAGGGCAATAACTCTGTAATTAATCAAGATGGAGTTATGGTTCTTGTGCACTGCACTTCCTCTCAATGTGCTTGACCATTGTATGTAGTTATATGGAATTCCAACTATAAGTCTTCAAGTTATAGTCCGGACAAAAAAAAAGCAATGGAAAAGTAACAAAGGGCAATAACTCTGTAATAACTTTAGATAGAGTTATGGTTCTTGTGCACTGCACTTCCCCTTATTGTGTTTGACAATTGTATCAAATTGTTTTGAATTCCAACCAGTAGTTTTCAAGTTATGCCCCGGACAAGGAAAAGTAACAAAGGGCAATAACTCTGTAATTAGTCAAGATAGAGTTATGTTTCTTGTGCACTGCACTTCCTCTCAATGTGCTTGACCATTGTATGTAGTTATATTGAATTCCAACCATTAGTCTTCAAGTTTTGCTCCGGACAAGGTAAATGCAACGGACAAAAAAAAAGCAATGGAAAAGCAACAAAGGGCAATAACTCTGTAATTACTTTAGATAGAGTTATGGTTCTTGTGCACTGCACTTCCCCTTATTGTGTTTGACAATTGTATGAAGTTGTTTTGAATTCCAACCAGTAGTTTTCAAGTTATGCCCCGGACAAGGAAAAGTAGCAAAGGGCAATAACTCTGTAATTAGTCAAGATAGAGTTATGGTTCTTGTGCACTGCACTTCCTCTTAATGTGCTTGACCATTGTGTGTAGTTATATTGAATTCCAAGCATTAGTCTTCAAGTTATGCTCCGGACAAGGAAAATGCAACGGACGTCTGGACCGACCCACCGACCGACCGCCCGACCGACCACCGGGTGACTCCTATATACCCCCCCAAACTTCGTTTTTGGGGGTATAATAAACTTTTGCCTGATTAAAGAGAATCATAATTGAATAAATTTATGAAAAAAAAAGAGAAAATGGATTTATCATCAAATTTACAGCAGAGTACAATAAAATGAAGCTTAAAGTGGAGAGATATGTAACATAGCATTTCCTTGTCAAAATGCTTTTACAAAACATTGATTATTTCAATATCCAAAAAATTAACTTTTACATTTTTAACAATCATTAAAAGAATTTCAAGTTGCATAAATATTTTGATAAAAATTACTTTTAGATTCTTAGCTGATAAATTTTACAACTATAGTATAAACATGTCATAGTGGTCAATAAGGAAATATTATCACCTTTTGATTTTAATACTTTATGGCTTAATTCTCAATTTCCTAGTCTTTTTATCAAACAAGCCATACTTGATTATCTTTTCACATTTATTGCTAATATAGCTTAAGGCTTAGTCACTATGACAACTCCTTCTTAATTTATATTGTTGATTTTTATATTTTGAATTAGTCTTAATTTAATTTCGGAACTGAGAACATCTAAAAGGCTTATATAGAATTTTGGACGTATAACATCAAGTCTTAACTTAGAAAATAAATAAGTAAATTTAACTTAAGCAAAATTCAGGTGCTAGCTGTGAAAATATATATGTGGACTATATGATTATTTTGTATTTGAGAACTTACAATTGACTATACAGAAATAAATGAAATAACATCTACACTGGACTTTTGTGTTATAAAATACCATCATTTAACAAAGAGGATACTGGATAATAATAATACCAGTATCCCACACACAACCAACCGAGGGTTTCCGTGTAGGGCGCTCACTACGCCAGCGAGTTCAATTCCCCAAACAAGACCCCAAAGCGAAGGCCCTGCCGGTGACCCTTGGCTACAGATTTTGGCGGAGAATACCGAGGGTAAATGATCCTGCCAAGACATGAAAAAGAAGAACATAATGAGAAAAGAAAACTGGACTTAAAGTAAATATAGTGAGTGGGAAATATTAGAGAAAAGAAAGATTGACAAAAGTAGGAAATTGGAAAATACATCATTAAAAATTATCAAAGGATCTTATACTGAAGGGAACTTTTAAAGCAATTTCAAAATTACCAAACAGAAGTGGGAAAATTATGTCAAATCAACTATTGAAGGAAAATAAAACCAAAACCAAAGAAGGAACCAAACAAAGGAAAACCAAAGAGGGAACCAAGAAGAACCATAGATCAACAAGGAACATTGTGCCATGAACTTTTCGTAGAAAATTAAATCAAGAAAGAAAATTATTTTTTTGAAGTTGGTAAGTGAAATTTTTAACATTCAGTGCTATATTATATGTTATATTGGGTGGCTGCTACATTCTAATAATTATTTTTGTTTATCAACAAACAGCATATTTATTATCTACATTTTGAAAAAATTTTGTTTAATTAAATAGAATTTTGTCTGGATATTTTTCAAAATTTAACTTTGACAAAAAAAGAAATACCTTTGTAAATTTTTGTTAAATTACAATATTGCATTGCAACTGAGAAAAAAAAAATTACTAGTAGCTTAATTCCTGAAATATAAAAAGGTCACTAAACCTATTATGTTAAATTTTTACCAATTTTGATTGTATTTTATTTGTTATTTCTTGTTGACCAAGTGCTAAAAATATTTTATAATATAAACGAAAAAAATGGCAAATACTTCTTGGCAGTGCTCAAAATCTATGTGCTCATCAGTTCAGTATAACTGTCCTGAAAAACCCTCTATCTCCCTGGTTTCTTCTTTAGATCAAAATGGCTTTTCTTATATACAATTTCAAGATTTTCAATATAAAGCTCTTTTTGACACTGGCGCTAGTATATCATGTATTGGCAAAAATGTTATTGACAGACTTTTCAAAAATCCTGTTCTAGAATCTACTAATATACCTAATGTTTATGGTGTTTGTGGTGAAATTCATCCCATTCTTGGAACTATCTCCCTTACTTTTACTATGGATGGTCTCCCTTTTGAACATACTTTCTATGTATTTTCTAAATTACATTATCCTGTTATTATTGGGAGAGATTTTATGCAAAAGGAAGGAATCAAACTTGATTTTCAGTCAAATTGTATAACATTACAACAAGACCCTTCTATCATTATTGCCATGGTTACCGACCACCTTTCAAAAACAGTTTTTGGTAAAACTTTGTCTTCTCATATCATTCCCCCTCATTCCGAGTATATTTTACCTTTACGTATCCAAAAATTTAAAGATGGTGATATTGTATTTTGTGAACCTCCTCAAACTTTGTTAAAAAATGAACTTGTTGGAGGAAAATGCCTCTCAACTGTTAAAGAAGGTAAAATTTTATACCGTGTAATGAATCCTACAAGTCTACCTGTATTTCTGAAGTCAAAGGCCCAAGTTTCAGTAGCAACTGAAGTTAATCTATCTACTCTACATCAGGTCACAGACAACTATCCTTCTGAATCAACTGATTCTTCACATTCTGTCAACTCCTTAAATACTGAACCCTTGTCTGATGCCAAGTATATTGAACTTGCA